GTAGTATTTTCTCTCCTTCTCCTTTTATTTTTTCTACACCGATAGCAAGAGTACCAATACCAAGCTTTTTTGAAAAATCTTCAAAGAAGGATCTTCAAACGAGACATTTATACATTTTATAAGGACTTACAATTACCTAACTATTGCCAGCTAAAATATATAAGATATGTATTTACAATAATAACAAGACGAAAAAAAAAAGCATAACGAATTAAAACGAGAAAGTGTTATGAGAGTAGAGTTTATTGTAGCAAGAGAGGCCCTAGCTCAAGCGAGTATTTATAACGATACTTTAAATGGGAATCGTGCCAAGAGTATAACGGCGATTTATATCCGCCATCTTTAGCAACAAGGGAGAGAGAAATCATGACTGTCTGCTGCTTTTGTTTCGTTGTCCAATCGTACGATGACATTATGCATAAATATACCTACACGTATACATGCTCTCTCTCTCTCTCTCTCTCTCTCTCTCTCTCTCTCTCTCTCGCTTTTCCTCTGTGTGTGTGTGTGAGTGTGCCTGTGTTAAACTATCAAATTTTTCAAAAACTTTTTTATACTCTTTCCTTCCAACGGAATAATGCCCCTCGAAAATGTACTATTAATAATTATAACAATATTAATAATAATAATAAAAATAAAGAAAGAGAGAGAGAGAAACACGCAGGATCGAGAGTCGTGCCAATTTTACAAATAATTCTGACGTTATTAACGCAAATAGTGTTTTCGTCCGTCTACTTTGTTTCGTACGTACATATATTGCATATGCGTCTTGCAAATTTGATTTTTCTAGTGTTTTTTTCTATCCCCAAGTATCCAAAGTTCCAAAACTAAAACTGATATTTTCAACGTGATTTCCATTGGTAAATTGTTGACAAGGCACACACCTTTTTGGTCTTCCTTTTCTTTTTCACATATTTTTCCTTATATTTATGAAAGATTATATTATATTTTGACAAAGAATTTACAACAAAATTTTGTGAAAAAGTTACTTATTGTCTTATCAAGAATAACACAAATAATTAAAAACAAAGATGAGAGATGTTAATACTTATATTTAGCATATAACTTGTGTGTTTACAAAGTACGAACATATGTAACTATTATAATTATACTTACATATGCAATGTGCTAACTGGCACATGTGTCTTCTTTGCACTAAACAATATCACGAAATGACGATGAAAGAGAGAGAGAGAGAGAGACGATTGAATAATTAAAAGTAAAGAAAAGTTACATAACAACTTGACACCGAAATCAAATGAATAATTTTGTAGTCAAAATGTAACCTTTGAGAACCTGAGGAAAGAACAAGTCAATTTTCAAAAAATACGAATGATGATGCACTCCTCTTGATAATCCTCGCAAGGAAATTCAAGGTCATGACGTAATATAAACTACATTAAAGGGTTTCGAATCCAACAAGCTATAATTCACGTAAGCTACTTTAACTTAAAGCAGACAGACAGTGTGTGTGCAATGCGATTCGTCAACTTTCACCGTCCTTTTGTGTATCATCTTTACTTGGAAAATTCGAAATTTTCTGTCAATTCTTATATCGATTCTTCCGTTTATTTAATTACTTTAACTAACGAACAATTCTTACCAGTGTATTTGTGTACATTGTGCACATTGTGCACATGTAATAAGTATGTTGCAATATGTTCAGTATCATGCAATCGTCGCATTTATCATATACTGTATATTTCAATATTAATAATAATTCATATAATGAACGTTCATTAAAGAAACTTTATTTCAATATAAATATTATTCTTATGTTTAATAAATATAAAATCAAACAACATGGGTCTGTCTCCAACTTTATTTTTAAAACCGAGTAATTTTGATGGTATGTCTTAATTGATTTTAAAAAAGATAATCATTTCTTATTACGATGAGTTATCATTGATTCATTAATCTGCCATTCGTCGCAATTATCCATACAAACGTTGGTTCATTTAAATGGATTGAAAATAATTACCGACGTATCGAGTAGAAAGATGTACGTGAATTGATATGATCTAGGCTGGAATATACTTATTTTTTCAAATATATATCACAAAAAAGGAAAGAGAACTTATAATTAGTAATCTCTCTCTTTGTGCTTGCAAGATAAGAGTTTGCATATCTTTCGCTCACCGGGGATCACGGTGAGAACGATCTCGGCAAAAGGAAATAAATCAGTCGACTTACATAACTACGTTATTTGTTTCTTGGAACGATATATTTGGCAAAAAGAGGTGAAAAAAAAAAAAAAAAAAAAAAAAGATAAAGTGTACTAGGGTGGATATGTGAGGGAGGGAGAAAGAGGAGGGAGAAAGAGGAAGGAGAAAACTTGTTTACATCGGGGCCGGCAACACGTTCTGCGTCTCGCTTTGATTGGTTGCGACGAAGATGAGAGAGAAAGAGAGAGAGGGAGAGGGAGAGGGAGGGAGAGGGAGAGAAAATAAATAGTAGGAGACGCATGAAGGCAACGTTATTTGAACAACGTTCCTGTTCTTTTAAATTTCTCGCAATTCATATGCACACACATTCAAAATGTATTCTAAAGAATAGGAAAAAACTTGTCCTCTGAATTTTCTTCGACCTTCAATAAAATTATATAGTACTCGGAGAAATAATATTATAATGATTTCAATTGTTAAGGGCCTCAAAAAGGGAGCCCGCGTGAGCGTGACTATCTTATTCTTTCTTATTTATTCTTATAATAAAATATGGGATGTAGAAATGAATTTGTAATATATACTCTTTTGCGTTTTCATTAATAACTCGTTAAAAGTTTCGACCTTGTACCACTGCTAAGTAATTTAGCTATTAAATGAAACTCTCGCGTTCCCGGAATACGCAAAAGATATCGTTGCCAATTGACAATTTTCACGACCTTAGACGACAATTTCAAACACATCGTTTCGTGTAACAATAATCAAACAAATGTTTCTACTAGCAGCGTTGACGCGCAATCATATTCAAATTTTAGCCAATAGGAAATAAGCGCGCGGAAAACGTAAATATAAACGTAAACATGTTCGAATCAAAGAGGAGAATAATTTAAAAATAAGGAGAGAAAATAAATATCTCAATAATAGAGCATAACCTCTTCCGTGTTATGATATATTATATAAATATATCGGTCTCTTTGTTGGCTCGATGCTCGTTTTATTATTCTTCTCTGGGGGTTTCTTCAAATATAACTTACTTTTAAATAAAAAACATATTACGCACACACATATGCGTAAATATGTATAGACTTTTCATAAGGGTGATTGAAAAATGTTAAGCCTCAACACAACAACAACAACAATAATAATAATAAATCTTTTTTCAAGCGATTCGTGTCACTTAAAAGAGAGAATAACAATTTGTTAGTTTTTGATTAAAAGTAGTTTTCTTTAGAAGCATTTGGCGTACGTGCAAGCTCGGTGCTTGGCTATCGAGTATAAAATATATAGCCATGACCCAATTTCGTGTCTTCGACCGGTTCGAAGGTGTATTCCGTTCACTTCGAATCTTCGATTTGCCTAGAACCCTTCCTTCCGTCCTTCCGTCCTTCCTTCCTTCCTTCCTTCCTTTCGTTAGTTTATTTTATTCGAATAGTAACCTTAGTTAGAACAGGGTCTCGAGATACGTGCGTGTGCATATGTAATGCAAAAGAATCGTTGCGTGTAAAACAATAGAGTTATACCGATTTAATTTGACCTTTTATTTTTTCTTCAACTTCCTTTTTTCTCTTTGTATAAACGCTACAAAGCGTTTTCAATTCCCTATATTTCTTTGACAAAAAATAATATACAGAAAGGATTTAATCAAGTTGTTAAATAAGAATTGAATAAACAATTGTTTATTGCTTATTTTAATTATCTCATATGCATTAATCCATTGGTAAGGTTGGTCTGTGTGGTATTCTTATTATATCGGTAAGTGTTTTACCTTAGTGTTACATAACTTGGATAAAAATATATAAACTATGAGTATATAGGATAAAAAAGATAGATGGAACGATAATCATTGATATCGCATAAACGTTAAAACGACTTTGAAGTAAGCGCGCGAAATTTGTATTATCCGATAATAGGAGAGAAAAAAAAAACAACAAATGAAATTTACCTTCCGAGATTCCGCCATGCTACCGCCAAACAAATAACACAATTCGTTTCTTCGTATTTCCGAATGACTCTTGAATTGACACACTTGATTGACTTTAGATGTGCCACTCAATCGCGTATTACTTGGAAATAACGTAATCCATCGATTAATTAGATAATCAGTATGAAATATTTTCATGTACGATAAGCTACGCAGTTAGACGCGTCCGGCATTTTTCGTCATAATACCGGCGAAACGCCGCGTCTCGTGGCGGGAACCACGACGCGCCCTCCTATCGACTTTCGATGTATCGTTTACTATCGCTTACTATCGCTTACTATCGCTTACTATCGCTTACTATCGTTTTCATTCTCGTAACCAAGTCGTATAAAGAAATTATTTTAATGAATTAATTCAACTAATCATTCAATTCTTTGTTCCTTTTCTATTGATAATTTTTCCTAAATATTCGACAAATACTTGTTCATCCAATTAAATTGTCTAGTGAAAAGATAAAGATCTAATTACTATTAATGGGTTTAATGGGTTTTCAGGTTATGTTTAAAAAGTGCTGAAACAATAAATGCACACATCAAACAAAGTTTTACATTACCTTCTTTACATACAAATGAAATGGAGATGAACACAAACAAACAACATTTCATTCATTCATTGTTTACTGCTCATGAAAACTACACATTGCATCTGCATGTTATAATACCATGTTCATATATGTACGCACAAAGGGTTTAGTGACATCTATGAACAGTCAACGTCTATGTTCAAGACAGATCTTGGAATCTTTTTGCGAGTTTAGTGACATCTATGAACAGTCAACAAAGTACATTCAGGAGGAGAGAGATCTTGGAACCGAGGTTATAAACGTTAATTCTTACTACATATATAATTGGAAAGATACTTGTCATTTAATGTTTTGAAAGCATGTCGTTGATTAAATTAACGCTACACACACATAAACTAAGGACAAAATTGAACAAAAATAATGACATTTATCATTTATTGCAATTATGCTCTACGAATTGTTCTTTTATTCCAAAATTGCAATTTTCTACAAAGAACAATGAGGATGACAATATTTTATTCAAAATTGATCCTAAAGTTAAAGAGCTCAGGCATAAAATATTATACAGCGATTATTTGTCTTATGAAAAAAGAAAATTGGGATATGTCAATCGTATGAAAATAAAAAAAAAGTTAAATGAGATAAAACATCAAGAACAAATGTTAAGACAAGTAAGTGAGCCTGTGTTTAGTGTTATATTAAACCATATTGATAATAATCATTTAGCTGATCATAATGCTACAAATTCAAGGGAAACACTTAGCGATTCAGGTGATATCAAATTGCATAATATCGTACATATGCCTTATGCATCTACGGATAGTTATAAAGTCGTTGACATGCCTGCTGACATGCCTGCTGACATGCCTGCTGACAAAGTCAAGAATACTTCTGAAGAGATAAGCAGTGAATCATCGCTTAATATAACTTATAAGAATTTGTATGAAAAATATTTAAAAAGTAAAAATTCCATTCAGGATAAAGAAAAACAAACTTTTATAGAATACGAAGAAACTTATTATGAGAGAAAATTCAAAGACTTGGAAAATGTTGCATACAATTGGATGAATGATTATGAACAATATGACGATATGAAAGGAAACCCAAATGATTGGCTTTACGGTACACCAAATGAAAACAGTAACATTAGTAATATTCCATGTGGTGGTTGTGGAGCTTTATTACATTGTAAGGATCATGCGCTTCCTGGTTATTTACCATCTGAAATATTCATGGGTATATCCAACGAGGAACTCAAAATAATGATTTGTCAAAGATGTCATTTTTTGAAATATTATAACACGGCCTTAGAAGTTAAAGTATCTTCCGAAGAATATCCTGAACTTTTAAAAGTTATTAAAACGAAAAGATGTGCTGTTATTTTAATGATAGACTTAACTGATTTTCCATGTAGTATATGGCCAAATATTGGTACTATATTACATCCTTATACACCAGTATTCGTAGTTGGAAATAAAGTTGATTTGCTCCCTAAAGATTCACCGTTATTCGAAGATCATATTAAAGATTGTCTATCAAGAGCTGTAGAAGACACTGGAATATTGGCAAGAAATATTAAACATGTATCCTTAATTTCTGCTAAGACTGGATACGGAGTAGAGGAACTTATAAATAAATTACATAACGTATGGAAATATAAAGGTATAGGAAAATTCAAATTCCTCCTATTTATCACCTGTATATACCACTTATATGTACCTGCTTTTTCTTATACTTCTTCTTATTAACATTGTGTATGTGTGTGTATTAATATTTGCAGGAGATGTGTTTTTAATTGGATGCACTAATGTAGGTAAATCTTCATTATTTAATAGTCTTTTACAATCCGATTATTGTAAAGTGAACGCTGCTAATATTGTACAACGTGCAACGATATCTCTATGGCCGGGAACAACTTTGAATTTATTAAAATTTCCTATTTTAAATCCTTCTAGAAAGAGACTTTATTACAGAACATTAAGATTGCAATCTGAGAGGGCAGACCAACACGCGAAACAATTCATAAACAATTATCAATTGTTATTATCGCGTGATATAAAATATGCTACATTGGAAGGTATGCTATAAATAAATTTGTCTTCTTTTGCATACCTATTATCATTCATTAAATTCATTTCTTTATTTTATCTAACAATTATTATATTAATATAGAAAATATTAATGTTATTTAGGATTTGTTGGTAAGACTTTTTCATCGCGCACGTTCAATAATTTACAATGGGATTCATTTTCTAATTCGTCGAAATGTAATAATCATCCCAAGTTTGGATTGGATGAAACCAGTGATGAATACAAGAATAGTCGTTGGTGTTACGATACACCTGGAACTATCCAACCGGATCAAATAATAGACTTATTAACAATTGACGAAATACTAAAAACAATACCAAATCAAATTATTTCACCTAGAACATTTGTTGTTCAACCAAAAGAAACAATATTTATAGGAGGCTTAGGAAGGTTGGATTATTTAGAAGGAAACTCATTTATTAGGTAGTAGTAAGCTTTATATATATATATATATATACTGCTCTTAATATCACCGATATACAATTACTACAATATTATTAGAAAATTCTTACAGATGTACAATTTTTGCAAGCCACATGTTACCCATTACAATGTGCAATCTCATTGATGCAGATGATTTATATAAAGAATTATTACACACAGAAGCATTTTCTGTGCCTATAAATGATTTAGAAAGGTTGAAATTATGGCCCTGCTTACAATCAAAACAGTTTAGAGTAACAGGTATCGATGCAACAGAATCTGCAGCAGATGTTGTTTTATCGAATGCAGGTAATTCTCTTTCTATATGAATATGTTTATATTTCGTTAAGATATTACAAGTCATTTGAAAATCATACAAAATATTCAAGTATATTTTAATAGGTTGGATAGCGGTAACTCCTAAACAAAATGAAATCATTAAATTACAAGGTTGGACACCAAGTGGACGAGGTATATATTTAAGAATGCCAGCTCTTTTGAAAAACTCCGTTGTTTATCGCGGTGCAAGGGTACTTGGTACACCTGCTTATAAAAGTGGAAAGCAAGTTTATATGAGAGAAAAGAAAATTCCTTCCTCACATTAGTATTCTTTAATACTTACTCTGTGAATATCTATATAAAGTATAGTATAATCACATTACGTTGAATAATGTAACGTGGAAAAAACAAATGCTGTAATATATGGAAAAAAGCAAATAACATAGGTCGAATTTTAATCAAAATACCACAAAATAAAATACACGTGGAACTCGTACCAAATAGCAGTAAATACTTTATGCACCAATTCCTTCAGCATGCATTTTTGCTTGCTCATACATTCTCTTATAAAATTTTTCCAAATTTTTATAAAAATCCTTCAATTGATTTTGCTCACATTTATGATAAGAAGTTTCATTTATTGCCATTTGTTCTTTCGATCCTAGTCTGTGAAAAATAATATATATATATATATATAAACGTAATATTCTTTTTTACAATAGATAGATATTCATGTATTAATTAGTGGTAGTTACGTTACATTGGTACTGTTGATTCTCTTTGTCTTGTATGTTCATTGTCTGGAGAATAAATAGTATTGTGATGTTGATCATCAAACAACTGGCTAATGCATTTACAGTAATGATGGTCTTTTAACAAATAATTTTTATTATTAGTTTTATAACTTTGTGCGTTATCCGTTACATTATTTTGATTAGAAAAATAATCTTTGTATTTCAAACAAATGGGACAATTATCATAAATATGTAAGTCATTATACGCAGTTAACAGTTCAGATTTGTTTTTTTCTGAACCACATGATTCACAATTACAAACAACAAATCTCTTTCCTGCACAATAATATTGACTGTTAGAACATTGTACTTTTTTAACGGGAGAATACTGAGAATATATATACGAATGATATTTATTATTTGTTTTTTCTTGAGATCTGCAAAAACGGTAAAATATAATTGACCAACATATTTCAATTTTCTGTTTATGTTTATCATTTTCATTTGCTTTACATACAATTGATAATTTCGATCTCTAATTATTCCTTGACTATGGCAAACTCTTTTTTGTCTGATAATGCTCTTGACCGGACGTTTTCTGTGAATGCATGGTGCACTCTGAAAAGTAGGTTGTTAATAAGTAGGTTAACAGGTAGGTTTTTGTTTTAACAAAAAATATAGTAGATTAATAAAAGTTTAAAAAATGGTTGAATTAATAGCAACGTAGTAGTACCTTTGAATTAATTGTTTTTGGATTAATGATATGTATTGCTGACTTATTAATGTCATCTATACCTATGATTCCTTCTATAATAGTTTTCGTAGAAACTTCTATTTTAGGTGCTATTATACCCTGCGTGTATATAGATTTGATTTAATTATTAAAGTAAGAATAAATATATGTGAAAATTGTCATTAATCTTACAGGAAAATATTTAGTAGGTTCCATAAGCAAATCTATATCTACGCCAGCCAATAGACGATCCTTGAAAGACGATGTAGGATATAATAAGTCAACTAAATTTGTTTCAAATGTAGCTAAAATGACTCCTCTACCAGAAGGTGTAATCCATTGTATTAATTCTGCAAAAAAGAATTCTTCTTCCAAGCTATTTTGTAATTCAGTTAAAGTAACTACAGAAGAAAACATTTTTTCAAATGTAAATTTTTCATTATATAATAATGGAAAAATTGGTGCAATTCTATGAGATTCGGTATTTGAATTCAGAGCAGTTATTTTTAAAATTATTTTTCCATTTGGACATAGCCAGACACCAGGACAAGTTACCTGGAAAAAAAGAAGAAAAAAAGAAGAAAAAAAAAAAAGAAGAAAAAAAAACATAATAATTTTACTATCTAATTGTATACATACAGCATGAAGATCGAGGTGTATTTTAACGCAAAATCCTCTTCCTGTCATGTTCATTGACAACTACTTCACTAACATAAGTAACTCCATTGTACTGCTGATCAAGAAGAGTTTGTTCTTATTATTTTTCTATTACCACTACATTTAATGAATTTGAACAATTATTTAATAAGTTATTTTGTTGAAGGCACTTATCAATTCTTTAAGAATTTCCATATTGTCAGAAGAACGCTGGTATATGGTAATATAGTTGTAATATAGTTGTTGCCAGGAAACAATAACACACAACATTAGTATTGAATTTGACACAGTTGTAGAATTCTTATCAACATGAGATATACTTATGTGTATATATGAATAGTTTACGAATAATAAAGTTAGAAACACACGTTTATTAATTGCATGTTGAAAAATAATAATTAGCAAGATTTTTCGTAAACAAAGATATAGAATTTTATTTGTAGCCTTTAAGAAGACTAACATACAATCAATATGTTATATGCATATAAAAGTATTATGTCTTGAAAGGTAGACCAGTAAATCTTGTTACCGGTAGACCTTTTTGAAGATGTCGTTGATACAACTCTTTCTTAATAAAATCACATCCTTTTCTAACAAAATTGAATTTTGGATCATTCGTTGTAGGTATCAATGGCTTCGTAAACCATCCATATCTACAATCATTTTCAACAATATTGACTATGGACAAATTTTTTACTTCCTATAATTATTTGAAATAATGAATTATTTGATAATTTACTCCATATTTGTTGAAGGAGGTCTAAAAGTATAAATGTTTTTTGGTGTTAGAGCTGTACGTCTTTCAATAAATTCAATATATTCTTTTGGAATATCAAATGAAGAAATAGCATCATGACGTGCATAAAACTTTCCAGTCAAAGATTTTAGATTGTGCGCTGTAAGAACAAATTGTTCTTGTATCTTCAACGTACGATTTTCTTTTTCATACCGTTCAGTATAAAAACGTAATTTAACAGGATCCATATATAAATTCTTAACACAAACACACACACACACACACACACACACACATCAATCGTTATATATGAAGTTGCTTAAATGTGGAGAAGAAATATATAGTCATTCGATTATTAATATTTATTTAAAATGTGTATATCAATAGAAAACACATACATAACAAGCGGAAGACTTTGGTTGATCAGCCAGAGGCTTTTCTATACAAACATCAACTTTTTTCGCTTCTTGATTGATCCAACCAGCACAATCGTCTTTTTAAATATAAGGCAACATTGCTACAAGGAATCAAAGCTCTACTTTGTTTCTCATCATTTCAAAAAGTATTTTTACATATATCGTTATTATCAATTTTGTTCTCTTTTTAATTTTTTTTTTTTTTTTTTAAATTATTCGTAAACGTTTCTGAGCGTATGCAATAAAAAGCACATTATTAAAATACTCGAGTTAATACAATTTTGTCTTTATTTTCTTGTCGAATGTATACGTTTACGTTGAAATAAGTAATAATCTAAATATTATATTTAGATTTAGTTGATGTTACAAAAGCCCTCAAAAATAAGAAAACAAACTTGAATGTGAATATTATATACAATGCCGCCGCCGCCGCCGCACTTACATCATAACTTACAATATTCTCAATAAAACAATGTTACTATAATGGGAAACACAATAATATGCTATATATGTTATACAATAGAATTTGATATCAATAAACTATATGTTGGAATTTTCTTAATAAGAACGCACTTGTATGCCATACTAATTCTATTTGCATTTTGATGTCGTATTGTTTAATTTTAATTATTTTAATTATTTTTTCTTCTTGCAAAACCTTTTACCTTTCTTTTTTCATAAATATAAGCATTACAAATATATTGTATACATATAGCTTGTTGTTTAGAGCTATTATAAAAAGAAAGATATGTGAATATTAATGTCACTGATGAATCCATGATAAATTTATCTAACAACGTAATCTTACTGGCAATAAAAGTGATAAAACATTTGAATAACACATGCGACAATTTCATTTAGTTTGAACTTTCTTCTTATTTCTCCATATATTATAGGTAGTATATTGTGTCTGCAACAAAACTCTTATCATACAAAGAAGCTTGAAATATACGAGTATAGATACTTAACATGTATTTGTTATATATAAAAATAGTATAACATTAAAATGATCGCTTTCATCAGGTTTTAAATATTTTAAAGATATTTATTTTGGTAGAATATTCGTGATTGAAATAATAGTAATAATATTGTAATCTATTGAAATAAAACTTAACATTGTTGGTGATGCTGTTGAAAAATCTATGAGAGAAATAGGCAATGACAGAATAGTGTAATAGCACTTGAGTACTATATACTTTTTAACTGGATTAAAATATGTATATAATATAAAAGAGTGCACACATCTCTCTTATTATTGTTGCTTATATTTAATAAAATCCTCTTTATTGATTTTTATTAAAAATCTGATGAAGAAGTTGAAGGCAAATCTTTAGACTCGCTATTACATCGATTTGTTATTCTGAAAAATTGCAATATTAATAAGAAGAAAAATAAGAAAAAAATCTTTGATTTATATAAGAAATGATATAGAATAATAAATAATAAATACCTTCCTTGTTCTTCAAGTTCTTTATTAATATCTTCTGTGAATTCAGTTCTTGTTTTAGCTATACACGACGACGACGACGATGACGACGTCGACGACGACAACAACAACAACGACGACGACGACGTCTTATTAGGCTTAACCGAATGAGTATTGTGATATCCATTTTCGCATCTGTTTAGATAATCATTAGACATTGGAGATTTTCGTGCAGTTAGATATTCTGGATTACTTGGAGACAACAATTCTTCATAATATTCTACTGTCTTTGGTTCCGATGCGGTAATAGTAGATCCATACTTTCTCGGTAGCATACTAGAATTTCTACTTGCATAAAATTCAACCGGATTGTTATTTAATATAGAATTCAAAGAAGAATTTCTATATGTTTCTAACTCATCGTCCGTACTAAAATCTGTACTGTGGTGGTGGTGGTGGTGGTACCTTTTATGTGCTGTAGATAATTCTAATGTTGGAGATGTTAAATATTTTCGTAATGGATCGTACGTTGAATGTGAATAATTACTACTATAATGATCAATAGGTGTCTTAACTTCTGTATTATTATACGATACTAAATCTGTGTATTTTTCTTTATCAATAGGTGATTTTCTAAATGAATTGATATCGTCGTTGTGTAAACTATAACTTCTTTGCATGAATTTCTTATTAGATGAAGGATAACTATTCAATTTACTACGATGATCTCCTTTATCTCTTGAACTACTAAAACTATATTTCCTTGGTAAAGTTACTCCTGGTGGTGGTACCGTTAAAGAAGGCCTTCTTCTATCATTAAATCTTAAATAAAAACTTCTCCTTCGTATTCTATCTATTACAGATTCTCCTTGATCTCCACGCGAAAAAAGAGAATACGATGGTGAAGTTGGTGAACTTAAATCGACTCTCGTGTGATTCAAATCAGCCGAGCATATAGACCATGAATCAAAACTATCTGGTTCATCGATGGGTGAAGTTATTTCATCTGCATATGTATTATCCACATTAGTAGATTGCATTGTATCTTTCAAACTATCCTTTTTATCTATTTCATCATTTATTTTATCTACAGATATGGTTTCTTCAATCATATTTGAAGCAGGGTATTTTGCATTAATTTCGTCTTCTTTTTCTTCGACAATATCTTCGTTAGATTGCGACTGCGACTGCGATTGCGATTGCGATTGCGATTGCGATTGCGTTACATCATTATGCAAGTCTATCTGATTTTCGATAAGTCTTGTACATTCATTTACCTCTTTTTTCAATTCATCAACATCCTTAGCTCTCAGTGGCTTATCAATAATTATTTTGTTACCAGTGATAGTTGCATGATGTGTCATTTTTGATAAAGAATCTATAAACTTTTCTGACGAAATATCGGCAGCAGTACTACTTTCGTTTATTTTCAAAGATCGAGATGACGCGTTAGCATTTACTTTCATTAATTCTGATTTTGGGGATTCCTTTTTAGAGGTATTGGCATTGGTAGTAGCATTTCTAAATGCATGTTGAGGTATTTTAGATAAATCAAGCTTTAAATTTCCTCTGTTTAATCGCGACTCAGTATATTTTATTTGACTAGTATCAGAATCCGTAGTATTTGTTTGAATATTATCAACATTTTGACTTGAATTATTTCCACCTGCCAATTCTGACTTATTTGATATAGAATCAACGGTAGAGAGATTCGCTTTCAACTTTGTATATGTTTCTTGAGTTGAACAATCGTTAGTCGTAATTTTGGATAAATGAAGTAAATCAGAATTACGCTCGTTCGAATGATCAACATTAAAGACAGGAACTTCAGGACTCTTTTCTTTCTTAGGTGAAACATTACCCCCCTTTCCGATTGCTGCTTTTGTCATTTTTCTTTTTTCTTCCGATTTAGCATCAGAATTTTCTAACGATTTTTTCACAACCTTTTTAACGACACGTACAATTTTCTTCTTCTTAGTACCTTCAGCAGTCTCTTCTTTTTGAGAGGGGGACTCCTTTAACTTACTAATTTTCGATCCCTTTTTTTTATCACCATTTTCTTCTTTCTCGGATTTCGTGGGTAGTGCACTACTACTAGTAGTATTGATCTTTTTTACAGATCCTATGCTCTTTTTCGTTTTAATTATCTTATTTTCTTGTTTACTGCTACTATTTCCTTCTTCTAAAGAAACATTGTCCATTATTTTATTACGACTTTCTAAAGTATTAGAAATAGCTTTAGTAGTAACTTCAGCATCTTCTTTCTTGCAAGAATTTGTTTTCTTAACTGCTATTAATTCTTTGTCAATCGTTGAAATTTCCATTGAAGATGATGATTTATTTATTACTTGCGACTCATCTTCTACATTTGTTTTTGATTGTTTTTCGTTAGACAACTTTTTGTCTTTCATATTCGTATCTCTTTCTTTTACTTTGTCTTTGTCTTTGTACAGCGGCTTTTTGGATTCCGTTACAGTAGTATTGTCCAAAGTCTTTTTACTTTCTATAATAGGCTTTTTAATTGATCTAGAATCATTTTTAATCATTTTCATTGGAATTTTACTTGTCGATGATGTCAAATCTTCGTTTGCCAAAGTAGTATCTGCTTTGATAACTTTGGGAGGGCTTTTCTTTAACTTACTCATTAAAGTACTTTGTGATTTGGTCGCGTTTGAATGTTGTTTGACATCAGCAGAACTTTTAAACAATCCTAAGACAGACGATACTTTACTTTTCCTATTACCATTAAGAGAATGTTCTTTCGCCAATGGCAAATCCTCAACGCTAATTGCTCTTTTAATTAAATTTGATTCCGTGAATAAAGAATCTGATGGTGGTGCTGAGTTTTCTCTCAAAGCTCTTACTTTTTGATCAATCATAATGCCACCAGCATTAGAAGATTTAGATGTATCATCTGTTACACGAAACTTTTCCAATTTTTTTTCCAAAGAATGTAGAAAACTACTACTTCTCGACGATTGTTGTCTTTCAAATTTAACATTAGAATTATCCTCTTTGTTAGATTTATCGTCCGACAAATTATCAGACTTAGACTTATCTTTTTTAAGTGAATTCATTTCATTCTTCAATTCCTTGTCTGGCTTTATTTCTGATTTAGACTCGTGAGTAGTACTTTTATTGTCATTTTTCTTTTTCATAAATCTAGATTTTCTTCGTTCGTTTTCTGCAGCTTTTTGAGCTTCTTTTTCTTTAACGTAGCGACTTTCTTCTCTTGGAGTATCGAAAAAGTCTGGTCGTAAGAATCGTGAAATTCGATGTTGCTTTGGTTTTTCACATTTGTCCTTGGAATCATTTTCTTTATTACTACCACCAGCAGCTCGAAAGAATTTACTTAAAATAGATTTTTCTGGCGACATAGGTCTTGTCATGTTAGAAAGAGCGCTTTGCGATCCGGCAAATGATTTTCTCCTATCACTATCTATACAAGGTTCTCTTGTTAAAGAACCAGATCGTAATCTTAAACTTGGAATGCAACTACGTCGTTTACATACGTTGTTTACATTAGGTGCATCTGATATTGAACTTAAAGATTCTTTGTCGCATTTGTCTGTTTCTTTGTAATTACTATTTAAATTTGGATCAAATTTCATAGGTCCTAAATTTTTCAATTTAGATTCCTTTATTAAATTTTCCGCTGCCAATAATCTATTTTCAAAATTTTTCGATGACTCCATTCTGTTGTTCTGCTGCGGTGATTTAGCACAATCAATTATTAATATGTTTGATGAGGAATCAACAGGTGATGTATTAGATATGCTAGATGTAGTATCAACTAAATTAGTATTTGAATTACATATTGATATTGAGGTACATTCGGAGGACATTGTTGAACCAATGATGTCTACGTTATTATTATCCGTACTGTTTTTAACAATTTCTTTAGAAAATTGTGATGTATCTTCTAGAGACTCTTCTTGTATTTTATCAGTTCTATGAACGTTAAAAGTATCTCTCCAAGTATTCCCAGAATTCAATTTTCCTCCACTTTCTTTATATTTTCTCCCAAGAGTCATAACTTGTCTTGGAAGTGATAAGAAATGATCGTCGTCATCAAATAGACTGATACTTCTTCTAGAAAATCTGTAATCTGGTTTATCCGCTTTATTTCCGGCTTCCAACAAACTATTGGTTCTTCGAATATTTCTATCTGCCGATCTACTTCTATATTCCGTTTGATCTGATGATGTTGTTGAACTAGAATGCCTTTTAATACCATCCTGTGTATCTATTAAACTTACATTTTCCCTAGTAGGAGATTGATAATATTTCTCACATGATATTGATGGCGATCTCGGTGGTAATGATTGTCTAGTTTGTTCTATAAATTGTCTGCTTAATCTTCTTGCCAAACTAGGAGTAAAATTCTGTTCTAAGGATTCTTGAGCCTCTTTTCTGATTTGTACCGCCTCCGCTTCTATGTCTTCATGTTCTACTTTATCTGCAAAAAATGGAGATAATGTCTATGCGAATACTACTTACAAACGGCTGTTAAACAAAGAAAAAAAAACAAAGAAAAAAAAACAAACAAAAAAGAAGAAACAATTGAATTTTTAACAAGGATATGTGAAAAATACCTCCAATATTAATAATTACACTCCTTTATTTCTACATACATAAAACTTTCTTATAAAATTTGTCGAAAAATTAATAAATAATGTTAACTCTCTCTCTCTCTCTCTCTCTCCCCCTCTCTCTCTGTCTTAAAAATCTCCCAAATTATTACATATATATATATTTAGAAGTTTCCCCCCATTAATATATACGTGGAACACTAATTTATACAACATGATGCATATTTTCAATGAATCATTCCAAGACCGCTGGAGGTAAATATAATGACTTATGTTAGACTTAGAATAGTGGAAGAATTTATAATAAATATTATTCATTTTTTTCCTTTTTTTTTTTTTTTTCTAAACAACTCGTACGTACGTACGTAAAAAATATGACTGAAAATATGCATTCAAGGTAAATAAGTTTTTTTGTCAATGTCTCTATCTGTCTGCTTCTAGTGTTTTCTCTCTCATTTAAACACATACACATACAGATTTAGTTTCTCACTCATACTCTCGTTTTCTCTAGCCCCACTGTATTTCTTTATATTGTATATCTGTGTGTGTTTTGTTTATATATACATATATAAAATTTATTATATATAGATATATATATATATATATATATATAAAGCAAATGAAAAAAATGTGTGTGTGTGTGTGTGTGTATATATTTATTGTGTACTCATTTAACAATCACATGCACACAAAAGATTGACTTCTTAACAGTTTTAGAAATGATAAATGTAGTAGACTATACAGACAGACAATTAACATATCAAGAAGACATAACTGCAATAGATCAAAGAGATACACGCTAAGAATAAATATATAATTTCTGTCGTCATACTTTTCTAAATCACAATGTGTTAAATGAGTAAATATAAATTCAAGAGAATTGTATATATATATATATATATATAATGCAATATTTATAATATTAAATATAATATGTGTAAATAGCATTATATTAAAGCATGCTGACAGAGAATGAGAAGTAATAATAAAACACTGTTATTTAAACTCTTAAAACACAACAAATATCAGCCATTACATACAAGTGTTAGCTTCAGTTTACCACATATACAACTTAATAACACCCTCCCTACAAATCTCATTTCAAAAATTGCTTTTTTTTCTTCTTTTTTTTTCATAACAACTGTTTGTTTTTACAATACGTCAACGATTAGTTTATTCGCCAATAACGTTTAGCAGGCATAGTAGTACGATTATTCATTTTCTACGTTTTCTCATTTTATTTGATATCACATTTATAACTGTCGATTGCTAGATTTTCTTTTTTTTTTTTTTTTTCTATAAATTTCAACTATAATTAACATGTCAGCATATATTTGAATTGAAAAAAAAAAAAAATAAAGATTTTTTATTTCTTATTTTTAATCTTCTTTTTTCTTCTTCCCTTATATAATTTTTTCTCATATATATATATAATAAATAAATAAACATATACACATGCTTGCATGTTAAAATAAATAATAGAAATTAATTTTCGTCGTCTAATGCCTTTTTAATTGCAACAGCCTTTTTAGTGCACACACGCTTACGAGCTGTTAAAATAAATATGTGTGCTTCTTCTTATGAAACTTTCTGTTAAACAGCTACATATATTATATATATATAAAAGAAAAGAAAAGAAAAGAAAAGAAAAGAAAAGAAAAAAAAAGAAAAAAAAAAGATAAAAGAAATAACAAGAAAATGTTATATATATATTATTGTGATGATGTTACTGTTTGATACAGTAATATATGAACGACGTCATATAAGATCAACGAATGTTTGAGGAATTCGAAAAGAAAGTGTATGTGATGAAATAACTCAATATTTATATGAGAAGGACCATCTCTGGTCACATTTACTAAATTAGATATAATATAGTACCTAACTTGGTATGTTTCTATTGGGGATTACCGTCAGTCCGCCTACGTAGAGTCACTCGCACGGTCGCTGCAACAACCGTTATAAAAGTCCGTCAATACGTATTATTAAACTAAGACCATTGAAATATTGCTAAATACATCTTTAATAAACAATATTGCTCAAAATCTCATAGAATTACTTTGATATGATATTAGGAGTATATTCATTATTTGATCAATTTAATAATCCAAATAAATGATTTATTTGAATAATAATGAACGTAACGTTATTCATAATCTCGTCGTCTAACACAAAATTAATCCATTTATTTATCGATCATTTAAATAGATTACTTTGAAATATAGACTTTAAGTGAAAAATATAATCTCCTTAATATCAATCAGTGGTAATAAATATATTAAATGTAATTACTGATTGAAGAGTCGACGATAGACGTAAAATAATGCATAAGTTCGAACTATATGGATCTCTCTCTGTCTTGGAAAGTGGAATTTAATATCTTTTGTATATTTCTTTATGGATGTGTGTAGATTCATGCTCTGTATCTTAATACAATATATATATATATATATATATATATATGTATATATATAAATAGGTAGATGAAAGGTTCTTTCGCTAATGTGTTATAAAGGATAGTATAAATCAACAACAGCATTGCAACAACTACTGCGTATTACAAAGGTTCTATGTCAGGCGAAGTGAGTTTACGGTTGAGTTTACGGTTGAGTTTACGGTTGATTTTACGACCTTTTTCTTTCTTTCTTTCTTTCTGTTTTTATTACTATTAAGGATATTTTGTGTACTTATGTTATTATTAAATATCCTAATGTAGACATTATTTTGTGTAGTTTTAATATAAACTATCTACTAATGATTCATGACAAGGCATACAAGTCCTAGATTTAATAAACAATTTTGATAAACACGTTTACCTTTTAAGGTAAACGAGTTCTATATTAAATAATAAATATTTATATATATATATATGTAAGATTGATGATAAAAAAACTTAATTGATGTAGCAATTATTGCTAATAGTATATAATTATATAAAATTAATGAAATAATTTAATTATAAAAAATAAATATACTAGTTTAGACAAGGAGTAAAGTATATATTTAAAAAAGAAATTACATTCGCGAAGAAAAAAGAACAGAAAAAAAAGGCAAATGTCTACCCACCTGTGCCAAACATGAACCATCTAGTTATTCTAAAAAATGTTAGTAGTCAAAAGTTGCAAAACATCGTCAGGCAAGTAAATCAAAGGAAATAAATTGGAGAAAATAAAAAATAAAAAACAATAGGTAAATCAATAAAATAAACAGAAAAAGATATGCTCTGTCTATCAACGACTCGACAACAGCTAGGTACTAGGAAATAATGCATACTGAATACAATCCAGCATTTTCTCACACGGATAATATTCTTCTTAACCAGTGACAAAATAGCATAATAATAGTATCACCTTTTCACAGCAGATTTCTTCACAACAGATTTGTTCAGTAATAAATAATCTACTTTACGTAGATAGCCGCAGCAATGTGCGCTACATTTATATTATGTATAATGTGTAACTACTGTGAAAACGTGTGTTAACACCATACAACATCAAATATTTTAATTTATACATTTCACAGTGGGACACCTGTTATTAGACACCTTTTATTATTTCAATAAGCTTGTTTATTTTAAAACACTATTTCGAATAGATATTATTATGATTTGATTGTTTTACAGGTAATTCCACGGTAAATTGTAGGATAATTATGTATAATATTAATATCCTTACCTCGTGGTAATGTATTGCTTCCTATTTCGAAAACACTCTCCCTTGAAGAAGGTGCATTGTGAGAGCTTGGACTATTAGGAGAGCTAGGATTTAATGAACTGGTAGAATCCTTTCTACCAAATATATCGGTGTCACGACTACTCAGAGAATGTTTGAACTGCGATTCCGAAAGTCGCCTGTGGTAATAAGAAAAACAAAGTTTCCCCTTTAATTTTATAACGATATTGGCTAAGTATTTATTTATGTCATCATTAATAATTATATCATTATTGATTTATACCAAGATTAAATATCTTCTTAATTTACAATATATATAGAGAGAGAGAGAGAGAGAGAGAGAGAGAGCAGGAGAGTAATCAAATGAAAGGGTAGTGCATAAAAAAGGGTGCCAGTATATCTATGAACAGATTGAAAGTATTTTCAGCTCACTTATTTCTGTATTATGCGTGCCACTACTACCACCACCACCACCACGTGCTGAATATACAATGGCATTGCAAATGAAACGAAATAAAATATAATTTTATTATGTCCTTAAATCGAACTCACGTTGTCACGGTCCTTGTTTCAAAGTAACTCTCGTGGCTTGCATAAATGAGCAATGATACCATTGCCGTTAGAGACAAAGAAATACTTTACTTACTAATTTATTTCTTCTACATATGATTATGTATCACATATCACATATTACATATCACATATTACATGCATATGTATAGTCACGTAAAATAATATCTAATTAAGTCATTTGTAAAAATTACCTTGATAGGGGTTTATTATGACTCCAAAAATTTTGTGGCGAATTAACACCAAGTCGTCCCAATAATCGGCTACTTGGAAAACTATTTCCTCTGGTATCATCAACGTTAAGTCTCTGTGTTAAGCTTCGTACTCTAGATAATAACGTAGAAAACAAATTTTCAGCTGTTAATAGTTCGAAACCATCGTCGTCGTCATCTTCGCCGGAAGATAAACTATCGCCATGTTCGGATGGTTGTCTAGATGGCCGAGAACTTCTTAATCTGTGCATATGCCTTTGTAAAAGATCTTCGCTATCTCTGCAAAATGTAAAATAGGGGGTTTTTTTTTTTCTTTTTGTACATTTTATCACACGAGTTATTATAACAAGATTTAAGATAAAAGACAATATTACCTATGTAAAGTAGAAAATGGCGATTCATCTTCACTAGCATCAGATAAAAGAGAACTCATTCTTCTCGGTCTATTAAATCTGGATGATCTTGGTGCTGCATTTGTACTACCAGTTGGTGTGCTAGTCTTACTTTCTGGTTCTACGCTTCCAGATCTAGGTGTAACATAACCACCACCCTCTACAGCAATAGGAATTATATATTCCCTTGGGCTCTTCCTTATTGGTTCTGGTCCTATCGTTGAACCAAGAGCACTGTCAGTATCAGAGTCTGCCGTTGATTGACGAGATAAAGATCCTGATCGCTGGGACATTGATCTTTGTGGCATCGGAGGTTTAGGAGGGGTAGATGATGATTGTTGTGGTGCATGTTGATGGTCTGGTTCAACCTATTATTATTATTATTATTATTATTATTATTATTATTAAGATGTAAAAGATTATAATAGGTATATTGATTATTTTATTTAGTGAAAAAGCAAAAAACAAAAACAATTACCTGGATAGGAATGATCCTTTCGCGTGGTTGAACTTTTGGTTTTATTTCTGGTTCTAGACTAGAACTTCTATTTGCTTGTGGAACCACTGCAGCAGCCGCCACAGGAAATGCTATTTCAGATTTTTGCGTTCTTAACTTTTGTGTAGGGAAAGCATCGACTTTAGCTTCTACTTCTGATTTAAAAGCAACTGCATCTGAAATCTTATGCCCTGATAATGTAATTTCCGCTTTACTTGTTTTACGTGGTCGTGGTAAAGTGGCACTTTTAAGTGTTATTTCCATTTTACTAGACAACTTTGGCTCTTCTGCTGTTACTTGTGAATTATTCTTATCGGATAATTCACATGTACTAGGTGGTGTCTGAAAAATAAGAAAATAATGAATAAAATATCACTTTTGAAATAGAAAATTATGAAATAGAAAATTAAAGTGAATATAACTCACTGTAATATCGGACGACGATATGGAATTATTGTCAAATGAAAATGTATTTTCAGTTGAAGGAGCGGATGCCGCCGATACCGTAGTAGCAGATCTAACATCGTTCGAAGAACCAACCGGTATCTTCAATCCTATCTTCTTAGATTCTTGATTTTGAGGTGATGTTGGTGGAGAACCATTAACTTTTCTAAGCACAGGCGGTTTACCAATTGCACCAGATATTATGTCTACTGCTCGTTTCTTAGCTTCATCTCTTAGTTTAATCGATTTTTCCTCTGTATCTATACTAGTAGCCTGATTAAGTTTAGAAGATTTATCTTCTATTTTGTCGGATTTTTTCTCTACATCGATAATAACTTTAGAAGCATTATGTTTAACTGGTGTAATGGTGGTACCAGACGTAAGACTTGCTTTGCGTTCAAAGGCACGCTTGGCACCACCAACATTAACACCAGGAATGAAAATCTTTTTGGGTTTATCATTTTCTAATGAAGATGACATTTGATTAAACTTTTCAGCAGTTTCAAAAATTCTCGATCGCCGTCTTTCAACTGGTTTCGCAAGTACATCTTCAACAACTTCGTTGCCAAGTTCAAAATCAAGAGACAACGCTTTTTCTTTTAATTTCTTTATTTCTTTATCCATAGATTTGATTTGTTTCGTATCATCCGAAACTGATTGATGAGAGTCATTCATTTCCAATTTGTTACTACTTAAATTATCTTTATTTGGCACATTTATATTGGAAGTATCATTTATTAATTTCTTATTACTCGACGATATTTTATTTGGTAATGCATGTGTACTTTTATTCCTTTCTACAGAAGCTATAGTTTGTTGAAGATTACTTGCTTTTTCTTCAGATTCCTTCAAGTATTTATCTTGTAACATACTTTCCATGTTTTCATTTTGACTAGTATCGCAATATCTTTCAATATTCTTAGCAGACATATCTTTGGGTAATTGTTCGTGTTCCATAGGTACAGGCGTCTTACTTCTTTCTTTGCTAGGTGATTTTTCTTTAGATTCTTCTATTAATTCTAAACAAGCTGCCTCATTTAATTTATTTAAATCAACAGTCTTACTTGTAGGAACAGTTACAGTCGCTGTAGGCTCTACTTCCATTGTTTCTTCCATTATGGAATTTGGAATTGGTGCTGAATGATGCCTGGACGTTGATCTATACATCCTAGGCTCTCTTTCGTCTGATCTTTCTTTTCTTCTAGACCTTTCTTTCTTTTTAACAGTAGCCGCGATCGTCTCGTCCATCGACGGCGTTGTTTCTAATTTTCTTTTCGCATCCGTAGCTGCTGCTGCTGCTGCTGCTGCTCCTTCTCCTTCTCCTCCTTGATTTTCATCCTCGAGTAATTCTCTTATACGTCTATCTGAATTATTCTGATCAAATTCCATTAGACTACCAACGGAGTGACATCTCGTAGGTACTAGGGTCTCGGAAGACATATTATTTGCCACATCTCCGCTCGTTTGTTGATCACCTACAAGTAATTTCTCAGCACTAGCCGATTGTGGTACCAAGGAGAGTAACAAATCGAGTCGCACAGGAGTTTGCGCAGCAAGATCTTCTGCAATGTCGAGACAATTTTGTTCGTAACCTTCATTTACCCACCAATGGCTACAAATCTTTTCTATATCTGCCCGTCTAGCAGGACAAGCTGTGAGCATATCCCTAATTAAAGGGGAAGCAGCTGAAATAAAAAAAAAAAATTACTAAATGAACAATTATGTTCATTTATGCCCTAATAGAATGAACGGTAATTAGAAAACTTTCTGCTGGTAAAAAAGTTATACGTGTTTGATAAGTAAAATAAACTTACGAGATGGCTTCTTGGGTTCAAAATAATCAGACTGGGAGATCTGTTTGACTAGTCGCTTAAAATTGGACCCATCGAAGGGCATGGCACCATAAACCAATGTATATAAAAGAACTCCTAAACTCCAACAATCTACTTCAGGTCCATGATAAGGCGTACCTTTAACAATTTCAGGACTTGCATACAATGGACTACCGCAAAATGTGCTCAATAATCTTTGTTCGTCGAATACATTAGACAAACCAAAATCAGCTATTTTGGCATTTCCGATTTGATCTAAGAGTATATTTTCTAGTTTAAGATCTCTATGGCATATTTTATGTTTATGGCAGTAAAAAACTGCAGTTGCTATTTGACGAAATATTCTTCGTGCTTCTTGTTCTGACAAAACTTTACGTTCGCTCAAATAATCATATAGTTCACCACCAGCAGCATATTCCATAACCAATACCATCTTCTCTCTGTTTTCGAAAACTATCAAAGGTAAAGACACATTTAAATGTTTCAATAATAATTCACAGTTTGAAAAACTTGTTCATGATAAATAATCGCCCATGTTTTTATCACCTTCATAAATGTGAATGATATTAGGATGTTGCACACTTGACATGATTTGTATTTCTCTTCTTATTCGAATCAAATCAGCCTCTGTCTCTATTTTACATTTTTTTATTGTCTTTATCGCTACCTCTTGGCCTGTTTCCTTATTTATTCCTAATTGTACTTTGCCGTAAGTTCCTTGGCCCAGTTTTTTGATAATGTCAAACCTGAAAAATATTACAATATTAGGATTGTTAACGATCAAAGGTGTCAGCGAACTTGGAAAGCCGGCGCCGCTTGTCGAAACAAATCGTACGCGATTTTCTACTACTATTATTATCATCATCATCATCATCATCATCATCATTATGATCATTATGATCATTATGGTCATCATCATTATCAAAGAAAACTCGCGGCGCATACCGAGGAGGAGCCACGCACGACGAATCGTTGCCAAAACTCATAAATTGGTGAACGCATCACCGATCCTATTTTATTATCCTATCGTTCGGCAAACTTATAAACTCGCCAATTAGAAAATAGAATTAATGATAAAGCAAAAATATGTAGATAGAAGATAAAGACAATTCACCTTTGTTTTAATTTCCTCTTGTGATTATGAAGACGCACTCCACCTGTACTCTCCATACCTCCCATAATATTGTGTATACTAGCTTCGCCCACTACCATCTTGATTGTTGTTTATCTAGAAAAAAAACAAAACAAAAAACAAAAAGAAAAAAAAATCAAAGGAAAAGTTGTAAATGCATAAAGTTATTTAAAAGCAAAGATAAAAGAGATTTTAAAAGGAATGAGCTAAAAAGAAGTAGGGGAAAAAAAGCTCGTTATTACTTTTTATTCTTTTAGCATAGTTTTTTAAGGGTTTCGTGGCAATGACTCTAAGCATGATCCTTTTTCTCTGTCAGAACAGCAAGAGACCAACAGTCGGAACGACTCGTCCCTGTCCTCATAAAAGGAGGATGACAGTAGGCGCTTTAAACCAGCCAAGCTTACGTGTTAAAGAAGAAAAGTGAAAGCGAGTAGTTGGTAGGGCTGAGAGAGAAAGACAAAATGCGGTGAGTTTATTTCGAGCACCGAGACGGCAACGTGTGTCTCCACGTCGGTGGGCTCCTTTCTCTCTCTCTCTCTCTCTCTCTCTCCCTCCCTATATCATCTTCGCATCTTCTTGCAAAGAATATATACGCGTCTACGTTCTATTGCTTCTCCAGGAAATCATTGACAAACTTTCAAATTTCTTCAAATTTGTTTCATTTCATACGGATGTATTTATTAATATAATGAATAATCTTAATATTTAGGTGATGAGAATGACTACGTTGCAAGATAGGTCAATTCTCAAGAGTTGTTCAGAGTGTTCCTTAGCTAGATTGGTACTTTTGAAAAGTGCAATTGTGCTGTGCCAGCTTTCCGAGTAAGGTGTCTCTACACGTATACTACGACTCAACGTCAAGTAGAGCGTTAGAGTCAATAAAATGTCTTGTTAACGTATTACTTTGTGCTAGATTAAAATGATTGAGACGTGAAGATAAATTATTGCGTCATTATATTCGTTTATATAGAGGAAGGAAGTTTCTTCTATTAAAATACGAGAATACATTATATAAAAATCGAAAAAGATCTTACAATATTTTCAACTTTATTGTTAGTTTCCGCATATCCTATGCCAAAAATGTTACGTTACTATTAGCCAGCCCACAGTGGGCTGTTGTTACATTACAACGCGACAAATAAATGAAACTTGAACATTTACACATATCGTAATTCATTGAACGAACTAGTCTAAAAACGTTAAGACCTCGAATACAGTCGTCTCGCTTTATACAATTTTAACAATGTCCGAGAGCGGTAAAACCGACCTTCTTAAGTTTCTCTTAACGTTTCTCTTAACGTTTCTCTTAACGTTTCTCTTAACGTTTCTCTTACTCGTTTTATTATTATTATGTATTTTAGTATTATTTAGCTATATTGATATATACGTAAAATAGTTACGGGCAAGCGCACCTAGAACATTCCAAGATTGGCCATTTGCCTTGGAAACTAGGAGTAATTAATTATATTACTTTTGTCACCTAGTTTGTAGTAATATATTCATAGTTTCCAATCAAAACTTTTTCATTTCTAATTGAATTAAATTATTGGAGTAACATTTGAAGATTTGAAAGAAGGCGTTGTGAAAGGAAAATGAGTGATATACCATGTTTAAGTGGTAACGTTTAAGTATTTCCGCGTGTCGGGAAGAGTCATCCTTCCCTAAAGAGTTTCAGTGACTGGCATACATAGCGCAATGCTGTCTGCATATTTCAGAAGGCGATGCATTCATGCTCAGAGTTCATTTTCCCGTTCTTACAGGGGTGAGGGCAAACATATCATCTCTACTACTGTCTGTGACTTTTCAACCGAACATTTGTCGTTTAAAGTTAATACTACAATACTGCTATCATCGATATTACTAATAGAGAGTATACAACACAAGAGAACACAAGAGAACACGTGCACGTACGAAATCATTCTCGATACTTGATCAGTGCGCTTTCGATATTTTTAGCAGAGCACGTAGACCCGTCGCGTGGGCAGAGATCTGCCGCCTCAGGGCCGACGTCCTAATGACTCCCATATCTTTATACCAATTGAAAAAAGATTAGAAATGTGACAAGATAAGAGAAGCCATAGGGGTTAAAACACGTTCGAATATAAATTCAAGAGAAAATAATTCTAGTCTCGATTATTTTTACATTATACAATAACATTATAACAAATAGGGTTGCAAATATCGAAGATATATTTTTATTATTATTATATATATATAAAAAAAAAAGCTACAAGGTTGCGGAATGCGAAAGGAAAGCTAGCTTTTGGTATTCGGACGAAGGTCGGATGAAGCGGTGCGTGACGTGCGTGGTAAGGATGATGTTCTCCACGTCATGACGTCACACGGTGTACTAATACGGTATCCTGCCTGTGTGTGATTCACGTCATATTATAGTATCATATAGTATCTCGTTACTCTTAAAAAGCGCGCACCTTATCTAAAATAATAAATAACAAATTGAAATTTCCAATTGAAATGATATTGATACTTATGTACTTATGATCTTATATATATATAGAAACCTACACGAACAGGTGATTGAATTATTCGAAGAAATCAAAACTATACTTACTTGCTTATCTGTGTTCCTTCGATTTTGTAACATTTCTAACATTGCGATTGAACGATGTACATTCTTACAATAGAATTTAACGAATAAGAATTGAAGAAGATGCAATCAAAAAGGATTAACGTTACTTTTAAACGAGTTCAACTCAACTGTCAATTGAAAAATGCAAAATGTGTGTCAGCGTGTAGATGTGTGTTTAAACGCACATACGAGAGCGTGCTATTCGGTATTTAGGTTTCCACAGATAAAAATAGCATCTTGATATTCAAAAGGGATCCTTTACTACGTTAATGATTATTCAACCACAATTCATGCATTTAAGAAAAGTCATTTTCTTTTAATGACACATTATCTACTTCTTCGATCAATTACAAATATAACTTTGCTTAACGATTAAGTCTACTATTGTCTCACTATTAACTCTAATGAAAATATTAAACTAACTTTATAAGTGTTGTTTGTATGATAGTTCATTCTTATCTTTTCTACTTTCATATTTTTAATTAAATGTATATCTATCATCATCGGTTCGATCTTTTATTCGTCAAAGTCTCTTGAAATTTGATGCTCCAAAATGAATAACGTCGACAGAAGCTTTGAATGAATATCGACAGTCCGGCCGTATTCTAAAAATAGCGAGAATTTGTACCTTACTGTGAACTCTGGAGCAAGATATCCTCCTTTTCGGCTTCCACTCTTCTTCCTCGGTCTCGTTTCGTGTCTCACTCTCTCCTTTTCTTTCCCCACTACTTTATTCTCTCTCTCTCTCTCTCTTTCTCTCTCTCTATCTCTCTATCTATCTCTTATTCTCTTTCTCTCTTACACTCTTACCCTCCTCTTTTACTTTGGTAAATGTAAGTAGAATTTAAAAAAAAAAAAAAAAAAACCCCACTATTTACACGATAATTAGAGTAGCTAAAAAAAAAGTCGTTTTCACTAAGTATCTACGCCTCTTGAATTTTCTTCGGAAATCACGATTCCTCTACGTTTCCACTTCATTTTCGCAGACATTTTCTTAGCGACAATGTGATGCACAACTTGCTCGTTACCACCATCTTTTATTTACTAATTTTGGATCTGAACAGTGATGCCAGGACGTGGGATTCTTCCCACGCATGCGCATTACTTAATCCTCAGTAACGTATATACTCCATTCAAACATGAGATATCCCATAGGCCCCCGTGACAATTGAGATACGATAGAAATTACAGGAAGAGGACATTTTTTTTTTTTTTTTAATATCATATTTACCTGAAAATAAATGAATATATAGTTTTTTATTATTTTGTACATATGCAGCTCTGATTTATTACATGAATACCAACATTTGTTGCGGAAGTAAGGAAAACTGCAGAAAAGCAGTCTTTGAAAATATTGTTCTTTAGTAAAGATAATTTGAGTACTTTCCCTTTTTTACTAGTCTTTTTATCCGCCAATTCACTCGAACTAGGCTGCTGATAATCCATTTTCTGATTTCTGTCACTGTAATACACTAATATTCCACTACAATTCAATATATTATATAACATTAAGCGACGAAACTTCATTTTAACGAAAAACGCGGGAAACGACTGGGAAAGGGGGGGAGGCCCTTACGCTTACCTATTGTAGATACGTCCATGGAAACAACCGCCGTCTAGCTGTGACGTCGCTTGCGCATGCGCACGGAGGCTCCCACGTGGGAGAAAATCCCATGTCGTCCTGGCATCACTGCTAAACACCGGAAACGGGGAACGAGGAACAAACGAACCGCAGCTGCACTTATTCCCTGTTTGTAGCGATACGCGCCTTAACAAAAATATATTGGAAAATCTGTATTTTATTACCGACTGGTAAAACATTTATCGCCATCTAGCAATACTAGCTATTACTTTATTTTACCGACCGGTAAAATATGTGTTACCATCTAATCGGAAAAGTACATATACACACGTCATACTATTAAACAGATTGTAAATACATTGAAACAGCACAAAATTACAAGAATATATTGACTGTTTAAATAATTTCCAAAATATTCTTTGACGACGAAAGAATCGTACATTGATATCTGACAAATAATTTCAAATTTGGCGGGGCTGATTTCAAAATGGCGAATGTTAGTTCGTTTTACTAAGTAAGTCCACCCTTCCTGACATTCTCAATACTCATCGGTCGTAAAATCTTATATTCTGTTCCTTTACTCCTATCTAAGTTGCTTGGTTGTGCTTCTCTCTGTGTGTGGTGCGTGTGTGTTTTTGTAGAATACATATAAGCATAATATTGAAGGAGGGAAGCAAATCTACTAAGCTTGCTGAAGTTTTTAATAATATTTTATTGTTAGAAGAGTTAATATTACTTGTTAATTTGCAATACTCTTTCATTGATGGTGATTTCATATTTATTATATTATATATCGAATGATTCTTCCATAAATTTTACATTTTTGTCAATGAAAAATATTAAATTGAATGAATGTTAAAGGCAGTTTAGAGAAAAAATTTAATAAAGAATTATCATTAGCAATGATACCTAAAAGTATGCCAGGAACAACATCGACCAAATCTGATGTGTGTGATAAAATTTTATTAAATCCTATTAATAATGTATTTGTTAAATCAGAAGAAGAAGAAGAGGAAGAGGAAGAAGAAGAAGAAGAAGAAGAAGAAGAAGAAGAAGAAATGTGTATTTCTTCTAATAAGACTGGCCAAAGTAATACGTACAAAAGTAAAGACATTAGTGATTCAATGGTACAATCTACTGTAGACCAAATAGGAGTATGCGATAGTTCAATTGTGTATGAAAATAATATATCTAATTCAGAAACTCCTCGTGATATGAAGCATGATCTCGAATCGCATCAATCCAATGTAGATTCACATAAAGTAAGCAATAAAGAACTCATTGCGAGTACAGAATCACATTCTGTATCACAGAAAGAAATCAAAAATGGAGTGAAATGTGGTAATTCTATTATGATACCTTCTGGTCAACCAAGAAAAAGAGGAAGACCTAGGAAGTATGTGTGTATTCAAACTCCAGATGAATGCGATAACTATGTTTCGCAGCAACAGATTTCCAATTCGGAAACATCAACATATTGTAGACAAAATTCTTCGAATACTTCACTAACTGAATCTAACAATGAACTTTCGAATGATCACTTAAGGTAGTACCTCCCTGTGAAGACCCAAATTTCAATGCTTTTTTCTCATGAATTTTGTTGAATAGGAAAATCAAATGCGATCGTTTTTCAATTTTAATATGTTCTTATTAGTATCTTCAACTGTACAAACAAATTTTTGTTAACGTTAAAAATCAAATGGAGGCAACAAAATAGAGTTATCTGAGTTATACACCCTACGGCGCGCTCCATACTTTCGGTTATAACTTTGAATGACAATACTCTGAAATTTTCGGAGCATATTTTTGAAATGTTTTTCTTACGAAATATGTAAAAAAAAAAACAAAAAAAAATAATCGATTTTTTTCAACCGATTTTTTTTCAACAGGGGGGAGACATCCACAAAAGTAGATATTTGTAAAAAAATGAATACACCTAGGCGAAGAGGACGTCCTCCATCGAAAGTTAAAAATAATAACGCGAAAAAAGAAAGCATGAGAAGCCAAACAGAGAATGAAGAGATACAAATGTGTAAATGCATGAGATGTGGAATAGAAATAGCAATAGGACAATGGGAAACGCATAATATAATGAAACATAACAACATGGGTTGGTATGAAGGAGAGCAACCAATGGTATGTATATAATACAAGATTTTTCAGTGTTTTTATTAACTAACTGTTTTATTAAATAACATTCTCATAGAAAAATATACTCTCTCTCTCTCTCTCTCTCTCTCTCTAATTGATACTTATATTATAACTTATATATATACATGCATCATTTTGTTATAGGATTTTGAAAATGATAAGAAATTATTGAAAAGGGTATTATCTATTGCCATAAAAAAAAGGAAAGGACAACTTTGTTGCGAACAATGTGAAGTAATGAAACGTAGTGTTAATGGATTTATATCACATATTCAATTTTGTGGTAAATCGGATGATGTAAGTTGTCATATTTTTTAAATAACATTATTATAATTCAATTGTCAAGAAAGAAAATGTAATCTTAGGAAAGCAGAGCATTAATGGTAACATGTTCCGTGTGCAATAATTCTATGAGGCCATCATCTATGGAAACTCACGAACGAATTCATAGAGATTTGAAATATAATAAACGCAAACATCTTCCAATCGAACTTGCAGCAGATAATGAAAAAGTAAAACGTAAAGCTGCTGAAAAGTATGTATAAATAATTATGAAATCTCCTGTAACTGATGGTACAAGCGGGTGCTTATATACAAGCTCTATAGGTGTTTAATAATACATTTTCTACAGAATTCAAACATTCACAAAATTATCTTTTGCTCCGTTCTGCGCTCTCATGTACCACCAGTGCTTGCTGCATGATATCATTGAGTCAACATGCTGAAAATCTCATTTCTAAATGTAAATCGATTGATTATCGAAATTCTTTTTACTTTCTTTTTTTTTTTTTTTTTTTTTTTTTTTTTTTCTTTTTGTTTTTTCTTTTATAGAGCTGTGTCAAAAATATTACAGTTTACAGAACTTGTTAAAGAAGAACAAAAACAATCTAAAAAGGTGGATTTCGATTCTTCTGTATTGGTAAGCAAATCTAAAGCATGATTTTGTGTAATGTGCAACTATATTAGCTTGCAATTATTTACAAAATGATGCAATTTCTACAAATTATTAATATACAGGGTGGTAATAAATGAAAGGGTTTGCGCGCGATATTTGAAGAGCTTATAGTACTCATTGATTTGAATGTTCAATTGTTTATAGTAACGTATATATTATACAATACGATCTTTGTTGATATTATTAATTTCTTAGGACCAAGTACTACTATTGTTACTCTTCACATATTACGGCAAACTCTCTTGTTCCCACTGTAGAAAAAAAGTTAATTTTTAAAAAGTTAATTTTTAAAAAGTTAATTTTATAAAAAGAATAAAGAGAGTAAACTGTAAGTGTACTAATGAAATAAGTATGCTAAATAGAAACACACCTCTGCAAAGGATTGTTTCTTCGAAAAGCTATTTTTAGACTGGACACTTGTTGCATGCTACATATCTTTTTCGCTCATAGATATATTATTAAGGCAAAGTAAAAATGGAAAAAAGGAATGTGTATATAATATGTCCTAAGAGAAATGAAATAATGTCTAAAAGAAGACAAATAATCTGGATATATTGTGCTGAAGGAAATGATTTGATATTTTCTTCTATGTTATTCTATTAAATAAAGACATTTTCAATTAAATCTTATTATGCAAGAATATACTGGAATGAAATACTGGAAATAAAATGGATACAGATAATAATAATAATTGTAATAACATTTATAAGGGAAGTGCCCAGTCTATTGCTACTTGCTATTTATAAATTATAAAACTTACTTTACTAAATAGCAGTTTTCAGCATTACTGGTTAATATCATTTCTGTGCAAATACAGAGTTTGATTTATAAATTGATTTGATTCACTATTCATCATTATACAATAATATAACACAATAACGAATATGGTTGTACTGCTGCATCTATAATATCTATATTAATTATATAGTTTTGTTTAAATATCGTGATAGATATCGTGATAGATATCGTGATAGATATCGTGATAGATATAATTTATTCCAATTAATCCATTTCATTCGCGCGTATATGCATTGTACACATTTTTCTATGTCTTCAAATTTCTGCTTATTATTGTGTATGTTTCTGGAGTAGTAGGGGGTCTTCATCAATTCAATCAATGTTTAAATAATTCTAGGCTGAAGAAATAGCACCAAATACAAGCACTAAATCTGAAGATACATTGGATGATACAAATGGTACATCAAATCTTACCGGTATCAATTGCCAAGAAAATAAATCTTTTCAAACTGAAGCACACCCAATGAAAATGAAAAAGCCAAAAAGTGAAGATGATTCATTTTTAAAAATTGATAATACATTACCTGCTACAGAAGATCAATACGATACATTTGGATCGTACGTAGCAAGTGAAATACGATGTTTGAATTCAGAATACTTACGCAAAAAATTAAAGAGAAAGATACAATGTGCTATCATAGATATACAAGATGAAGAAGATCGACTTCCAGGATCAGCTACTCCAGAATCTTCATTCATTTAAATTATACTTTTTCTATTCATTTTCTTCAATATCAAAACTTGTTGTTTTGACTATAACGACATTCATCTAATTGATTTTCATTTCATTCATTTTCATCATTATTAAAGATAAAATTGACAAAAAGAAGAAATATCGATTTCTATAAAACTCCATCAAGTGTAATAGAAGAAAAGTCAAAGTACTTTTACATTATTTACAAATGTAATATACAATAATATAACGTAGAAATGAACGTAGTTTCATATTCCTTAGAAAATAATCTTAATATTTTTTATAATCTTTCAATGAATTTTATTGCAATTTTGTTCTATTAACTGCAATATTAGATCTTCTTATCATCTATCTTAATTTACATCTAACTTTGAAAGGAGAAATATTCCAAAATGTATCATGCAATAAATGTCCATATTTAAATAGTTTTCAATATTATAGAGATAATAATAATAATACTACTACTACTACTACACTACTACTACTACTACTACTACTACTACTACTGTATATTGTACAATAGAATAATGGGATGGTTTGGTATTTTTCATGCCAGATTATTTGGTTTCAAATAATGCATTTTAAGTTGACTACTGCATTTGACTCTTGTTATGATATATTTACACAATTATAGAAAAACATTCAATTGCCGGAATTGAAAAAGAAAATACCATCTATTTGGAAATCTTTATGGAAGAAGGAATTACAATCGAAAGGCATTACGCAATGTCGTCAAGTAGCATGTAATTTTACAAGTAATTCCTACGATGACATGTGTAAACATTGTTCTCAATGTAATTTTACACCTCAAGAGGTAATGTATATTACAAATGTAATATTCTTTGTATACATCTCACATCATGTAATAATAATATGTGATCGATATATCTGTTTTTCTCTTTTTTCTCTTTTTTTTCTTTTTTTTCTTTTTTTTCTTTACTGTCGATAGAAATTTATGTGTAAAATATGCAAATTTGTATCTACGAGTAAAGTGGAAACTATGGAACACGTCAAGGTTAAGCATTCGGAAATAGAAGACAACACAGATAATTCACCTGATTTTAAAGAAGAAAATACAACTGATGATGAAAGTGAAAACGATTTATCTTTCAAATTTGAACAGCAATATCATCATAATGCATCTTCGGTGAAAGAAAGTATGTAAATAAGTCTTTTTGTAAAACAACAATCAATGCATGTGTAAATATTTTCTATATTTTATATTTTGATAGGATCAGCTAGCTTAATGATGTTTTTGGATGATCCGCACGCATTAAAAGCATCCTGGAGTAAATTTTATGCGCCTGCTTTTAAGTGGACAATGGAATTGTAACTATTAATTTTGTATTTCAATGTAACTTCTTTCTTTTGATAAATGAACACGGTAAATGAACGATAAATGAATGAATTTTGACAGCGAGATGGAGAATTACGAATTTCAATTTTACGATGATTATCTTCCCAATCCGTTTGTACTGTTAAATAATGAAGATGCAAAACAATATCTACCACCATTAAAAGTATCAATGGCTACAAAAACAATAACCGTTAATGCATCTAACAATACGAAACATGGGGAAGAGGAATGGAGATATTGGAAAACATTTGAAGGGAGAATTTCAGAGGGTGAAAAAATCAATATAAATAATCGACTTATATATTGTTGTTGTTGTTGTTGTTGTTGTTAGTCAGTCAATAATAGTAGTTCATTTGAACTTTCATTTCTATAGATTTACCAGCATTTTTTGCTGGTGGACCTGTATGGGCCTTAGCATGGTTACCTATACCAGTTTATGTACACGATAAAACACCTGACCAATACGTAGCAGTAAGTACACATCCTCAAATGGAGAACAAGTATACTGTACTAAAGGCAGATTCAGGACCTAATATGATACAAATCTGGAATATGGGTAAATTAACTAATGAGTAAGTTTTAAATAGGTAGTCTAAGTAATATTTCTACCTACTATTATACATATCATATATAGTATATTATTTATATATTGTATTAACGTCAATTAACGTTAATTGAACGTCAAGGTTGAAGCCTGAAATTAGTACTCCTACTCTATCATATGCAATAGTACATAATAATGGTACAATTTGGTCTCTTAAGTGGTGTCCATCTGGATGTTACCAGGATGAAACTTTAAAAAATGATAAAAAAGGAACATATAGAAGGATGGGTTTATTAGCTGCTGGCTGTTCGGATGGTACTGTTTATATTTATTCATTACCATTTCCAGAAGAACTTGGATTCAGCAAATCTGAAAGTAACAAGTAAGAATACTTATACAATAATTGTATTGTATACAAATATAGGATTATAATATCGTGTTTATTTTATTCAAGTATTACACATATACTATTTATTTGTTAGTTTACCAATTTACAAGACTGATCCTGTACTGATATTAGTTGTAAATAGTATTATTTATGAAAGTGCTAAACAAAATTGGCAATGTTCCGCAATATCATGGACAAAAGAACGTGGACATAAGTAAGATTTACATTTTCTAGAACAAAATCATGAAAAGTAACATATTTAATGAAATACTATATACTTTTATTAGTACTATAGCTGCTGGTTTTACAAACGGCTATATTGGATTATGGAATCTCACAGCGGATTCACCATTGTTAAAACAAAAACAAAACAATTCAATTGTGATGAATTCATTTTCACATTTTTTTGCACATGGCAACGCTGTTACTGGTAAGTAAATAAATATAATATTGTATAAATGAAGGTGAACGCACAAATAATACATTGAAAGTGTGTAGAAGCAAATGATAATAAATAAATGTATTATTTGAACAGGGCTGACAATAGTTCCATACAATGGTCAGCGATTTTTAGCTTCAGTCAGTGTAGATAGGTCTTACAAGGTATGGGATTTAGAAAATATAAGTTTTCCTCAAGAAACCTTCAAAAAAGGAATTATGTTTGATGGTGTTTGGATGCTACATTGGCCTAGTGCTGTCATTGGTTTTGATGATGCTTTAAGGTATTATACAAATATTGTACTTTATTGTACTTTATTATACTTTAGTCTAATCTAATCTAAGGAGATCAATTTGAATAATTTTTTGTATACTGCTTTGATTTTTCCTTGCAGTTATAGACATACAAACTCGTTCCTAGTTTCTTTGAGAGAACATGGATATAAATCGTCCCCTATCCTTCCAACTAATTCAACAACATTTGTAAGAACATTATACGCTTTGCAACTTATTTTCTATTTATAATATATGTTTAGTAACAAAAAATATGTTTTCTTCAGAGTGTTACTGTATCCGATCACGCTAATAGTATAGCACACGGTACTTATGCTGGAGAAATTCTTTCTATTTTTCCACATCAGTTATTATATACCAAAGATATAGACAAGATATTAACAAGAAAGAGACAAGTAAGTATTGTAAGCATTTATTTATAAAACATTCATTTTTTTTTCTTTTTTTTCTAAATCTGTGCATATTTTCTTTTAGTTAAATTCTTATATTGAAGTAGTAGATTTTGAAAAACCAAAAGAACAACCACCAAAAGAGGATCTTAATAATGAATGTAAGGATGTAGGAGGAAAAAAATCCAAACCATATATTTATATGCCTGCGGAGTATGATAAATGTAAAGACCGTTTCGGTCTTATAATTCATAATAATTTTCCGGTAAGTTATTATTATTATTATTCATTGAATTATTTTCTACTACTAAATATTTGTATCTTCCAAATGTTAATAGTGTAATCTTGAATTTCTAGAAAATTTATGACAAATTAGCGAAGGGTACAAACCAAAAAACTTTATATTCTGATAAATTGACGCTTGTTCCCATTGAAAGATACCCTTTTACATCTGTGAATAGAGTAAGTTTATATGATTTCCTTTTTTTTTTTTTTTTTTATCAAAATCAAATTTTCCAAAGTAATCGGTAAAATATTTGATATATCCTATTATATAGGTCTGTTGGAATCCAAATATGTGGAGTCACTTATGGTTTGCTGCGGGTTATGAAAATGGACTAGTAAGATTCTTGAATTTTTCATTTATGTCACCGAAAGGTGACATGAATAAATTAATACAAGAGCATGCAGAAGCTTTCTCAAAAAGGATCAATAATCAAAGTCAAAATGATCATTAAAATATAGAACATTGGCTAAACCAATATCTATTATATATATACTAGATTTGTTAATAATCAATAATTTCAAGATAAATGTTGCAAAGAAAAATGTGCTATTGTATAAAAATCCATAGTAATAAAAGGGATTAATTTATATTAATACGTTGATGACTTGCGCTCTTCCTTGATAGTCAACGTGTTGTTCCATTTATTTATGTTGTGTAGTAAATACGTGATATATTTGATATAAGAAATTTTGTATAATTTTATGTGAAATGAAAATAAGTATAGTCAGTTTATTGATAATAAGCGAGAGAGATTTGATTTATTAATTAAGATTATAAATTTAAACCATTCTCCTGAGAAGCTCATTGATTTTGTCTTCGCGATTTCCGAAGTCACCTCCTTCTACGTAGTGATTGGTCTTCTTTCTCCATCCACCATTAGGAGTATTTAACTAGAAAAACAATGACATGTGCGGTAACATTTATGTATATGCATAATGAAAAGATTATTAAAAGATAATAAAAAAAGTTTAAATATTGTGGGAGTTAGTCTTGAAATAATATAATAAAATAGTATAAATTTCAATGGGCTTATACTCCTGTTACTTTTCGACATAGAAGGAGGTAATAAAACATAAGGAAATGTCTTACAACCATGCCTATGTCGTGTAGTAAAAGAGATCTATTAAAAAGTACATTAAAAAGATAAAGATGATAACAAGTGGATTGGACACATACCTTGAATGGCCACAAAAAGTTGCTTGCGTATTTGAACTTTGATCCTACAGTAAATATTTCATGTATCAGGTCTTCCATACAGATAATGCCTGAACGACCTGTAAAATATTAAAACAATACAATTGTTTATAAATCATATAACAACTTATTCAATATTACTGATATATAAAAGTGTTAGTACTTTTTAGAAATTGCATACTTCATATATACATATATATATATATATATATATATATATACATAGCAATTATTGTAGCAAAAAATACTATTTTATTTTTGACAACATGGAAGGAAGTATGCACACTTATTGATACATACTTCCATGGATTTGTCAATATATATGTATGAGTATTAATATTTCTTAGCATATATAACAAAAATCATACTAACCAAGTTTTTTTTCTATAATATTATTACTTGTTATAGGGATACGTTGGCGATTTATTTTAGCAAAACCGCGTTTGTAAATCAATTCTCTAACTGATTTCAAGTTTGGATATCCCCAAGTAATATAAGGTTCGACAATGCGAAGCATATTTATGGTGGCCTTATTCAGTTTTACGAAAACACCATTGTTAATTTGTTTCAAACGGAAGAGTTGAAGTACTTTACGTACTTTTGGCGCAACTTGATTAACACTAAAATACACAAATGAAATAAAACAAGATTATTTAGTAAATGTATAATCTATTGATTATTGGAGAAAACAAAATATGCAAAATTCTACTAACCCACGAATACGTATAACAAATGCTAATTTGGCTTCACCAGGAATGTAATAATTTCCTCGATTCTTAGCTTGTCTGATCAACCTAATTTCATCTCGTTCTTTTGTTCGGTATTCCTTAACATAATTTTCCGCTCTTTTGAAAATAACCTTGCGCTTTTTATAACGATTTGCACGTTGCTAAAATGAAAAGGAAAAGAAACAGTTATTTTTTTTTTTTTTTTTAATAATATGAAAATAGTTATTTTTTAGAACTTTCTTGTAAATACTACTAACCTTAATGGATGTTTGTAAACGTGTAGCTTTAACCGCTTCACGCCGTTTCCTCTTTTTAAGTACCGATTCTGGTACTACTGGAAGCTTTTTCGCTTCAACAACGTCTTTTTTTCTGCATCAGTGCAAATACAAAATATACATACAATAATAATTATAGATTAAATATAAATTAATTTTACAAACAAAACAAACACCATATCGTCATAATTTTACATAATAAATAATTAAATAAATTATTAAACAAACAATTATTTTACATACAAATATTTGATAGAATTAATAATAATTGTTCGGAACAAAAAATTACTTTACTCTACTAAAGTTTAATTACAATTTGTTGAACATCAATGTTATACTTTATATCTCATGCTTTATGAATGTTAGGTTACGAACAATGGCGATGCATTATTCTCTGCATAATTGTACGAAATTAGTAAGTTTTAATAAAAAAATAATAGATAAAACATCGTTCATCATGTTGATAATTATTATAAATAAAATATAAAGTAAATATATCCCGATTATATTGGATACTTTTAGAGATATTAATATTACTTACTCTTCCGACATGGTTGCAATTAGGAAAAGATCTTGCTACCTTTCTGTTCAACGGAAAAAAGAATTTTATAACAGATGGCGCGTTTAGCATTCAAGATTCTTAGGGATCCTATAGGAGGGATGCGCCATTCATATTCAGCTCATGTGCCATTGGCTGAAAATTTTGGGGGACCGCTTGAATTTATAATAATTTTTTCCTGTAACCTATTCTATTTTAATATAAATTTTTAATTATCATTAAATATAGTTCATTTTGTTTTTGTTTTGTTTTGTTTTGTTTTGTTTTGTTTTGTTTCTGTATTTGATGCAATTCATTATTTCATAATTATTTCAATGTTTAAATCATTCGCGCGCAAAATCAAGTTCCGGTCCCCCAGCAATGTACATGACGCATCCCTCCTATAGGATCACTATCAAGAATTATTTTTAATTTGCGTGCAATTATATAAATACAGTTTAGGAATCTTTTCAATATTTCAGAACAATTGAAAATATTATATTTTCGATTAGAAAAAAGAAAAAAAAAAGTAAAGAATTAAATCAATAAATGAGAAGGAAAGTTGAAACATTACTGTAATTAATAGAAAAAAAGGAAAAAAATGTCAATTATTGTAATAAAGTTGAGATTGATTTTGATTTGATGCGCTAGAATAAGTTAAAATAATTAGAAGGAAAGTTTTAAAGTAAATTAGTATTATTAAGTTTCCCGGGCAAAATATCGCAATGGAGATATTATATTTCGCAAATATAGAGCGCGATGTTCGCATAACCATGTGATGACGTCAAAATATGGCGCCTTGATCAGCTGGGTGTTGTGTAGTGCGTGCTTGAGATGCTCGTCTTTAGAAAATCAACCGAGACTGTCGTCTGTCTACTAAGATACGTGAGTGTTACTTTCATTTTGTAAGATTATGTCCCACATTTCATATTTAAACAACGAAACGAAACAATGACGTTGAAAATCTCAATTTAATATTGAAAAACATGACAACATGCAAGATACCGTTCTTGATTATAGTTCAATTTTCTTAGTTGTTCAAAAGAGAAAATCATGAAAATATTATGATGGAAGGCATGTTACACGATGGAATTAATTATTATTGCTGATAAAAAGATAGGATTGTCGTAATTTAAAAATTGTATGGGGTTAGAAAAGAATAATGTTTATAAAAAAAAAAAATGCAAAATATGGTGGCCAGAAAAAAGATATCTTTGTAATATGTTAGTTCGCAAATTGTACTCTCTGTTGAATTTATTCAAAGCCACGATCTGTTCGTTAACATATTACTTAATGAAGGATTAAATGCTGACAACACCGTGTGTTAACTTGTAATAACAAGGATCGTACTTATTTGTTCGAGTTTCGTAACCATTATCAACTCCATATTTGAATTCAACAAGTAACAGAATAGACAGTTGCACGTTTTACTCTACCGCGAATCATTTAATTCTTCACCTATAGGAATGATATCAATATCAAAAAAGAATATATCTTTTGTTTTTCTCCTTCTTTCTTTTATTTTCATTCGAATTGTGATATTTGGTATAGAAAAAAATGAAGTTTGTCTTCAACGCAACGTCCTCAATACGAGAATCGAATGCGAAATATAGTTCCCATAAAATACGTCTTACGTATCCATGTTAAGTGCAGTAAGAATTTAAATGCGGATGGCATTTAATGCGTGTCACTGGTCGGACGAGGTTACGACGAATAAAAACCTATCATAGTTCTTACATGGTGTTACCCTTTTTAATGGTCAAAATTGCATTTATATCGAAGTATTAAAATGAAGAAGAAATATTTTGTTCTATTTGATAAATATTTCGCGAGTGGCTTTTTTTAAAAGAAGAAAATCGAGTAAACACGAATGATCATTTAACGGAAATGTAATCATTGATCTATGATATACCCATTTAGCATGCATGTTACGTGATTAGTTGGGAGAACTGCATTGATTTCGTCGACGTACGCATCGTACGGTGCAATGTGTTCTCTACAGCACCGCCATTTTGTCGCTTGTTAGTGGATAAACAAATGATGATGTCGTTGTTGTCGGTCGTGGTGGTGGTGGTGGGGGTGGTGGCGGTAGTGGCGGTGTGGGAGGGGAGGTACGTTTGGGTTCGAGGCTAGGTGTGCGCGGAAATTTCAATTTTGCTACTCACGCACCTTCTCTCTCTCTCTCTCTCTCCCTACTACCCCTCTGCCCCTTCGATATATAATAAATCGCAATGTTGCCAGCGATGAAACGAAGCTTTTTAGTAAAATAATTCATTGCTTTCTAACATATATTCAAGATATGATTTGTATTAATTGTAGCTTTCATGTTATTTATTTGAACAATACAATGAAAAAAAAAAGGAAAAAAAGATTACAATATGAAATAATATATGTTGTGTCAAAGTTGCACAACAGCAGGATATTTTGTATACTTTTGTATAGAGAACAAATTTAATTATTTTATATTTTCCTTATTGATTATTAATGAAACAAAATTGTAAACAATATTGTTTAGGAAAATTTTGCATTGTGTATTTATTTTGATGATATATTTGATTTATTAACTGATTTATTAAGGCTTAATAACTAAGCTTCTTTTCATTGTCATAAGAGAAAGATGAAAATGAGAATATAATTTGATATTTCGAGCGTATAATTATCTCGACGATGCGTACCCAGGTTACAGGTAATCGGGATGTGTCAAGCAAATGCACTTCGACAGACATTAATCTAAAAAAAATTAACATTGGATAATGAGACCGTTGAACAGTGAAATCTGGCAGAACTTCTTTAAAAAAGTAATTATTATAAATCACCTTTTTTTGTCATACATTAACGAAGGTTGTAACGTCATTATCTTACAGTGATCAAGGAAGAACTCAACGCGATATGCCACCAGATAGACCAGATTCCACAGGTATGGAAAGTGGAATAGAGTTGAGGTCCAATCAAATTTACAATTTTCAAGATGCAACTTATACAACTAAAGAGCGTAATAATACAAATACGTTTGTAGAATCCAATTCGAGTTACGATGTTCAAGAAGAATTGCCTATTAATGACAAATCAATAGAAAAGAATAGTCAATCGGATGATGATTTAACTTCCCTCAGCTGGTTACATCAACAAAATGTACTCAAAGGCTTGGAAATATCTAACCCTAGTAAGGATATAAAAAATGAGAATCTTTTAAATAACAATGTATGCGACGACATTGCAGATTTCTCGGAAAATACTAATTCTGTTTCCAGTTTGGATGATAGTTATTGTTCAGGTAAGCTGTATATTAAGAACAGTATATTAAGATTTCATATTTTATTCACAATTATAATGCATTGCATTTTGTTGTTGTTATAATGTTGTTTCAATTGCAGAAATTAGAAGTAAAAAGACTTATTCTACATCACAAAGCCATGGACAGCAGCAGCAAAACTATCAACATTCGAATAGGAATTGTCAGAAGTCTGGTCAAGTGTTTAATGATTGCATAAAAGGTCACTATGAAATTTCTCCGAGTGATCAAACGAAAATATCATTGAGTAACAACAATTTGCCAGTGTCAAATCGCAACAAACATCCAACACATATCCCTTATGATCCTCACTTACATAGAAATAGTAAACCACCATATTCTTTTTCCTGTTTAATTTTTATGGCAATAGAAGACAGCCCCGTGAAAGCTCTTCCGGTTAAAGAAGTTTACGCATGGATTTTGGATCATTTTCCATATTTTAGGAATGCACCAACTGGTTGGAAAAACTCTGTTCGTCATAATTTGAGCCTAAACAAATGTTTTCGTAAGGTAGAAAAAGCTCCAGTAAGTAATTAACCATGCGTGCATGTGTTTTCATATTATTATTATTATTAATCATCATTATTTTCAAATTCATACAGTAAATAAAAATATCAATATATTTTATTTTCAGAATTTAGGTAAGGGTTCGTTGTGGATGGTAGATGCTCAATATCGTCCAAATTTGATACAGGCATTATCTCGTGCTCCTTTTCCTCCTCCAACTGCACAAAATCTTTCTACTCCAGAAAAAAGTCAAAGGAAGAATGCAAGTGCACGTCTTCCAGATCCTGTCTTATTCCCATATCTTTCCAAAAGACTGGCATCTAGCAATATTAGCGAAACTCCTGAAACAGAAGTAGATAGTGATGTGGATGCTGCTGCAGCTGCTATGCTTTCCTTTAAACATGGGCCAATTATTTTGAATCACAATAGAGGTTATCTCATATATATATATATATATATGCATATAAATATAAATTAACTATATTAATAGCTTAAAAATTGTATTTTAAACTGCGGTCCATTGACTTACAGACCGCAAGAAAAAAATATTGGAATCTGAAAAGTTAGTTCCTGTAATAACAAGAAGTTCTAGCGAAGATCACACATATAGTTGTATTACATCAATTAAATTGGAAAAGTATGAGAAACATACGTTATTTAATTTGTATTCTTGTTATTTTTTGTTTGTAAGTATACATTAATGAATTGGTATTGTTGTAGCAAGTACTCTACCGAGGAGGTGTCTGCTGATTTTGACGAGCAAAGGAAAATAGCGGATGCACTTTTAAATTTAGCTGGAGTTAATACGGCACTCAATAATAATAAAATACATCACGTACAAGCTATGAATCCTGTATCAAAGACAGAAGGGGTGACAAAAACTAAAAGACGGTTAGTTTCAAACGATTATTCGAGCACAGTGGAGAAGAAACGTAAACGTTGGCGAGAGTGGGGAGAAGGAAATCGGTACCTAAAACATATTAGAGGTTAATACAACAAATATATATTTGCATATGCATTGTATATATATTTGCATATGCATTGTATATATATATATGCATATGTATCTATATAGTGATGAAAGAGAGAACTTACAGCTAGTGCGTGTATCAGATAGTGTCAATAGAGTGACACGTTTTATAAAAGTATTTGGTAAAGAACGTATCTTCATTTTTGCGTTATTAGCTTCGGCAAGAAAGAATGATCTTTAAACATTTTTGTTCTATAAATGAAGTCTTTTATATTGACTATATTATATATAGGAGTATTTATAGAAAACAAAGAAAAAAATGTATATGCGCACGTAATTATTATCTAGAGTGGTATCGAAAGAAGAAGAAGAAGAAGCAAAAAAAAAAAAAANNNAAAAAAAAAAAAAAAGAAGAAATCTTTCTGAGGTGCATTTCTAAAGAATTGGCGATTGCTCAGGGCTCAGAACTCGCTATATGCCAAATGAAATTCGGTAGCACTAAGCAGCAAGCAATAATAGTAATGTAGTTGTAAAAGAGTTACTTTCTAAAGATGTTATTTTAACATTGAGTAGAGGAAAAAGAAAATGAGAGAGAGAGAGAGAGAGGCGTATTGAGTAATGTCAATGAAGAAAAAAATGCGATCGCATATTTAATCTAAGGAAAAAAAAAACGATGAAGTTTTTAGAACTGTTGTGCTGGTTATACATATTAATTCATAGAGAGTTTAATTATTGATAATAGAGCCTTATACTAGATTTTTTTCTGTAGATATGTATAGAGATATATCTAATATCTATTCGATAGAGAAATTGATAATATATTTAAAAGAAAAAATAAAGTAAAGTAAAGTAAAGTAAAGTAAAATAAAATAAAATAAAATATAATAAAAGATTATACATAACGTGCGCGAACGCATATAGAGATGAGAAAGAGAAGGAAGGGACGCGTACATAAAAAGAAAAAAAAACGTATACATATAAATACACATCCATGCTCACGTACTCATTATTTACGCTCAACAAAGTGCATCTGTGAATGTACGGGACTGTAGATTGGCTATATGATGATGATGATGATGAGCTCTGCCAATGAATTAAGCAACAAAGAATAAATTATCGACTTCGAGAGGTATACGCTCGGTATGAATTTCAGATAAGAAAATCTATATCGTTTCACGTCTTTTTCTACTATCTTCCTGGCTTTTGAGATGATTTTAAACGAATGCTGTATATATATATATATATATATATGTAGACCACCCTATAATGTATGCACAGACCAGTTTTGAGATTCCTTCGAGATTACGTGAGTGACATTTTGTATCCGCACTTTTCCTATCGATCTGGATATAGATAAAAGAGAAGGAAAAAGAAGACGAAGAAGAAGAAGAAGAAAATGACGATGATGATAGTGCAAGATGGAGACATCCTATTTTTATATAAGAAAAATAAAATAAAAAAAACGATAACAATAAGAAAAAGGCTGCGGATACCTGTCTCTAAAAAAAAGTTAAAAAAAGAAAGAAAAAAGGAGTATGTATGTAGTATGGATGTGAATATCGAAAAAAAAAAAAACAGAAAAAAAAAAGAAAAACTGGTATTGCATATATTAATATGTAGATCTATATATAGAAAGAACGTATATTTTTACAGGGCTCTGCCCGCGTGATAAAAGCTCTTCCTAATAACTCGCTAATACACAGATCATTAGCATAAATCATGTAAGAAAAAAAATTGCGAATGTTATAATTCGTGCGTTTAAACGTACTATGGTGCGTTTTTGTGATAGAACAACTTGATTCGAAACGAATTATCTTACTAATACCGTAGAAACAATCTGTAATAAATTTCTAAAATATTATTATCATTGTAAATTATTAAGAACTTTACGATAGATTTAATAATAATATTAATAATAATAATAATAATAATAATAATAATATTAATATGAATAATAATAATGATGATATTAATAATAACATAATTCGAAGATTGATCGACTTATAAGTTAACTAATAGGACGATACAGTGTATAAAAATTAATTTCCAAATTTTGTTCGTTATTAGGTTTCGACTTGTTGTTCTATCATATTTTCTTAGCGCGATAATATTGTAGATAGACATCAGCTACGAAAATAAAGAAAAAAGAAGAAGAAGAAGAATAAGGAGAAGTGAAACAAAAATAAAGAAGTCGTTGATTAAAAAATGGTGCAGGGAAGAATGCCATGTTTTGAAAAGTAGTCGAGATAAATTTGATTTTGTTCATGCATATACATATAAACTTCAAATTATTCTACGTGGCACGTAAATACTGTACTATATGAAAAGTTGATCCACCGTAAAAAGGGGAATATATTAAGTGCTTCATTCAAAATTTTATATATACATATATACGTACATATACAATAAGATGATACGATGTTTGTGTATATGTAGGTACGTATGTACTACGTGCGAGATAATCTCATCTAGATATTATGTTTCCACTGTCTGTGATAACGTTGCAATACTTAGTACAACTCGTTGTCATTGCTATACCTCAAGAAAAAATATCGCAAGCTTAATTAGAGTCGCGTAAGTGGTTTTTATTTGGTTTCTCTCTACATCTTCAAACTATTTTACTCCCCCTTTGAATCATTGTAGAAGAAGATTTAAGCGGACTACTTGGCACTCTTGTTGTTAATACCTCAATTATAATGTGTTACATTTGTAACCGTTCTAATTTTTTTCTATTTTTTTTTTTTTTTTTTCATTTGGAAACGAGGAAAGAAGCCAAGAAGACTAAAAAAGAAAAAGAAAAAAAAGAGAAGATGAAAAAGAAAATAATTGGAAAGATTTGTGAGATAAATGTATGTATTTAGTAAAAAGAAATATTTATTCTGATTTTGGAGACTCGCGCGTAGATCTTGTTCTCTGTGACCAAAGGTCCGTTCTTCCAGTAGTTTTATCATAAGTCCAAGCCGATCGATTATTATAAAGATGGCCGGAGACACCATTTATCGTCATTAACAATCGTAGCTGATTGCTAGAATAGATTAATAAAACAGAGAGAGAGAGAGAGAGAGAGAGAGAGTTTAGCGACACATACACATCATATACAATGAAGCGATGCGTTTATATCCGATGGTTTTTGTCTGTTATAAATAAGAGAGAAAATACTCTGTTGGATTGTAAGAGGAAAATAAGAAAGTTTATTTTGCCCTGGTGTACGTTTAAAGAAAGTGGAGGTAGGGCCGCAATTGGTCGGTTGACCCGATCAATTTAATTTAAATGTGTGTATATGTATAGAAATGCGCATAAATGAAATGATCATTGTCGGCCAAGGAATTATTTTCTATTGATCAGATATATATATATCTGTTATTTATTTATTTTTTTAATATTTTGTTTTATTTCAAATAAGAACCATTTGATCGACGGTAATGACAACGAGATTGATCGACGAATTTCTTTAAAGTAATGAGTAATAACACGTCGATCGCGCGATACACCAGAAATATGGATTATGGAGCAAGCAAGTAGACAAAATGTACCGCAACCTAACCACGGACAATCAAAATGGAACATGGTGTTTGATTTGCTTCCATTACATAACATCGTGCCAAACTCAAAAAAGAAAAGAAAATAAAAGAAAAGAAGAGAAAGAAAAAGAAAAAGAAAAAGAAAAAAAAAGAAGAAATCTTTTTTATTTGATAGTATAAATATATACTAATTTATTCATCTATACGTTTGTAAAACGTATGTTATATACATGATTAAATCTTTGTTGGCGTTATGTGTAATATCATCGTTATCTTTGTCATCCTCATAATCATCGTCGTTATCACGATCATTATAAACATTATAAAACATACATGCATCGTCATCCCGTCATCCCGTCATCGTCATTCAAAAAATATTGTCATAATTATTTACACTCACCGAGAGAGAGACAGACGAACGAACGAACGAACGAACGAACGAACGGACGGACGGACGGACGGACGGACGGACAGACAGATGGAGAAAAAAACAAAAAGAGAGAAAGATCATGTTTATTATCGTCATCGTTGGCGTCGACTTTAGTCGACTTCATTATTATTGCTATATTATTACCGCTATTACTAATTTTTAAAACGAATCATGCGCTGTAAAATGTTTGTTAAGTTTTTGACCTTGCTTATGTATTTTAAGTATATTTAATATGCCACGTTGTAATCACGATGAAATCTTGTCTAATGAAACGGATAAAAGTGGAATATAAAAATTGGAATACTAGTTTGATAAGTAACCCAATCACGGCCTCTCCCCCTCTCCTAAATAAATTCGTCGAATTCGTTTTCACGGTAGTAAACGAACGAAATTTGTATTTAAATTCAGTTGCCATTTGGTCGGAATATTAGACAAATATTTGGTCAGCAAGCATCTATAATAAGAAATGATCAGATGATATCAATATGTGAATCTGTCATTATTATAAATACTGACCAAATAAATAAAAAATATGAAATTTTTGTAGGGAGGAATTTTGAATCGCTTGGCATTAAAATAAAAATACGTTTAGCGCAAGTCCTTATATATAATACACATTAGTAGACGAATAGGAAACAATTCGGCGGGAAATATTTGAAATGGGAAAAGTCACGTGAGGGGGTGACGTAATTGCGCATTACAGGTTGCGCGGTAGATGAACACGCGAGGAGCGAGCACTGGCACAGGCAAGCAAAAGCAAGTAAGCGCACAAGGCATCCCTTCGTGGTTGTGTTGTGTTGTGTTGTGTGGCTGAAAACTCGTCGGTCTGCATTCCAGTGTCGCGGAGGTTGCGCCGGACGCCGAGCCAAAGTCGCGGTGAACGAGTCGCTAAGACACGAGTTACAGAAAGAGAGAAAGAGAAATCCTTCGTCTCGCGTCCCTTTCTATCTATTATCCCATCCCGTACCCTTGTTTTCCTTCCCCTATATATCTATTTTCATTAATAGTGTGCCGATCGTATTTGAAGTATCATCCGGAAGAAAGATGAAGTGAAACGTAAAATACCGGCCGCCGCCGCCGCCGCTGCCGCCGTCGTCGTCGTCGTTCCTCTTCCTCCTCCTCCACCATCTCCATAGTTATTCGTAAACGGAGGGGAAAGAAGAGTAGCATAATCTCTTAGTATTGAAAAAACAAAGAGAGAAAGTGTGAAGGATTTAACGCGCGAACGAGACACTGAGTAAAATAGGATTCAAAAGGGTGAGTTATTATCACATTTGTTTTATTCGATTACTTTCTTACTATTAACTATTCTGATCATGCAATTACAATGCAATACAATTTATCATATTTATTGTTCCCTTTTTCTTTATCTACCAAGTACCTTACCTTACCCATATATCTGTTTTTATCGTTCCTACTACTACTACTACTACTACTACGTAGCTTCTCGTCGTCGGGTATAATTTCTAACCTAGATAACTGATGAAAACTCACAATCAGTAAGGTTGCACAAGAGATGCATTCGATCGTTCCTTCTTTTAAAAAGATAAGATGCGAGGAAGTTTGGAGGGAAGGAAGATTAAGAGGGAACACAGGTAAATACTTACTCGTTTGCTTATACATATTATACATATATACCTGTTCGGCAGAGATCAGGAGGAGGAGGTGCACTCGTTCGTGCTGAGGAAAAGAAAGAAAGAAAGAAAGAAGGAAGGAACGAACGAACGGGAGAGAGAGAGAGAGAGAGAAAGAGTATAAACGAGGCGACGACGTGACGGCGTGAATATCACGGCGCCTTACTATACAACTTTTTATTTTATATGTGTGTGCGTATTAACCCTGACGCACGCACCCTTTGATATTACAAATTTCAAGTTCAAGAAAATATACATTTAAAGGATTTCACTTTTTCGCGCTTCTTTTTACGCGCACGCGTTCTCATTCAACTTGTTATTTCAAATCAAAGGAGTAAATAATGAAAGATTTATCAAGAAAAAAGACAATGACACACGAAAGCTGTTTGATTTGATTCTTATATTTGATTGTTTCCTCAAATTATAGTATTTTTACAAACAAATTGTGTTCTTCGAATATTTGTGTAATTTACATTTGATTTTAATCTACTTACATTCTCCCTCGTAGTCTCTTTTGATATTTCTTCCATGGATGAATTAACGTTCGTTGAAAGGTTCGTTGAAAGGTTCGTTGAAAGGGATCGGTTCGGATCGGTTCGGATCGGTTCGAATTGGTACGCAGTATACATGTTTAATGTTAGTCAATAAGGAAATACGAAATGATTAAAATGCACTACTGTACTCCTGCTAATCCTGTATCGATTACTCAAGCAATTATTTTAGATTGTCGATCCGTTAATAGGATAAAAATGAATGAGTTCGAATCGTGCCACCGTAGTAGTATTTCTACTTTTTACAAGCTCACTTTTATTACAACAATTACGTAGAATTTGTTCATTTGTTTTTTACACAAAGTCGAGATTAACGTAATAATCGTTAATAATAAACGATGTAGAGATCGAAGAATATGAATTAGTAGTATAGTGAGTCATATCGATTTCATTTCGCGCGCGTCAGGGTTGCGTCAACATTTTGCAAGTATGACTTTTATCGCTCGAGGAGGTTAAGTGTTGTTTCTTTTTCTCTTTGGTTGCGACGAAAAAAGCGACGAAAAAAGCGACGAAAAAAGGAAAAAGAATGATTAGTGGAAGATGAGCGTTCTTCGAGCGACAGTCTCTTCAGCTGTCCATTGTGAGATTTTGTCCATTATCGTGCTTTGGCAAGGACTTAAGAGTAGAAAATGAATCACACCCCCTGCTATCTCAACAGGATATTCATTGTCAGAGAGAAACCCTCTGGGAGGGAGTTTGGTAACGGGTTCCCACTGACTGTCGCATCTATTGTCGTCTTCTATTTTAACTGGTCGAACACGAAATCCCCTAAACAGTCTATATTTTCGTTAACGCATATTACATAACTGTATTATAATAAGGAAGAAACCTTGAAAAATACTTTTTGCTTTTTTTACTTCTTCTATTGATTTGATCTCGTGAAAATCAGTGACTCTCTCTCTCTCTCTCTCTCTCTCTCTCTCTCTCTTTAATTCTTTCCGTGTTTCTTACTAATAGCGGAGGTAGTTGAAGAGAAATTCATTCGGTCCCGATGGGATCGTCCTGGGAAACAGGTTCTACTCTTCTTCCTAACGATCTTTCATTCGATAAAGTAGCAATAAATAAAATACGTATCATCGATGTGTAACCCAGAAAGGGTTAGGAAGGGTGTCGTAGAGTTGTGTTGTTGTTGCGAGTCAAGGAAATAAAGATAAAAATAAGAGAACCGCGGAAGATTGACGAGTGTATGTATTCTGTTTCTGTATATGTAGGCTGTTGTTGGAGAATTTTAAAGGGAAGAGGGATAAGGAAGGGATGGATAGACATTGGAGGGGAGAAAGAACGCGTCTTCCACTGGTGGTTTTGTTCGAACGAGCTTGGCAACCACTGCTTTGGAATTCGAGTTGTTTATTTTTACGAGAGCCAATGTCGGGGACCGAGCCTTCTTTGGAGTCCTTCTCACCTGTTACGTACCACCACCAGCCTCAGTTGCTACCATTTAACCAGTATTCGAGATTATTTCTGCGTCTGGCCCCGTTAATGCGCTCCCAAAAGCATTCTTCGCTAAGAAAGAAGAGCTTAAGAGAGACGTGCTTAGCCCCCGCTAAGTTTTCTATAACATGGACTATATTATCATCCTATACCTTTATTCCTTACCTTTTGTCCTTCAAACTTTTCCCTTTTCCCTCTTCCTTTCGTGCTCTAAATAAACTCAAATTTCCGTGCTTATTTATTTATTGATACGTACGTGCTAAAAAATATTGACTTGCATCGAAATGTATATACGATAGGTAAGAGTGTAAGTGTAATGTTGGTTAGCTGTGTTGTACTCTTGTGGTAAGACTTTTTTTTTTTCTTTTTTTTTTTTTTTTTTTTTTTTTTTTTTTTTGATTGCCAAGCAACGATAAAGAAAGACGATGATGATCGGTGGCGCGTGGGCGCGAATAGAAGAGAAGAAACTTCGATAAGTTTTCTCTTTCTCTCTTTTGTCCTACCGTAGCATCTACCTACGCTTTCTTCTCTTGGATAAGCTGATTCTTCGAGGTCCATCGAAAATACGATGATGCATCATCGTCAAATGAACGGGTAGAAAATTGTGTCCATATTCAAAAGATTATGTACCTTTCCAAAATGTATCCTCTATAATCCTCTATAATCCTTTATAATCCTCTATAATGACGTTCTATATAGTCACGTTTACACAGAAGAATTTCTTTCAATAAGTATATAGAAAATTAGGGCTAAATATTTCATTTATTTATTCATCCAAATACGGACAATTATTAATGTAATAGTTGAAACGATGAAATAAGAGTGAAGGTAATTACGTGAAGGAAAAGCCGAGGTCGCGAATCATTCGAATGCGCGTTGATCCTACGACGACTCGTGTCACGCGTGGGTGTTTTTATGAGAAAGACACAGACACAGACACTCTTACCGTATATGGATATTTTCAGCTTTTCTTTATTACGTTATATCGACTTACGTTATATATAGCGATATATATATATATATTTATTATATTAATCTCGCGATATACGTAAAAGAGTATATTTATGGTATACCGGGATCATCCTGTTGTACTCCCAGTCGGAAGAAATGAGCGCTCGTGTATCTTCTTGGGTGCAAAGAAGGCGCATAGAGCGTCTATTTTCACGTCAACTCTTCCTTCGTTCTAAAGTTAAACGCGTTCGCGTTCGCGTTTGCGTTTCGCATTAATTTTAGTAAGAGGCTGGGCCAAGAGGTTTGGGCTTTGGCCCAACAAGGGTTCCTCCCATAGCAAGAAAGATTATTTCAACGACCCTTTCAACGATCCTTTCTACGATCCATTCAACGATCCTTATTTAATATCCTCATTTTATATCCTTGTTTTGTTGCAGAATGCATCAAGATGGGATCCGTCTTTACCCTACGTGGCATCGTCGTCACCGTTCTTCTCTATGCCTTGTTGCACCTTGCAAACGGTGAGTCCATTTTTCAATTCATTTACATTTAGTCAATCTTTCAAGAATCGGCTCGATGAAAATAACGACGTCCTTAGGAAATTCGTGAAGCCTCTTAGAGGATGCGGAATGTAAAGTTGAAAGCAAGTTGCAGCATTCGCCGAATTCTAAAGCTTTATTAGCCGTTCAAAGTGTCTACGTCTACCACCGTCTTCTCAGTGATGTATGATATGCTTTAAATAACGAGCCTGCTTAACTCTCCTCTTGCGTACCTCTTCTTCTTCTTCTTCTTCTTCTTCTTCTTCTTCTTCTTCTTCTTCTTCTTCTTCTCCTCCTTCTCCTTTTTCTTTTTCTTTTTCTCTTTCTTTCAACACTTTTCATTTCAACTCGCCACCACGAAATATGACTTATATTTCAACGAACTTGTATTCTATTTAATCATGAACGAAATATAACTTTTATTTGTTTCTTTTTCATCTAATCTTCAATCATTTGACAAAAGTTTATTACTTTGTACTACTTATGTCATAGATCTCGAATAAAAAATGATTATCCGCTGAGAATGCATAGAATCGCGTGTGTGTGGCCTTGAAGGGGCGTTACTTTGCGTTACTTTGCGTTACTTTGCGTTACTTTGCGTTACTTTGCGTTACCTTGCGTTACTACTTGCACCCACGCTAGTACTGGGATAGGACAATGGTCGAACGATGAATACCTACCCAGGCAGGAAGATAGATCGGTCCAAGTTCCGTGAGCACCCTAATCACCGTATTCGATAACACTTTGTGTTCCATTGTCGGTTTCTCGTATCTGTTGGTGAAAAATGCTTGCTTCGAAATTTCCGCAACGTGGGATGATTTTGTATAGACAGGCAGGAAGCGATTGCATCGTGCTTCGTGTCGTGCTTGGCATCGTGCTTGGCATCGTGCTTGGCATCGTGCTTCGCCAATATCGGGATCTTCTCGATGGCCGGCCTTTCAACGTACACTCGTTCAACTGGTTTTTTTTACGTACGTTAGAGTTAGCGATCGCATTACCAGGAAGGCTTCCTTTACACGATTGACAACGATCTTTCCGCAAAAGAAAAACAAAAACAAATGTTGTGTTTACTTTTCTTTTCTTTGTGTAAAAAGATCGAGCCTATAAATTGTTGTTAACTGTTGATTACTACAGGGCAGAGGCCGGACCTTGGCATGTCCTTCAATTGGCATCCAAAACCTTTGGCCGCGCCGTTGGGGGATGACGTGAATTTCGAGTGCAGCCTCGGTCTCGCACCAGAAAAATTTCAATGGCGGCACAGGGCTCTCGGCTCGGACAAGTGGACGCCCTTAACACGTACGGACAACGTTAGTGGTGCTGGAGTCAGGTCTTCTGTCGTTGTCAGTTTCGATGATAAGTCAAAGGCTGGGGACTATCGCTGCGTAGCTTTTTATGGTAAGTCTTTGATGCTAGTTTTTTTTTTTTTTTTTTATGATAGTCAAAGGAGGAAAAGGAACAAAAATAGAATAATTTGATGTAGGCTCCAGAGGATTGGCGTCCGATCCAGCAAGACTGACTTTGGCGACCATGCACGAGTTCTCCGACAAGAGCGACATCGTATTAAGCGTAGCAGTTGGTAATACCGTTCCTATAACATGTCCAGTGCCTTACTCCGTCCCGGAGGCAGTAGTACAATTTTATAAAAATGACAAATTAATTGAAGGAGTTGAATTGATAAACGGTCGGACGATAGCCATAGAAAATTGTAAATCCTCCGATTCGGCGTATTATTATTGTACCGCGAATAATTATATAACGTCTCAGACTTGGAGGAGCAATCATATGACCATCTTAAACGTTCACTCAAACGTATCTCAGCAAGCGCCGCCGTACTTCTTGAAACAGTCCCAAACCGAGTACACCGTTTTACGCGGTAAAAACGTTACCATGGAGTGTTTTGCCGCTGGTTATCCAGTGCCTCGTGTTACTTGGACCAGATTAGGTGGTACCTTGCCTTCAAGATCGATACAAACGAAAGCTGGATTAACGATAATTAACGTCCAACCTTCCGATCGTGGGGAATACGATTGTGCTTGGAGTAATGGTGTATCGAGTCAACCACTCAAATCTGTGATCATTTTGAAAGTTGCCGAGGAACCAAAAATCATCAAATCGCCCAAAGCTTTGACCTTTTCCGAAGGAGGGGAGTTGGAATTTTCCTGTAGTGTTACAGGTCAACCCGAACCAAGCATCGAGTGGTTAATAAACGGTGAAACTTTGTTGCCCGATAATAACTTGGAAATTCGTGGCTCAACTTTAATCATATCGGAAGTCGAGAAGAAACACGCTGGTATTGTTCAGTGCGTTGCCAGTAACGAGTACGGTTCCGATTCCGGTTACAACTTGTTGATGGTCAATCCAAAACAGCACGTAAGCGGTGGAACCGAGTCTAGACCGGAATACGGTCTTCCTGGATCTTCTCGGCACAAACATACCAGGGGAGGAGGTAGAAGAAGAAACAAGGAAGACAAACGTAAAGGCACTGGTAATTGTCATTTCAATAGTCATTTGAAAATATTCGAAACAATTGAAAATATTTGTCTTTAAATCAAGTCGTATTTTTGTTTTCTTTCAGCCGTATTAGTTCCGCCTAATCAGCCAAACGTTACCAGACTCTCGGACGTCTCCGTAATGGTTAGATGGTCCGTACCAGAGAATAAGGGTCTTCCAATAGAATTTTTTAAAGTTCAATATCGTCAACTTGGCCCAAGGATAAACGGTAAACCCGGCGGCAAGTGGATGACGGCAAATACAGAGATTCCTAACCATGTGCGTTCCTTCGAAGTTACGGATTTGCAGCCGGACAATACCTATCGATTTAGAATCGCTGCCGTTTATTCGAACAATGACAACAAATTGAGCCCGAATTCGGTGCGTTTTCATTTAAATCGCAACGGTGGTTTCGAAAGCAATACGATGCCGATCCCCTTGTTGACTAATACCGAAGCCTTGAGTTACAACGAAGTATTACTAATTTGGCAAAATCTTAACAAATCAGCCAAAATCGATGGATTTTACGTTTATCATCGTGCCTCGAGCTCAGCCGGAGAATACGTCAAGACTACGGTCGAGGGCAAAAATTCAACAAACATTACGATATCTCATTTACAACCGGACACCACTTACGAATTTAAAGTACAAAGCTTCTCCGTAGACGCTGCTTCGGAATTTTCTCAAATTCTTCGACAAAAGACGAAAAAAAGTCCGGCAAAAGAAGAGAACAAAAATTCTTTTAACGAGCAAGTAGTCGCTGAGAACAAGTTAAAGCCAACGGACAGCGATCGTCGGAACGACGACAACACCTATGCGATTATTGCTTCCGCCTGCGGTGCATCCGTTCTCTTGGTCATCATAGTGCTTTTGGCGCTTTTTTACAAGAGGTCCAAGAACAAGCAGAGTCGCGAATCTTCTCAAAGCGAGTGCGGTAGGTCGAGCAACGTTTTTCCTTGTCTTTAACGTTTTATCGTCCTTAATCATATACGCATGTACCTAACAGGAAAGCCAATAGCAAATGGAAGAGTAACCAACGGAGCTGTCACCGATTCTAAAATTAACATAACGTCGAATCCATTGGCAGGTCTCGACGCTTCTGACGACACGATCCAACCTAAGGTCGGTATCTCTGTCTAATATTATTACGAGAAACATCGAACAACCATCATCTACTCCCTAAATTCTCTATAATCCTTATTACTTATTAACTTGAAACAATATCCTTAACTGATCAATGAAATCTCGAAAAAACCTTTGACGTTTCTATCCTATCATTTAGTTGTTCTTCTTGTTGTTTGTATCATCTTCCTTCCTCTATCGGAGAGAGTCGTTTTTCCTTTTTTGTTTTTCCGAGCACCATACACGTACGTTAACTTACACGCTCTAGATCTGAAACGAAGCAACGAACACGCATGTTTCTGAACAGAGCGGACAGCAATCGTCGATGGAAATGACCTCCTTTCTAAATGGGCAAAACAACAACGGCAACGGCAACGGCAACGGCAACGGCAACGGCAACGGCGACGGCAACGGTAGCGACCACAACAACGAGGACTCCGTTGGAATCGACGTGAATGTTCCCCGTAGTAACGAGCCAGCAGTACCCCCGCATCAAGGATCATCACCACCTAACGATCAACCACTTTGAATGACACATTAGAAAACGTCTTCATTATCAAATGTCGCTTTATAGTTATATACACCCCCATACACACGAGTTCACGTTGACTTTAAGATAATAGGCAGCTTTTTACGGATATGTCCGATTCTTCCATAAAAATCGTATTTGATGTTTTTTTTTTATTTTTTTTTTTTATTTTTTTTTTTTTTTATAATACGACAAGAGTTACATATCTTACAATTAGAATTGACACGTTAATTGCTTCATTTAAATAATATTTTTCAAATTCTATTGTCGCGCATGCACAATAGAACTTGACTTTCACTTCAATGAAAGATCTCTTCTTCATGAACGTATCGCGCTTGTTAATATTTCATTATAGAAATCACGCTATAGTTGTAAATATATATAATTCGACGAGAGATACGTTTTATCTTCGCGAACGCCGTCCAACGAGATAAACACAATATACGCGTATGCACACAGACACACCGCATATACATGTATTCTTTTTATCGAAAATTTCGAATCGATTATATTCGATTCGGTTTTAGATCCAGGCTAATAGATCTGATAGAAAATGAACGTGTTGAAAGGAAGAAAAGAATACGAATGAACGAACGAACGAATGAACGAACGAACTAACAAACGAACTAACAAACGAACATTACACTAAATAATATAAAGCGAAATATCGAGTATTTTGTAAAGACGCGCGTAAAAATAATTGTGCCAGATGCACATATCGTTATTTTATTCTTCTACGTAGCTTGACTACGTTTATTGCAGTATTCATTTCTCTTTTGATACGATCAAAATGTTTTTCTATTCTAACAAGAGAAAACTTGTTTATTCATACTTCCATAATATTATATTTATATTATCGTCTCGACTGATACTTATTTAATTACTTGATCATTTACTCTGAATAATTACTTCCGTAATAACCAAGTTATTACCACCCTCGAGGAGAATCAGGTATCGTACAATACTCATTCATTTCTCTTTTAAAGATTATTTCAAATGGTTGCATTTATTTCTACACCGATATATTATATCAAAACACAAATATTGATTTAATCTTATACGTTCTTTCACTAATTAATCACGACGAGATTTCCTCATTTAGTGTCATTAAGTATCATTATTTTCTCAAATTTATTTTATACTAAATTAGACATTTTAGTTATTATATAATTTTTAGAACATTTCTTATCATTTATGTCAACGTCATATGTATATATACAATATAAAGACATTTTTTTATATTTTTTATATCGATGCAACATTAAAGATACAGTGTCAAAATATTAGCATGGTATCAGAGATTCAGTATATATAGATATGCAATGTACTATAGTGAAAAACGAACGGATGGATGATTTTATCCTAGCGTTAATATCAAAAGATTGAATCTTCTTAAAATAGGACAGATTAAAAAAAAATGTAAATAAAAAGAAACAACAAATATATATTTGCAATCGAGCGCGCATTATGCGACGACGTCAAGTTATGCGCTAGGACGCCGCCTGTACGTGCACGTGTGTTCTCTCTCCTTTTTTATTTCATTATTCCTCTTTGGTTTTGTATATACATACATACATACATACATACATACATACATACATACATAAATACAAATTCAGTTTACGTACGTGCTAATCGTATGCGAGTATCTTTGCTTATGCGTGCACATATAGGCGTGCACATATAAACGTGCGCGAGCGTACGCCTTTATTTTCATAAGTGCGATTATTTAAATGTTTAATTTGTCCGCTTGCTATTATTCACCTATGCACATTACAGTGGACTGTATATAATAGAAGCGGACTTTGTATATAATAGAATATTTGATGCGTTGTTCTATTGTCAGAACAAACGAACAAACGAACAAACGAAGGAAGGAAGGAAGGAAGGAAGGAAAAAAATATATATTATATATAAATCGATAGATAGAAATGTATGTGCCTTATATCTTGCCCAAGTTATTAAATATAATGTGATGATCAAGACCAGCGCGCGATAGAATGAAAATTAGTATTAATATTGAACACATATTCTGATCATGGTAATACCAACTCTACATTGTCGACGGACTACGTAAATGATCGAATGACAAACATGTTTTATGTACTTAATCAGATTTCTTCTTCTTTTTTTCCTTTTTTAGAAATACATTTTTTTGACAAAAACGACAAATCTATCGTTTATTATATCATTATTTTCTTCATTTTTCTTCGACGTACATAGGTATGAAATATGTTAAACGTTAAATAGTGCAAAGGCTTCATTATATATTTATGTATCATTTGTATTTTAATAGGGAGAACCACTTAAAAAAACTTGTATAACAAAGTAATATCTTATGGAAAAAAAAAACAAAAAAAAAAAAAAAAAATGGTGATCCAACAAATAGCAGGGTAAAAAGTTTAGACATGCAAATGTGTGACTTTAAAGTTAGAAGACGTGTTATAGAGGGTTAAGAAATCATAGAAGGCTCCCGGAATTTCATTTTCTCGCGTAGAGCCAAGAAAATACATATGTGTCTGCAAAGTTCGCCAAGAAGATGAAAAAAAGGAGGAAGTAGAAGAGGAAGAAGAATAAAACGAACAGTTTCTTATATATCATCCCTTCGCGGTATGTGATTTCTATCGAGAATTCGAACCTTCGTCGTATTAGTCGAATAGAGCTACCCCATTTCTTTGAGGATATTTTCTACGAGAGAACATCATTCGTTCTGACTAGATATGCAAAGCCATTTGGAATCTAACGATTACGTAACCTACCTATACTACCTTCAATCTCAATAACATTTCAACACTCATTGCTATGAATGCTCTCGATGCTATTGAAAATAAAGTCAAATCCATTATAAATAGTTTCGGATTTTGGAATTGAAATGAAATTTTCAGCATGACAGCATGTTTTTGAAAAAGGCAAATGAGGAGGAGGAGGAGAAGGAGGAGGAGGAGGAGGAGGAGGCGGCGGAGCCAAGTTCGGAATATAAGAGTGAGAGAGGCCTCGAGTCGTTGTCGCCGCCGCCGCCGCCGCCTGGCCGAAACAATCGTTATGATTTTCCGGCGTGGTTCGCTCGATACCGTCCCGCTTTCTCTGCTGGAGCTGCGTTTCTGTGTGGAAAGGGGGTAACGGGGTTGGAACGTGTGCGTCTGCGGGTTGCCGACAGAATGCTCGGAACCCACCACCGGAGCACCATTGGTGCGATGGGACGGACGGTGGAAGGGACGATAGTGTATACGCGTTAACGCATTACCTACCTGACGAAAATTTCCTGCTACGCTCGTTAAACGCGCTGCCATGCATGAGACGCCAAATTATACGCCAGAAAATAGAGAGAATTTACTTATTATTATTCCGGAAACTTTATTATTAATTTACCATCTCTAAGGAAATTAGAAAAACATATATTTTCAAAGAAATACTAAATCGTCGTCTTTCTATCGTAGGTATATTTTTGTAAAAGCAGCTTGCACCTGCACGATACGCATAATCCGTTAATGCTACTATAAACATTGCTTCTTTTCCATCGCACGTTCGTTCAGAGTATTTTACGAAGAGCATTAGAAAATCTTGTTCAATTGGAATTATAATGTTTGGATACGTCATAGGTGGACTAGACGCGATTAACGGTAGAAACGTTGGTCACTGCAAGGAAGAAAAGAGGCTAAAAGCAAAAGGTTTATGGAGAAAGAGAGAGAGTTGAAAAGATGTATGGTGGTAACGGGGCGTAGTCAAACGAGCGTCGGTCCCGGGAGTACCCCCGTTCCCCTTCACCAACTGGGAGAAGAGAAGAAAGAGAGAGAGAGAGGGGGGGGGGAGAGAGAAGCATTGAGCAACGTGGCGGGAGGAGGCGTAAGACGATGTCACCTCTTGCGTCCTACGAACGTCTTCCTTCGCGTAGAAGAAGACACGAAACGCGCGTTAAATCAATGATGCCGAGCTTGCGCCGCGTTACTCCCACGTAACGTGCCACGAAGCCGGAAGCTCCATTCCCCTAGACCCTACGTGCACCCTACGTGCACCCTACGTGCACCCTACGTGCACCCTACGTGCACCCTACGCGTGCACCCTACGTGCATCCTACGTGCACTCTACGCTCGGCGTGTGCCGTGCGGTGCCGTGCGGTGCCGTGTCGCGTGTCTTTCCCTCCCACTAGAGGTCACCATCCCTACCACTAACTTTTCCATTTGTTCTTTCTACTACTACTAGCATTCCTATTTTTCATCGGATCAACTCTTTCCCTATCTTTGTTTCGCACTCTTCTTGCATTTTCTTTACACGTAAAAGTTCGATGAGCATCGTCGTATAAATGCTTTGAAGCAATATAAATCTCTGTCAAAGTTTTTTCTCTCTCTCTTGCGCTTTGGTCTTTTTTCGTCGTTGTCCCGCGAAAAGGACCGATGAAAAGGCTCGTCGTCGTCGTCGTCGTCGTCGTCGTCGTCGTCGTCGTCGTCGTCGTCGTCGTCGCCTCCCGTCTACGATGCCTTTTCTCACCCCTTTCCAACCCCTTTCTCACCCCTTTCGCAGCTTGTACTCGCGCACGCTCCGTACAAAAGGGTGAGGAGGAGGAGGGTGAGGAGGAGGAGGAGGAGGAGGAACGAGCCAAGTCGCTTCCTCTTTCGCGACGCACACGAGCTCGTGGCGCTTTCCGTTCCGTGCCGTTCTATTTCCTTCCGTTCCGTTCCATTCCGTTCCGTTCCGTTCCCCTCGGCCATCCTACGTCTTCCAGTCTTTTACTCTCCTCCGGAGAGCGGAATATAGATTCCGTACGCGTAACGCGTTACACGTACGCGGTTGCCTGCTGCTGCTGCTGCTGCTACTACTACTACTACTACTCCTACTACTACTATCACTTCGTTCAGTTGAACGCCGAACGTTGCAAACCCAGATACCCCTATTTTATTCCTCTAGTACCAGGGGTTGGATGTGCTTTTCTTTTTTTTCTTTTCTCCTTTCGAACTTACGAAACCAAATTGTTAGGACGTAATCTCTAACGTAATCCTTGCGAATAGAAGAGGAAGTAGGAGGAGGAGAAGAGGGAGGTGAAAAAGTACAGTACGGTGCGGTACGGTGCGGTACGGTGCGGTACGGTGTGGTACGGTGATGCAACTGATGATTACGCGGATACCTGGAAAAATCGGTGCTATTCGATTTGGGAAGAAAGATCGTTCGGCTTGAAATGGTTCTAAAGTGCAACCCTACCACAAACAGGAAGATCACGATAGACGTTGGTGAGCGTTCGAGAAGGGGTAGTGCGCGTTGGAGGTGAACCCAAAGAATCTATGTACTTTTGTAATAAATAATGTATCGATAGTATTGTTGGAAATTAGTTGCGCGCCAAGGATAAATTACTTCTTTAAGATAAGAAGATAAAGCATATTATTGGTATCTGTACAAAATCTGTACAGCATCACTGGATAATGCTCTCGACTGATTTACTTGACCTCGCGCCGCTGCTATATGCTAACATTTTACGTACGGCGATGGTTGTTCTTTCGTGCGCGTCGATCGATCGTAGTAGTAACTCGGTGCCACTGCTACGAGTTCTCGTAGCGTGAAAATTTCTTCTTTCTCTACTGTCTCTACAATACAACGTGTCTTATCCTTTTAATCGGTTACAGTATATCGAACAAACGAACGAACAAACGAAGGAACGAACAAACGAACGAACAAACGAACGAACGAACGAACGAACGAGCGAACGAACGAACAATACGCGAGTAACATACAGATTAATAGATAAATAGATAGACCGAGAGAAGTAGGAGGAGGAGGAGGAGGGAGAGGAGGAGGAGGTGGAGGAGGAGGTGCGGAAGAAGAAGAGGAAGAGGAGGAAGAGGAGGAAGGCAGAAGAGAATCAATCGAGAACATAGTCGGGTCTGTCCAAAATCGGCGGAATAATGTTTCTGCGTATCGACAGGATCGTGCGTTCGGGGATCTTGTTTCTGTTGTGCATCGAGTCGAGCTTTCAGCAGGAGGAAGATATACCCCATAACGAGTAAGTATACATATGATTTTTACATGTGTAAACATATGTTTTCGTTAAAAATGGAATGCTCGCGTATAAAGCGAGCGTAAAAAGAAACAAAAAGAAAGAAAAAGAAACAAAAGGAAACAAAAAGAAAGGAATAGAAGATATTGGGCTGTGTAGGGCAAGTAGGACGCGTAGTAGTCGCGTAGTAGTAAGGCCCTCCTCGTGTACGTCGAGAGAAGGAGTGGGCGTACGGGTCGTCGGTCGTAGTACGCGCGGCGCGTATTTGCGACACGCGGGACTCCCTTGCGACACCCTCTTCCCTTCTACCCCCCCTCTTCGCCCCCCTTCGCCCCCCCTTCGCCCTTTTGCACTTTCATCGACAGCCGGTCTCAAGGACGAGTCCATTGTAAAAATCAAGATACGCCGATTTCTCCAATTTGTTCGTCTTCCGGTTTATCTGATCGCGCCAAGAGAGGACATGCGTGGCGTAACTCGATGCAACCTATGACCTCGATCTGCATCATCGACGTCTTACTACTACCCTATCGATGCTTTTTATTTTTCCATACGTGATACGTGTTAGTAGAGAACCATAAAAAAGGTAAGGGAAGGTATTTTGCCTTCTTCCCTTGTGACATAACGTTCTTCCTTTCCAACGTTCATCCCGTTTTCGTAGATTCACAGTCCACGAAATACGTTGATTTTCAATCTGGCCCATTCTCTGCGTGTTATTTTACCTGAGATAATATGGACTAACTAACTGAGAACAATTTTGTCTCTTCTTATATTTACAGAGTCAAAAACTGGGCCTTGAAGTTTGGAGTGGATTTATGGGAATTTGGTAAGCAAGTGACCAAAATGGGCGAAATACAGAGGGTAAGATGATATTTGTTTTTCAAGTGTTTCGATAAAAACGAAATATTATTTAAGTGGACGATGTTTTTTTTTTTTTTTCGCAACAACTTTGGTAGAATAGAAAATGCAAGATCGTAGAGCGTAAAGGTTGAATAACGAGAGCGTTGGTAACGACCAAGAGAACTGGAATAATAGTAGTGTCTGGCATCGAACCTTGTTCCGACTCTTGCTGCACTTTGCGTTTCCTAAAGCTCCAATTTTATTCCTTTTTTAACACTTTTTATTCCTTCTTGCTCTTGCATTTTACATCGTACGTTCCCACGTCTGTTCGATATACCATGGGAAAAAAGAGGGAAACAAAAGAAAAGAAAAGAAAGGAAAAGAAAGGAAAAGAAAGGTAAAGAAAAGTAAAGAGAAGAGAAGAGAAGAGAAGAGAAGAGAAGAGAAGAGAAGAGAAGAGAAGAAAAAAAGCAACCCTAACGCCTGCAACCCGTTTTACTCGAGGGACCTTAATGGACTGTGTGTTTCTCATCGTGATTGCAGCCGCGTGCATCATTAATTACGTTATTAAACAACCTCCGCCGCTGTTCCTCTGGCCTGCATATGCTCTCATGTATTATTGCACTCATATTTCTTTTCTTTTTTTTCTACAAGCATACACAAAGAAATCGTCCAATTGAGACATTTCTTTTTCTCCTCGATTAATTATTATCAATTGAAATATGTAAATTTGAATAGTCGGATGATCAGAGTGGCATTTTAAAAAGGGAAATTGAAAACGTCTTTCTGGAATATAAACGAGCCATATATAATAGTTTTCCAAAGGCGAGATAAATGAATGAGAGAAGTAGAAAGCGAGGGGGAAAACGAAAGCAGGGTTGGGTGTTGGTGGTGGTGGTAAAATAAAGACCGCGAAGAGTTTGAGAGCGTCGGTATGAAAAGGTTCGTTTAAAAGGGGCCCTTTTGCAGGTGGCTCTTGAGTTGGAAGTTGTACGAGCTCGAACGTGGTTCAACGTAGAATGTAGAACCTATATACGTATATATATACATAGGTATGTATATAGGTATGTATATAGGTATATATGTAGGATGTAGGCGATTCCAAGTGTGTGTGTGTGTGTGTGTGTGTGTGTGTGTGTCGCAGCGAGTAAACGGACGCGACACGCTGATCGATAATACGCGAACTTCGAATCCCCTGTCGCTGATACGACAACGCGCGAAAAGTACGAGCGTCGAATCGTGCTGGCCCTCCTTTCTCCCCTAGCCTCCCTTCTTCTCTCACCCTGTTCGTCCTTTCCTGGAACTGGCGCCATCGCATCTCTGCCAACCATCAACGTTTCTTCCACCTATTACTACTCTATTCCTACATCAACGAAATCGAATGTCTATCGAACGTCTATCGAACGTCTATCGAATCTCCATCGAACCAATTCGCCATTTTCTTCACATACTTAGAAAAAATCACTTTCAAGAGCAATAACTTTATTTCCTATCCTTTTTCAATATGTAAAATAGATACGTATATGAGTAAATACGCGTATACTATGTTAGGATATATCGAAAGCATATAAGGAGGAACACTCGAATGGGGTGAGCCTTTTAAATTTACCTGTTGCTCTTGCAATTGAGAGAGAGGGATAACACTTTTAATTCGACGTAGTTACACCGTCTGCTGATGTAATATATATAAAGCTTATCCTACGTACGAAGAAATTCAAATAGAACGAACGAAAGTTATAAATTAGTAGAAATAGCTTGCGAATGATTTATAAAGTTATTTTCAAGGTAAATTCCGCGGATAGTTCCTTTTTAGAAATCCCATATATATATATACAAAGTACATGTATTGGTTATTCGTGAAATAATAGAACGATTACGTGGCGATATCGAGCGAAAAGGGAGACTAAATGAGAAGGGATCGATACGAGGGAGGCATTACTCTTCATATTTCCCAGATTAAATTCAACGATTAAAATATTTTCCTTTACTCGACTAACTTTATCCTATCTTCGAAAATAAACACTTTTAACCCCCCCCCCCTCGTCGTGTAAAGTTGTTTGGCCGAGATTAAAAATGAACCTTTTTGTAAGTGCAATTCTTAAATTGACTAGAATTATTAATAAATAAAAATATATAAGTATTTCGAGAGAAGAGAGAAAAAGTAACAACTCGTCACATCGCACCCCCCGCTCGTGTTTTATTTCTTCGCACGAGTATCAAGAGAAAATATAAAGGCTGCTTTTTTTTGCCGTCTCTACTTTTTCACAGATAAGAAAGGTCGCTCGCTTGGTCGCTTTTTTACGCTCGATCCATCCTGTCCATTATCCTCCTTTTCGTTTCTTTTTCTACGTAACACCCCTCGTTACTTCTTCTCTCTTCTCCATTTCCTCTCCGTAGGTAAGATAAAGGTTTACCTTCCGATAACATACAATTTGCGATTTGCTAGTACGAAAAGAAAAGCTTTTTCTTTCTTTCTTTCTTTTCTTCATAGTAATGAACACAAATTGAAATGAAAAAGAAATGCTCTCTATCTCTCGCGTCTACTATGTGTATTTGAATAATTCGATACGTTATGTGTGCGTACCTTGTGTGTGCTAAATGCGCTATCAACGTCAAGGCCAATTGCCACTTTGCGTGTCGATTAAAGCAAAGAGAATAATAGACGTTTATTTTCACCCATTACATCGTCATCACATCGTCATCACATCGTCATCACATCGTCATCACATCGTCCACGTTTATCTTTTTCTTCGAGAACCAAATCTCTATCATAAATAGAACATTTTTTGTCGATTTACAGAATTATTATAAGGTCGAGGCGAATCTCATTAAAAGGGACGGCTTGGTACTGGTCAGAGAAATGGCTGCTGAAGTTAAAAATATGATGGATTTCAAAATGAACGCTGTTATGGTGAGTATGATAATGAATGATATAATGAATGAAATAACAATATATAAATGTCTGGATTAATCGTAGTTTGCATATTTATTTGCAATCCGATCAATTCGGTATGAGTTGAGTATTGTTTCAATGTTCTTCGTTATCCGAGAAGAATCGGCAAACTGGGACGGGAATGAAGTAATTGCCGTCAATAAGAATCCTGTCACGTTGTTGAAGGAAAATACCTGACTGGCTTGACAAATCTAAACCTGGACACGTCGTATAGCCTTTTCCCCTCCACTACCACCACTTGCAACCCTTCCTTCCACCCACATCTACATCCATATACATTTGCATTTGCATTTGTATTTGCATTTGTATTTGCATTTGCACTTCTATTGCGTCGCCGCTGACAACGGTGATGATACGCTATCTCTGTCACTTTCATTATCTTAAGATAGTGTATAGGTACTCGTATTACGTACACTTAAGTAACCTTACGAACGATTAGAGAAAGGAGGATGAGAATAATGAAGTTCGACCATTATCCTATTCCGTTGATCTCTTAATTTTAATTAATTCTACAATTACGACGTGCAAATGATCTTTGTGTTGTATACCTCTACTAATCGATTTACATTTCCGAACGATTATCAATTTGACGGATACCTTTAGAATACATTTTAGTGTGTCTAGTGACTAATTGTATTAGAATGGAAATATTAGAATGGATTGATAGATAAATTGATGAATTGATTTCGCAGAGACTAATGGAAAATGCGGAACAGGCTGCAGTTTCGCCGCCAAGGGATGCTAACATTTTGCCTAAATATTCTTCCTATCGTTATAATCTTTTTACGACTGATGGCAAAAAGTCTTCCGATTCTCGAGAAATCTATCTAAATACGCATCATCATTTCGATTGGTTGGCAGTAAACGTTTCTTTATCGTCCGTTCTCGTACCGGGTGAAATTGATGAAACAGGTAAATTTATTTTTCTTTTATTACACGTTTACTGCTTACTGCTTACTGCTTACTGCTTACTACTTACTACTTACTACTTACTATGTCCAAACAGTCACCAACTAACCAAAAAAGATGAAAATCCAGTTAGTAGTGACTTTTGTGAACATGGAAAATAAATCTAAATTCACTTTGCAAGTAAATAGAAAGCGAGATAGAGAAAGAAAAAGAGGTGATAGTAGTAGTAGTAGCAGTACCTACCCATCTACCTACCCATCTACCTACCTAGCTACCACCTACTTTCAAAGTTACTTCAACTTTCTCGACAAAGTATCCCTCGCTTTACAATCCTTTTAACGTCCTTCCAAATGTCATTATAGAAAGCGACGTAGCTGCAGGCATTCTATGGAGCGAATATTTGGATCCTCTTTTCATCAATAATTATGAAAGCGATCCTTCCTTATCGTGGCAGTACTATGGTGCAACGTCAGGATTTTTGAGACGTTTTCCTGGTAAATAAGGCAAATTTTCTCTAACATATTATTCAAATGATTTCAACTTGATTGATTGCTGTTGTTGTTGTTGTTGTTGTTTAGCAATAACGTGGCCACCGGTAGAAGGAGTATTTGGTTCTAACCAAAAAGCACCCTTAGTCCTTTCGAATCCTGTATTCCGGCACGTGTACGACTTTAGGACTTCCAATTGGTTCGTCGGTGCTGCCAATAGTCCTAAAGATTTAGCTATTTTAATCGACACTATGGGATATGACAGCGAACGGAATGAAAAATTGCTAATCGCTACGACCAAAGCTATATTGGATACGTTAGGTCCTGACGATTACGTCAACGTTTATCGATACGGCGAGACAGCTGAGGAAATCGTTCAGTGTTTCAAGGATAGTCTGGTTCAAGCTTCGCCAGAAAACATACAGGAACTCAAGTCAGCTATGAATACATTGAAACACGAGGAAAGTACTAAGAACATATCCGCGGCCTTGAGTACGGCCTTTGAAATCCTTCACAAGTACAACAGAACCGGTCAGGGCAGTCAATGTAATCAAGCGATCATCTTGATAACAACCGACAACGAAGCTCCTCCTACGGAAGTGATCAGAAGGTATAACTGGCCACACATGCCAGTTAGATTATTTGCTTACCTTATTGGCGGTGACAAGAGTCCGGAACTCTTTGACATGGCTTGCACCAACAAAGGTATCGATCACACAACATTATCACACATATTTATCTCGATCGATAGATTACTATTTCTAACTTGGTCATAACAATGTTGGTTATTATTTATACAGGATATTACGCGAGAATTACTAAACCGGAAGAGATTAAAAGTAAAGTTTTCGAATATGTTAAAGTACTTGCACGGCCTATGGTGCTTTATCAGCACGATCATCCTATACATTGGAGTCCGGCTTACATTGGCGGAAAAGTAATCATCCATCATCCATCATTTTAATCCAAAGGACTTTGACTTGTTGACTGTTATACAAATATTATCATTTGATTTTTAGAGTAAAAGATTCGGTAGAGAAAATCACGGACAATTGATGACATCCGTCACTGCTCCGATTTTGGATCGTCGAAATCATACGGTACGCTTTACTTATTCATTTCTATTTGTTTCATCAATTCATCATCTTTTTTTGTTTTTGTTTTAGTTAAAAAGAGCTAATTTATTGGGCGTCGTTGGTACCGACGTTCCTGTCGAAGAAATACAAAAACTGGTACCACCTTACAAGGTATTTATTTCATTAGATTGATTGCATTTATTTCTACATGATAAATATCATCTCATTAATTTTCTTTACTTTTCAGTTGGGAGTCAATGGATACTCCTTTATCGTTGACAATAACGGTCGTGTCTTGTATCATCCGGACCTGCGTCCATTGGTGAGTAATTCTTACAAACAACACCTACAAACACACCTACCTCCTACCGACAAGTATTAATTATAAATAATAATTGTACCACTAATGCAGCCAGAAAATTCAGATGTGAGTATAGAAGACAAGACGACTCGGTTTAATCGAAATTTCCTATATTGTACTTAACTAAACATTTTTCTTGGTTAACATAGTACGAAGAGACACTAAAGCCTACGTACATAAGCGTAGATTTATCGGAAGTTGAACTAGCGGAATACGACGGACCCTCGCACCCTTTGAATAATTCACTTCTTTTAGATGTAAGTAATAATCCGTCGTCTACATAATCAAATCTAAATCTAAATCTAAATATAAATCTAAATCTAAATCGATATATTTAATAATTAAAATTACAGTTGAGGCACGATATGATCGATCAGAAAGAAGGGGAGATCGGCTTTAGCGTGAAAATTCATTACGATGACATGGTAAATGCTAAAACTAGCTTATTAATTAACAAATGACAAGAAAAGAAATAAAAATAAGACAGAGTATAAATTTCAGAAAAGAGTGACGATCAGACGACACAATTATTTTTACAAGCCGATAGAGGGTACACCGTTTTCATTAGGTTTGGCTTTACCCGAAGGGTATGGCATGTTCGAACTCCTTGCCGAACAAGAGATCAAGCACATGGCAGTCAATGGTACATGGTTACTTACTTACTTACTTACTTAAAGTAAAATAGTTAAATCAATTTTTTGAGAATTCTTCATAGTAATTGGATGTTTTTGTTTTTCTTTTCCATCAGCGACCGAATACTTTAAAGGTAATAATTGGAAAGTACATCCAGATTGGGTGTATTGCGAATATAATTCGGCATCGAGCAAGACGTTCATTTCCCCGGAGGAACGCATAATACACTTTTTATCGCGTACGAAAAAACCCGCGTGGAAGTGGATGTCCTTGAGACCAAGGAGTCCAAGCTCGCACCATAAGCAAGCGAGCAAGCCAGAGAAGGACTCTCATTACTGTAAGTATATAAGACAATTTGCATTATTATGTTCAATTTCAATATTTACAAAAATTGATGAAAAATCTTTTTGTCCGTTCAGGTGACAAGGGATTAATTCAATCCTTAATTTTGGACGCTATCGTAACGGATGGGTTTGATAAAAGAGGAAATTCGATGCACAAAGAAGAGAATACAAAGTGAGTAAATCGGTCCATGTATGGGAGGACAATGAGATTTTAGAAAAAAAAAAAAAAAAAAAAAAAAAAGCACGTCAATCCACCGTACACACACACTCACACACACGCGCGCGCAAATATACGTTTTTAGTAATGTCTCCTCGAGCACCTCGCAAAATGCGCCAAATGCACAAAAAGCACGCGATTATGTATTCACTTATGATCACGCATCGTTACGAGAATCGTTTGCACTCTTTATTGCAAAACTATTATGAAATAAATTTGCAAAGAGGATGGCGGAAGGCACCCTTGGTTGAAAGAAATACGTGGATATTTTGTAATCTAATATCCAGCAAAAAGAACAAAGCATAATTCCCGTAAAAATAATCATCAATCAATGAAATCATTTCCACGTATTTCCTTCGTAGTTAGAAAGAAATGATATGCACCGTGCGCCAACGTTTGTTCTCTTTCATTTTACAAGACATTATATTTCATTGCATATATTTTGATTACATTTTATTATTGTGTGTCTCCACCGCTAGCCCTATTGCCATACTGATGGCTCTACTGCACAGGTAATTTGCAAAAATCCATTATGCACAATTAATTGTCTAAACGCGTACACGTCTACGCTGCAACGTAATAAGTTTTTAGCCGGTGTCGTCTAATATAACCTCTGCTATATATATATATATATTATGCACCTTCTACGTCGACGTAAACTTTTTACTCGGATCTAACCATTGCTATATATATAGGGTGCATACAAGTTTATACTAATTCTAACCTTCTAACGTATCATTTTCAGCTAAGGGAGTATGGTAAAAATCATTAAGAATACTTTATATACGCCCTATATATAATAGCATTTGAATCTCTCGACAGTCTTGAGATTTATTGTCGAAATACGATCCGAGTAATGAAAAAACTAATCTTGGTATGAGTACCAAACGAGAGAGAGAGAGAGAGAGAGAGAGAGAGATCGTCTACATTTGAATGTGGTAATACCAATAAGAATTGTGAGAAAGGAGGAAAAATAGATCAATTTAGCCGTTCTCTTGTGATTCTCTCCAAGTCACTAAATAATTCTTACTATAATATTATTATTATTATTATTATTATTGTTATTATTATTATTATTATTATTATTGTTGAAAGAAAAAAGAAAAAGAAAAAATCATGTAAAGTTCTTGTGACTAATATGATCGGTTTGTTTTTGCAGCAAAGGCAGGGGTAGATTTGGGGTTATCAGAAGTTTTGTCGCAACTAGGAGTGGACTTTTTCGTTGGCACGAACATCAACAGAGTTATGAAAAAACAGAGGAGCCGTACGTAAATGATCCCACGATTTAATTAGCGTCAGATCGATCGAGAATTACGTCAGTCGAGTATTCCGTTTTCAGTTGGTTTCCCGAACAATACTCAAGAGCTATGGAGTCTTCTTGGTATAAACGTGCAGTCGATCAACACTCCATCGAACCGGAAAGTTTCGTTTTCAGCGTTCCATTCGATGCTGGTAGGACGACTGTATAAACACATTTTTTTTTTTTTTTCATTTTACATTCACAATTTACTATTACATATAATAAATAAAGTGTATTTTGTTATTTTGTTGTTAGCCGAAAAACCGAATCCTCTGGTCACTGCAACGCATGCTATTTTTATTGGTAAAGGACATAAAGCACCGGCTGCAGTCGTAGGATTGCAATTTCAACATTCCTCTTTGGCATCCCATTTCGTTAACATAACGTCAACTGTAGGTCATCTACAGTTTTTGTTTGTTTTTTTTTTTTTTCTGGTTTTTATGGATTTATTTCAAAAGCCATAGTTTTGTTTCGTTGCAAAAATGAGAGTTTTCATTTGGTAATTTGCATTCCAGTGTACAGCTGGAACGACTGGCTGTAAGAAAAACTGCGGATCGGAGGAACTCGATTGTTATATTCTTGACAATAGCGGATTTGTCGTTATAAGCGAAAGGCACGAACATACTGGGAAATTTTTTGGCGAGATAGATGGTACCATAATGGATTCCTTGGTACAGGATAGGATCTACAGGTTATACATCCAAATATTCTATATTCAATGAAAAGGAATGAAATGTCGCGTTAATTGAATGAAATAGTCGTCTATTAATCTATTGAATATTATTGTACAGGAAAGTAACCGTGATCGATTATCAAGGGACTTGTAGTCCTCAAGAAAGTCATCGTTCTTCGGCACCAAGAACTACATCAGCTTCCATCTTGAAAGGCACCGCACTTCTTGGAAATTTCATTTGGAATCTCTTTTTGAGTTTCAACGTTCAAGACATTTGGCGTACGGTAGTGGCTTTTGCCAAAGACGCTGCTCATTCCATGCAAAACGATGGTAAATGTTAGAATGCATAGAATAAAATTCGTGTTAATATAATATTTTAGTAAGTACTCCTCGTATCGTTGTTTTCAGACGATCTGATATTATCCGACACCGAGATCGAAATTGATTCGAATATCGATGATACCGATGAACTAAGCAGCGAACTGAATAATCTCGAATCGATAGCACCCGCGGAATCGACCGCGGAATCGGTTGTTCCAGGAAAAGAAGATTTTTCGGAAATACCAGTAGCAGCTGCGATACCCGTTTCACCGCCTACTACTCGTGCCACCTCTGCCCACTTTCCACCGCGCAAATTAAGATCTTGCGAAAAGAAGACGGATCTTTATATTTTGCAACCCGAAAGATTAAATACCAGCGGACAAAGTAATCCGCTCAAAGGGAAATTAACGAATTGTCATGTTACGGGTTGCGAAAGGTAATCTTTAACAAACGTTAAAAACAAAAACTTGGATTTTAGAATAACTATTGTTCTTGAATATTTAGTTTGTTCTCGTTGATAGGCCTTTCAGCGTGCAAAAAATACGTCACACGAATTTAATCCTCCTCGTGGTAGACACGTTGTGTCCATGCGGTAACAAACAACTCAGTATCGAGCCCATAGAAGCTATGACGGAACCAGGTGCTTGCACGGCGAGAAGAGAACGACTTTACCGAAGAAGGCCGCCAAAATGTATTAATTATCATCCAGAAGAGATGGAAATCAAGATTTGCGGTGGCGCAACCCTGACGCAACTTGCTCGATCGACGCAAATCGTATTCTTATTAACGACCATCTTGCTCGTCAGGTTGGCGTGACTCTCCAATTAAAGCACACGCGCACGCTAATTCACAAATATCAATGAACAAAATGATGAACAAAATGATGAACAAAATGATGAACAAAAAATGAACAAATTGTCTAAGCGAGTCATTATTATTATATGAGCGGTCTACTCTGCCTTTTTCCTTTTTCGTCTCTGGCTCGTCTCTCTTTCTCTCCCAACGAATCCGTCGTCGTCGCATCGATAATAAAAAAAGCAACGCACCGAGAGTCAACAATCTCTCTGTCTCGCTTGCGTTCCAAGTATTCGACGAGGAGCTTTTGCACGTTTTCTAATTCGACCATTTGTCGTGTCTTCTTTTCTCACTCATTTCTAGATTGAAAGATATCGGATGTAATATTTCATATATTGCGAACCGTTGCTTTATGATATATGACCAATTATATATCATTAACCAATAATATATATCGTCAATCGATCGAGGCTTCCACACCAAGTTAAATCACCGTTTCTTTCTTTTCTTTATCTTTCGTATTCATCTATTGAAATCAAACAATCTCCCACTAATTATAAATATACCGATTGTTCTTTTTTATCAAAAGAACTTGGTCAATCGCTAATTGTAAGACGATTTTTATTTAATGGTCATCTCTGGTTCCGTCCCTATATAAAAGTAATTATTACGACACGTATTTACTTCGCAGTAATATATATATATATATATATATATATACATCCTTTGATCTTTTTCCAGGAATGAGATTGAACGTCATCGAGTCGGTCGGTTTATAACGATTCCGATGATCGATGATGCGTGACAAAAATTAAGTTTTATTTTGAAAGAAAATAGAACAAACAAAACGAAAAAAAGATAAAAAAAAAAAAGAAAGAATGAAAAGTGCACTCGTTATGCGATTTTAAAGCTCACTCTTACTCTTATAAATTGTCAATCGAAGAATTTGGTTGCAAACCGATTCGACGAATGAACAAATTTATCTTTCGCGTCGAAGATTGTAAAGAAAACAAGATTATGGCGTTAACGTGCGACGAGATTCGGAGTCAGGGCGAAGAAATATAATAAATGTTAAAAGAAATAACAAAACAAAACAAAAAAAAAAAAAAAGAATCGAACTTGTTAAACGAAGATTTTCTCCGTAAATTCGTTGTAAAACTATCTCGAACATATAATAAATAGACGCAAATACACGCGAGACCTCACAGAGGGACCGACCGTTCTTGATATTTACGAACAACAACACAGGTTGTTCGTATATTATATATGCATTCGTACATACAAATAATATATGTATATGTATATAATTGAAATAATACGTGTATAGCGGACCGATGAAAGTTTAACGGTCCATCTATTGGGAGAGCCTAATTCGTTGCTTCAAGCAACGATAGCACTTGAACATATTAGATAAAAAATAATCTTTTAAACGGCCCCCGCCATAAACGGGCGCCAAAACGTCTTCCAGTATTTGTATATTAATGATAAAAATCGACTATAAAGGATATATTATATATACATATACACATACATATATATACATATAGCTATATATACATGGATAATAAAAATACTAAATACTTGGGGAAAAAGATTAATAAATTAATTAATTATTAAATTAACAAAAATATAAGATACTTACATATATATATATATATAAATTAAGAAAATGACATAACGACGAAAAAAAAGGATTTAAATGATAAACAACCAAAGGGAAAATAAGAAAATATCCAAGCAGAGAGAGAGTGAGAGAGAGAGAGAGAGGGGTATATAAGAAATAAGAAACACTTTGACCTAAATCGTTCCAAACGATGATACAATACGATACGAAACGATACATTTATGCGAACGCAAGAAGAATGCTTGTTTTCTTTTTTTTTTTTTTTTTTTTTTTTTTTTTAGACAGGATTATAAAGAGAGAGGCATTTAGTTATCGTGTGTGTATATCCTATTTATCCTTTACTTTTGTCCTCCTACACGTATGTATTTCAATTTCCTCTCGATTATTATTTCGCGTCATTCAGAACGTTCGCTGTATTTGTTCGCGTTCTAATCCTTTTACTTTGCAGGATCACGCGAGTATTACAAAACGGGTATAAACACAGATAAGAAAAAAAAAAGAAAAAAGAAAAAAGAAAAAAGAAAAAAGAGAAAAAAAGAAAAAAGGAAAAAAAAATGATGACGATTATGATAATAATAAAATTTGGAACGTGTCGAGAATATAACGATGTCCTTGTTCCTCTTATTTGGACACGTTTTCATCGACTTCGATTCTTCTAAATAAGCATATTACATAGAACTTTTTCTAGCTTTCTAGTTTGGTTAAACTTTTCGAGGCTACACATTTGGAATTTGTATATTTTGTTGATTTTCATTACGTTGAAGATAATAAATAATATATGAAATAAAATATTCTTCATTTGACGACGATGTAGAAAATTGGTTTAAATTTCTATATGAAAAAAAAAAAAAAATGAGAAAAAAAAAGATTACTCTTAGGCGTTATTAAAGTGCTAAATCGTCGTAATAAACAACGCACTTTCCTTTTCCACACTGTCCTTACAAACGAATAGATTTAATAAGTCATATAATAGTTAAATGAACTGTAGAAATCGATCGTCGTACGCACGCCACACACATAAACAAACATAAGTACATACTTTATGTTGAAATTGTTGTGTTGTTGTTTCATTGTCCGATGGTCGGGTCGATATTCTTGAAAAGTTAAAAAAAAAAAGAGCAACAATCCAAAATTCGATTAATCCTCTATAGTATATATAGTCTAATTCATATTATACAAATGAAATAATATACAAATTAACGTTTTTTTTCCAAAATGTGTTGAATTCTTTGTCATTTTATGTTTGTCAGCTTAATATCTTGCGATATCAAATTGATTCGGGCTATAGAGGATTAAATAATAACAAGCGGACAAGATTTTGGCTCGCAACAAGAATAACAATGAAATAATATGAATTGTCGTGCAATTGTTAATGTTGTAAACTTGTATTCGACGGCATCGCGAGCCAAATCAAAGTCGATTAGCTTTAAACAACAACAATTGATATCTTTGTAAACAGAGAAAGAGGCCCCGAGATTTATATTAGATATTATACACAGAGTGTCATATCATTTTCATACAATTCTACTTTTTCCTCGTAATTTACTATTCTAATTGGAAAATAAAAGCTATTGTTGTTTTTTGTTAAATGTGATGAATAATATCTTCATTATTAATTGATTTCTAATTTATCACAAATTTCATAAATTGTTGTTGTTGTTGTTGTTCTTGTTACTATTCTTCTTCTTCTTCTACTTGTACTTGTATTTCTTCTTCTTCTTCTTCTCCTTCTTCTCTCCGTTCAAACTCTGGTATACTAAAGCTCGAAACCGAAGAAAGAGAAATATAGTGGAAAAATATTCGTCTGCGTTGTCCTTAAAGTGTGCCTTTGCTTGTATACACGAACCGTTAACGTACTGTTAAAAATGCTGTAAAAAAAAAAGAAAAAAAAAAAAAAAAAAAGAAAAAAAAATGAAGAAGATGATATATTCCTTGATACACTTGACATACGACACGCAATCGCGCACAACGATTGTTAGTTATCAATGGCGTTCATTAGAAACTATATACAATTAAGAAATAATGAAATGAGAAATAACAATTTATAGATACAGAATGTTTGATTCGTTGATAAAAGGCCTACCGTAAATGATTTTCTATAAGTTTCGATTATACTAACATTATACATACGAGAGAAATGGAAATAAACATAGGGAAGAAAAGAAAGACGACAAATAGAATTTAGAAATATTGGCCAATAGTATACCAGAGTTTATGGAATTTGTCATTGAAATTCTATCATTGAAATAGAGAAATAAAATATATATAATAAGAAAGTTTAGGGTGTTCCATTAATGATAACACGAATTTGTCTCTACTTTATAACTTGAAAACGTTTTATCATACATTTATCTGTATACGTAAGAGTGTTGAATCAACGTCAAGATTAGACGATAAAACAACATTAGTTTAATCGCCAAGCGAATTTGTAGTATTATTAATGATTATTACAAATGCATAATAAATACTACCTAATGATGAAACGCACACGAAAGCTTCCATTTTGCTCGATAATAATACATACATACATACATACATACATACATACATACATATTTCGATATTACATATACATGCATATTTACAAATAGTCTGTTATCTTGCAGCTCGATAGTATCGATAGTATCAAGCTGCAATATTTTCTACCGTGATATCTTTTTTATCTGACGTGTTGCCACTTGGAATACCCTTCGCTTATGTATAATGTTCAAAAATAAAGAAGAAAAATCACAAGAGATGATATGCATAAATACTATAATATAAGATATTATAATAAATATATATATATTATAGGCGTATTTACGATATGAAAATCAAACGAAGCGAATCTAGCTCGGAGAAAATAGTCTAATTAAATGTATCGATGTTTCTCATTTTCTTTCATTAGATATAGATTACATATAGATATAGATTGCATATATAGAGATGAACTTTTGTTGGCAATTTGTTCCGGGGCCGAAGCCTCCTCTGCAAAAAGACAGACCCTCGTCAACCAACCTCGGAACCAAAGCTCTTTCGGCCGTCGGTAGAAACGTCACCGAGAGCTCCGTTCATTTGAATTATACAAAAAGAAGGCAAATATACACACAGAGAGATAGATAGCTGTTTATGTTTATTCAATTGTACTTACTAGAAGAAAAAGTAAGAGAATAGTGGCGGCGAACAAATAGCGACGACGATTACGTTGACGATTACGTTGACGATTACGTTAACGAGGTTGATCAACTTGATGATGATGATGATGATGATGATGATGATGATGATGATAATATTAATACTACTGTTAATAAATAAACAATAATAATATCATTAAAAAATATAATAATACTAACACAAAGTGACATAATTACCGAAAAATACTACAAGTAATAATAATAGGAATAAGAATAAGATAAGAAACAATGAGAGCAGGTTTGAGCGTAGTTGTGAGACATACAAAATATCCATTTATAGGATTACGTCCTTCTGTAAAATAATTCAAATTACAAGTTATGATAAAGATTATTATAATGCGGATTATCCGTAGATGTGGAGACAAGAAAAATAATTCTTGTTATACGATGACAGACAATATATATTGTAAAAGGGACTTTTCGTAATTCGAGGATTCAATTTGATTTCAGTATTAAGAGAAGGGATGCGTGAGTGCGTGCGTGCTTGCGTGCTTGCGTGTGCGTGCGTGCGTGCGTGCGTACTTATCAGGAAAGATTAAATAGACAAGAAATTGTTGAGTCGAGGGGCCAGAAAATCAAAGTAAACAACACACACAAAAAAGAAGAAAAAAAGAAGAAAAAAAGGAGAAACAGGAAGGAGGAACCCTTTTTCGCGGCTTACAATTTGTCTTCTTCGTCTTTTTATGATAGCGTTTTATCTAGAATAATAATAGAGAGTTCTTTCGGTGTCTATTTTGAAAGATATACATTAAATACGATACGTAAATATTCTATAGTATATAATTAATGTGTTGATTATAATTAATAATCGTACACATTGAGACAAACATTGGAATTTTGCTATAAAAGGGTTCAGATTACGAGTTCACCCTGTTTTCCTCATTTTTATTCCCAGTTCATTCGACGATACAAGTTTTTCCTTACAATTTTCAATTACAATATAGCACATACATTTTCAATATAAATTTGTCCTCCAACTTTTGTATTATATAATATTTTTGTAAAGAACATTTTCGATGGTTTATACATGGAATGAGCTGCGAGCAAAAATTCGAGGGGAAAAAAACAGGAAAGAGGAAAGTGCGACGACCGTATTGATTTCACTAACAATCCTTACTTAAAGAAGAAAGAAGAAGATGATGAAGAAGAAGAAGAAGAAGAAGAAGAAGACATCGCGATGACAATAATTGCGTCTCGCTTCCACGCATACATTATTACATACATTATTACATACATAGTTATCCTCTCGATTATATGAAGCTTCTTTTTTCACTGCTCCTAATGATACTTCATTAAATAAACAATAAGACGAACGAACCATCAAAGCTAATATATTTTTAACACGACGATGTGACAATGTTACTTGAACGAATAGAACAAAATAACAAATTATTATATAAGAAAAACATGAAGAGCAAGCAGAAAAGAACGAAGAGAGAGAGGATGTTATCAATGATCGAGATGATGAACGCAAAAATGAAGGCAAATACTTTGATGGAAGCTTTCTCGCGAAAATTTCTCTTGGCAAGCTCACACCATCATCATCATCATCATCATCACAATTTTGTCATTTTACCTATTTAAAGTTCTCTCCCGTAAAACAAAGCATTTCCCTTTAACATAACGCCACTCATCATCCATTTTCGCATGATTGGCCTGATTTGATATACATATATACATATATATTATTATTATTATTATACATACGTAGACGATGAAATTACAAAGAAGTTACTTATATTGAAAATATAAAACTAGAGAAAAAGAGAGAAAATGAGAGAAAGATGATATTTCATTACGATATGGTTATTCGTTATACGGGGATATTTATTATATTAATTCTATTCGCGTAAACAAGCCAGTCGTATACATATGTACATGTTATATCATTGTGCGTTATCCTGGTCGAAAGACGAGAGAGAGAGAGAGAGAGAGAGCGCGTGAATTATATTAAATAGTATGTGTGTTACATAAAAAAAAGGAAGAAAGAAAAAGAGAGAGAGCGAGAGAGAGACAACAACAGAAGTTGGCGATTAATAATAATAATAAAAATAATAATAATAATAATAATAATAATAATAAATAATAATAATAATAATAATAATAATAATAATAATAATAATAATAATGATGATGATAATAATAATTTAAAAAGAAAATTAATAAAAAAAGAAAAGAAGAAGAATAAAAGTTGAGAGACGTTATCCCGTCGTAATTATTCTACGTTTTAATATCATCTTTACCCCAGTGAAAGGGTTAACGTATAGAAAATAAAGCCGTCACAGATCGAAGTACGCGCATAATACATGTATGTGTCTATCGATGATTGGCCTTTTTTTATTTTGTATAATATTTGATCTGTAGAAAGAGAGAATGAAAGAGAGAGAGAGAGAAGAATATTGTAATTGAATTAAAACAAAATTCGTGTTATTGTTTTGAGAAAAAGGGTATCGTATAATGTACGTTATTTAACGCTTTAACAGTCTGAAAAAGAAATACGATCTTCTATTTGATGTATTTATCAAACGTAAATACAATGACGTCTATAATATATTGCAATAAAAACCAAATACAATAATTTCATCCGTGATAAATGCGTTCGTTCATTTACTTTGATCCTAATTTAATACTCTGATAGAAATATTAAAAACAAGAACGATTGGTATAAATATAATATAAATTATTCTTCATACAATTGATACAATTTAGATTTTAATAACATTGCTTACCAGGACGGGCTCAGAAGTGTAAATTTCCGATTTTTTTCAAATTTTGCACACAAATGATGTAGTATACATTTTAAGTAAAAAGTAGTACGTGCTTTTCCGATTAGATGGCGAAACATATTTTACCAGTCGGTAAAATAAAGTAATAGCTCGTACCGCTAGATGGCGGCCAGTCGGTAAAATAAAGTAATAGCTCGTAACGCTAGATGGCGGCACATATTTTACCGGTCGGTAAAAAAAATACAGATTTCCAAATATATTTTTGTTAAATGATTAAAAATGAATGCAACGTCAATGTTTTTTTTTTTATATGATCAAAAGCAAAGTATCTTAACAGTATTATAATATTTGCTTCTTCGTCTCAAACAATATTATTATATTTACCTTTAAACATATTATTGTGTAGATTATTTGTGTTCTCCCTGCAGCTGCATTCTGTTCGCATAATAATAATTTACAGAGGATTTTTGCAAAGAATACATGAGTTTATACAAATATATAAATTTTCTTAGTCTCAGTCTTTATGGCACAATCATATGATTTGAAATTTACGATGGACACCCTTATGTTCATGATCAACCGTCGATGATAAAAAAAAGACATTTAAATATACACACTATCCAATAAATTAGCTACACGTGCTCATCCACGCTTACATATACATGACATCGGTAAATTATTCAACAGAATTGATATTCTTTTTTTTTTTTGTAATAAGAAAAAAAAAAAAGAGAATTGCGAATCAACAGATGTAATTACAAATTTCTCATATCTGTCAAATTGGATGATATATTTGTAATGAAAAAGATTGAATAGATAAATATAATAAAAATGATGAAATTGTAACAATGGAGGATAAGTCGCTAAGAGATGCTTCGATTATATACGATAAACAATTTCATGAAAATATGAAATTAGCAAAGTATTTGTTAAAGCAATTACATGACAAAAAAGGTTAATATTTGTAATAGAAAATAGTTTATTTATTGATTAGAAAAGTTATTCTATTTTAGAAATTGAATTAGCTACAAAATGGCTTATCCGTGTGAATAATATCAAGTCATCGTCCTTGGAAGTAAAAAGAGATCGTAATGCTTTCTTATGTTATTTTTTGAAAATTTTGAAAGAAGCAATTTTCAAAAATCATTGGCAATGCGAATCCACCAGCAGAATGTTCAATTCGGAAAATACTTTAGGATCATTTCATTCTGTATGCTCTACAATACAATGTGTTATACATTAATAAGAAAGTAATCAAATAATCTATCAAATATATATTTCATTTTAGAATGAAAATTCGAAATTATCTATTAATGGATTATCACAAAATAATACACAATCGTCAAATATTAAATATCATTCGAGATGGTCACAAAATCATCGTACATATGTTGCTGTTAAATCTTTACCCGGAAGAGGAGCATTAATATACATGGCTGTATCGAAAAAACCAGGATTAGAAAATTGGGACTTGTAGGCAATATTAATAAATATTGTACGCAATAATTGACAATGATATATTTCTTTTGGAATTTCAATTTGAAACACAACTATCAAGATTATATAAGTAAAATATATCTTTAGAAAATTCTCCTGCCTTTTTATGTTTTAAGGTTTATGTTAGATATGTATAAACATATACGTATATTTTCATTTATATATTATATAAGAATATACATATATATTTATATATATATATATATGAGAGACACTGTCAACGCATTATTATTATTTTTTTCTTTTTTTTTCTTTTTGTTTTAAGTTTCAATGAAGCTGTACTTATGGTATCACAACAACGTTCTTGTACAAGATGCCCCACTCCCTTCGATAATGTAAAAATCTTGTCAATTTTCAATATATTATAAAATCATCATTGTATATCATTTGTGGCACATATCGCACCGCTCGATAGAAAAGGGTAGAGTAAATGTATGTATAAATATGCATTTTCATTGTTTCATTACATATTTGTACATGCGTTTTTTTAATGGACTGCTTTTTCTTTTATACATTCATACAAAAATCGATCGAATGTAAAAAGTATGAATGGCAATGTAATATAGGTAGTTTTGCGTGTACGTTAATGTAAATACTATTATTTATAATTAGGCGACATCCAATTCAAGTGGAAATAATATTAACTTGTAATATGTATAATACTGCTGATTCATGGTCTAATTTTGATATTTCCATGAAAAAAAAGATTGTTGAAAAATAACGTATAACACACACACACACACACAAATTACATTACAGCAGCCCAATAATTAAATTGAACAGAGATAGATATTTTGATAGGGGAGAATAGAAACAAATGAAAAAAAGGAACGGATAAGAAATAAATGGAGCGATTAATCATAAAAAGGGCAGTTTTGATAAAAATATTTCATGTGTATAGCTCGGACAATTGTACAGTCGATGCTTCATTTTATGCTGCAAGAGGACACAGTTTAAGTAGTATGCATTGTACCATACAAACTGTCGCTTACATTATTACTATTCAACAATTCAAAATACTTATAATAATACACACAACCTTGAATAATCTCAACAGCTGTTGGCCTAAGCCTGAATCAATTTATCGCGTAAATAGTGAATCAAAAATTAAATTTTGGCTATTATTATTATTCTGCATATATCGCCGCCATGATGCACAGTGATATATGTCATCATGTGCTTTAACTTTATTTGAAATAAGTTAGTAATTTTATTGATCAAAGCTTCATAACGCTATGCATTGCGTATGCACTACTATACGCCTTTTTTTTCTGCTTTTTTTTCTTTTTTTTGTTTTTTTTTTTTTTGAATCTTTTGTATATAAAATATGCCAGGGCACTCATAGTCGTCAGTCACTAAAAAATTGGAATAAAGTGAATACACGCTGCTTCAATGTATTACACTTTTCCTTTTCTATTACACTTTCATACATACAATTTGTTGTTCTTTTTGTTGTTGGCATTTAATATATACCTATCTCGCACAATTCGCACAATTCGCAAAACTCGCAAAATTTTCATGATTTTTTAATATGCCTTATTATCCATTATAATATTATGTTCTATATAAAAATAATACTCAGTCAATTAGTTCAGATTAATACTCATGTAGAATGGGAAAGGGGTTTTAGCGTTTTCAATATTTCTAATGATTAATTATTATCATTAATTAAATATGAATTATTAAATGAGACATGTGTAAAACATGATTTCAAATTTTTACTACTGCAGACGAAAGAAAAACTTGCAGATGGACGGAACAGTGCTATGTGATTAGCAAACATGTATCAATCTTTGTCATAATATTGAAGTCGTTACGCGAAAACCCCTCTTCGATAAGTATACAATTGTTTTTGGAGGCTCTCGTATACACATCTCCATTATAAACATCCCTTAACCGAGACCATTCAGGCACTCTAGCAATTCATTATTTCAATATTTATCAATATATAAACCAAATTAAAAGTTTAAAATAAACGTGCATTAATACTATCTATTGACACGTTTCTAGGTAATAGTTTTCCTCTGATCATGTTGTTTCAAATATTAATAGTCAACAATGTAACATTATTTTTGGAAAAAAATACGCATGTACATATAATATTATTCGTGTAAATTTGTCATCGCGCTATAAATGGATATATATATATATATATATATATATATATATATGTATATAAGAAGGTCTAGGTGAGAAGGCACCTAAAGCACTGACCATCTGCATAACTCTATATAATGGATGACAAAAAGAAAAGAAAAAAAGGGGGAATGATCATTTGCGCAGTGCCTGATCGTACATATTAACTGTTAAAAAAAGAAGCTTGTATCTAATAAAAATGTAAGTACAATGTTAAAACAATAAATTAAGAGAATCATTGCCAAATATCTTATGCAAATATTGATGCAAAACACAATGAATGCAATAAATTAGTTTAAATAATATTAAGGGAATTTATAAAAATAGGTGTAAAAAACAAGGGGAAAGGAGATTATTAACTAAATAATCTAATAATTAAGTAAGAGACAAATCTTGTCATAAAGATTCTTTTCAATAATAATGATGATTAAAACCTTAAGAACTAAACTCAAAACTTGCAGAATACTGATATATAAAAATATCTATAAAGCCTCAGCATTATCATTTTTAAAACCAACCATTCGAATAATCTATGGTGGTCCACAACTAAGTCTTAATTAAAAGACTACTATTAATAAGATTTAATCAATTTATCGATTATATAATAGCAATATTTCATTCTTCATTCATGCTAATTATAAAAAATATTTTCTTATTTTCACTTTAGTAGAGAGCGCATTGATCAATTTTCATTTTCATTCTACACGGTCATAATGGTACAAAAAATATGATTATTACTTTTTGAACGGAGTTACTTTGAGTCAAACGTAACTGAAAAATGCTTAACAGTTTACCTGTTTAAGTTACTTTTCTATCGTATAATCCATAAATAAATTGTTTCTTGTAAAATATAATACACAATTAAAATGTTATAGTACACCATTCAACCCTATATTACTTAGTAACACTTTGAAAAAATGCTACTAAGAATCTTAGCCAATGTATATTCTAATTTTTCATCTTTATCAACGTAACTTTTCATATCAATATGAAAACCAAAAGTTGACGCATATCTTCCAAACAACATTTGCTTTATAATTTTTTTTTTTTTTCAATATATATAATGTATAAAAGTTGTCAGTATTTTTTTCACCATATTTTTCTGTACAATTCATATTGTATAATTGATCAAAATCACTTAAGAAAAATTCAATTTTCTATTGAATTTTTCCTAGGCAAATTGTTGAGACAATTGATATCTCATTTTGTTACTTATAATAATCCTTTTATAAATATATGATATTTTATTATCTAAGGATGTCTGTTCGCAATGTGTATATACATATATATATATATATATTACTGCAAAATTGGATAATGTTAAGATTTACATGATGGATGTCAACGCTTACCAAATACGTTGATGAAAGATTGAATATTTATAGATGTTTATTATTGGTAATCTTTTCTTTTAATAATTAAGTAATAACAGAGAATATGTGTGTGTGGTGGATGTCGGCAATTACCAATGTAAATAAAAAATAAGGATATTCATATATCAAGTTACTATGTTAATTTTGACATTGTACAATTTCGATCTTTCATGATAATATATATATATATTTATATGTATATACACTAAAGACATAATATATTCATTTGAAAGATATGTGACTTCTTTAACAGTTTTCAAGAAAAGTATATTAAATATGATAAAAACAAAAAAATATCATTCAAAAAGAGATTCTGTGATCAAAGATTCCAATCACTTGGAAAAGATTCTTATTAGTATTTGTATCTATTTCTCCGATACCAGCACTATTTGTGCTTTATTATTTACTATGCAACAGTACTACACAAATTGTATTCTTTGACATGTCCTTTTTTTAAGTTATTCTAAAAATTGACACAAATTATATAATATTAAGATGTAAATTTGTTGTACATGTTTATATTGTTAAGGGCATGTTTTATATATCTTTTGTATATGTATTTGATCTTTATTTATGTAGTACTGTCGTTTATCATTGTATCGGTCTTATATATTTCTATATCTATGTGTTATATAGAATATATTTGTAATACGCTTACGCGTTCATAAGGCTTTTTTGATAATTACTAAACCTAATTGCTCCACATACTATTACAGCTATATTTCTTGCTCTGTCATAAGTTTAAGAATTATTGCAGATTGAACAAAAAAAAAAGAAAGCTCGCAAAAAGAAATATAAAAGTGTATATGTGTGACTTTATGTAGTACGAGAAATAACATGTTCATTTTTGTTGTATTCTCTTACCTATATTCTATGTTACACGGACTAAATCTATTTTTGGCAAAGTTGTTTAGGTATACGATGTCAAGTATAACAATATATAAGTAGATGCATTGGCCATAATATTATGCTCTATTAAAGACAGCTTAATATCTGTCGCTAATATCTTATCTGTACAATCTTGCAAAAAGTAGATCGGCAATAATTCTTAAAAAGTAGAAAGAGCAAATTATTCAAATATTCCATCATATTATGAACATCTCTACTGTATTACAAGAAACTACTTATTTCCTTCTATTTATTAAAAATAATCAAAACATTTAAAAAAAAAAAAATGTAAAAGATGAAAAGAATAAAATGAAAGGCTATATATATATATATATAAAAGGCTATAAAAATCTCTCGATAGATCTTTATAGAAAAGCCATATTAGCAGTGGAGCAATAATAAAATTGAATCTTAATTTTCGACATATAGACAAATACTATTCGTATATTATTTCGCAAAGATTTAGAACATTTTCAATCAATGTTGAGAAAAAGAGAGCATATCAACAGGTTATTGTTATTGTAAGACAATAACATCCATATATCGCATCCATAGGATGTTCTTCTTATTGCTTTTAGAATCTTATCTTATATGGTCGTGTACTATTTTCTTTGTTAAGTACAAATTGATTCAACTGTGTACTGTGGCAGTTGAGAAGCGTTTTGACATAGGAAGTAAAAATGAGGAAGTAAACTATTAATAGCATTTACGTCTGTAGTATCGTGTAGTATCATAATCTAAATTTACATACAAATTTTATATTTCATATATGTTGAATTTTTTGTGTGTTTAAAATTACAAAAAATATAAGAGAATAAAAAATATAAATTTCTATGTAAATTAATAACTTGTAATATTTAACACGATACTAAAGTGTAATTGAATGAATTTTCAATATTCGAATGAATGTCAGAATATTTCAAAAAGCTTCTTTCGTGTACTATTAGATTATCCTTTTTATCCTTTTTAAATACGTACGTACTTATACTAAAGCATATTAAAAAATACAATTTTATACATTAGAAAAATTTAACAAGACATTTCATAAAAAGCTTATTGTATATAAAATAACGAGAGTATTATGATTATTATGTCATTTGTGACCAAAAGCCCGTGGAACAAAACGTCAAGTTGTTTTTTTTTTTTATTTCATTCATTAGTTTCTTCATAATATATTCATTTGAAACTATTCTATCTATCCATCCTTGCTTTTAAAACAGACAACGATTAGCTTCATGTACGCAAATGTACATATATATATAGATGTATATCGAAAGAACAATTAATGCACATATGATGTACACTAATCACTCATCCATCGCTCTCCAGTCGAAAGCATAGAAAATTTTGTATAAAAATATTCTTATTCACATGCACAAATATATATACATATATATGTATATACATTTTGAGTAATCATGTAATTAATACTGTGTGCTTAATATCATAATACCTTTCACATGTTCTATACCACGGGCCTGATGATAGCTGAAAAAAATACTTCAACTGTATATCATCGCAAATTTTGAAGACATAAAAAGTGAAGAGATGATGAGATTAAAGAGATAACGTAATTATTAAATACGTTAACCATTAATAAAGTGTAAAATTTGATTGAATTTCACGCTTTGTACATCACATTCAATCACACATTTTACACTTCTATACTATTGGATAGTAGATAAGAATCATACTGTTAAGAAATTCTTTTTGTATGTATACCTCTAGGTACGATGTCTTGAATGAAGTTTCTCATTGTGTCGTCTTCTCATCTTCAGTTAACGATGTCGCAACCAAATTTAATGGTACATCTGAAATATTTTCTTCATCTCCTTCCTGTGCTTCACTAGCAGCCGCAGCTGCCGCCTCCGCCGCCGCCTTTATCGCAAGACGTTGTTGTTCTTGTTCTCGAGCTTTAATTTCATCAGACTATAAGGATGAAAATAAAATAATGATGAATTTTCATAACATAAGAAAAATAAATAAGCTCCCCCCCTCCCCTCCCCTCCCCTACTACATGTAAACTTACACGTATTACAAAATTCGGCAGCAATGGAAAATTAAGTGTGCGAGAGAATGGGTTATGGCTACCAGATAAAGGTGGTAGTCCTCCCATTAAAAGATGAGGCTGAATTGTTTGACGCAAAGCTGCCACCATAACACTTTCAGAATCAGGTTGGTCAGATTGTGGTGGTGGTCCTGCTGTAATTGCTTTCCCTACAATATTATTATCTACATTATAAATAGATAATAAATTCAATCGATTAAAGTAAATAGTAATAAAAAAGATGAAGCCATGTAATAAATTCTGATTGATTACTTCTATGTCGCGTTGGTTTTTCCCCTTTAGGTCGGCGTCTGCGTGTGTGTATCGTGTCTCTTCGCATAGTGACTGGACGATTAATTCCATGAAGTTTATAATAAAGTCCGCACGCATTACAAACCATTTCACCGTTCATACTTCTTCGCCAGATCGTTGTAGTCATAGTACCACAATTAGTACAAACCATATCAACTTTTTTAGGAATAGTACTACTTTGTTTCTCAAATTTCGGTTTTGGATTATCCAGCTAAACAAAAAAAAAAAATTATAACAAAGTAAACTAATAAATATGTAATTACTTTCATTAGTATAAATAATGAAATGATAAGAAAATACTACTACTCTTTTTTCTTACATCAGTTATTTTCATTTTATATGACCATGCAGTAAAATCTTGTGCTTGCTCTTCGCTAGACTCATTTTGATAATTATCAGTGTCTGGGCTTGTTGGGGCCTTACTCGGATAACTTTGTTTTCTTCGACCTTTAGTTTCTTTTCGTCCAGTACTAGCTGGACTGGATGGATTACTGTCCATACAAATAACCTACACAAAAATACAATACTTATATTTTTTCCTATGTCCAAAATGATGAAATTGTTGTATGTGTATTGTAACGCGCAGAGTATTTTATTAGTATTTATTTAATTAAATAAGATATAATTAGAAATGTAGTTGAAAAATTGCAAACTTTCATTTCATTTTCAAGAATTTCGAGGAAAAAAGAAAAAAGGAAAAAAAAAACCACAAAAAGAAACAACCGTAAATAAGAAGAATTCTTGACCTGTTGACGACTACTTGCAAAGGATATTCGTATAAATGCGCGCGTTAGTCAAAGTGTTACAAAGAAATGTTTTTACTAAAAATTCAGGTAAATTTAATGAATAGGATTACTACCCAAGGGTTCGACCATTCACTCCTCCAACATTCCATTTCATTTTTCAAATCTATGACAAAGAATTTTCCTTTTATCTATTATCTTGCAGCGTCTTCTTATTGGGTTTTTTTTTTACCTGCTAACAGGTAAACCCTGTTATGGAATGAATGGACCCTAAGAAAGGTCTCTAATACACAAAGACTTTATATCTACTAGTTTCTAAATCTATACACTTTTATTATTAGGCAAACTAAGAGAATTTTTCAAACATACAATTTTCATAGGAAAGAATGTGTAAAAATATACATTCCGAGAAGAGGAAGAGTTATTTGAAATATTTCAAATATTTTTACACATTTTTCCGTATTTTTGATACGAAAGTGTTTATTATAAAAACTATGGAAATAAATATTATTAAAAAGTAATAATAATAATAATAATATATGCAATTATACGTACTTTATTCTCTATGCTTGGTGTAATAGTACAAATCGTCCCAGATACAGAAGAATCAGTTTTTGTAACTAAAGATTGTTCAGTTTTGATTTCTGGACCGTTATTATAAATTTTTATTTGTGATTTAATATCGACAGTAGTAATACCAATTTGGCTATTTTTGAATATAGATCGAAGTAGATTAGTTGCTTCTCCGGATAAACCATTGTTTACATTTATTTTCTCTTCTGTTACTTTCAAATTTTTATTTCTGTATTATAAAGAAAAAAAAAAAGAAAAAAAAAAAGAAAAAAAAAGAAAGAAACAAGAAGAAAATCATAATAGAATATAATAGATAGAAAGGTTTGGTTTATATACGATTTGATAAATTTGTTTTCATTGATTACTTACTCTGCAAGAGCTTGCCACAATTTAGTAGTTTCTTGATCGATATGCGTATCCGAACAATTGCTTTCTGGCGTATCCATTCTATTAACTGAACTATCATTAGTTGTATCTGCTTTACAATTTTCACTATTATCGCTCGCTTTAATTCCTTTCATGGTCATATCATAGCCATTTTCTTCACCTTCGTTATCTTGTTCATCTCGATCCTCTATTTGGAGTCTATCTGGATCTGAACTGTTGGAACACGTATCATCTTCTGGTTCACATTTATTATTATCATTTCCTACCACTTCATTTGTACGCAATTCTAATCTGTGTGTTTGTATTTGAGGTATTGTGTTTTGATTAATGCTGGCTGGAGAATTAGCTTCTTCTATAATCGCTCTATTTACTTCCAAATAACGTAAGCGATTCTCTCGTACTATTTTGGCAGTGGAGAAAGAATTTTCCTACAAAAATGGCATTTTTCATTATAATGATAAATCCAGAAAATAGAAAAAAACAATTCAAAACTAGATAGCAAGTCTAACAAGTCTCAACTAGATTTGCAAATCTTCATAAATTGTGAATAATAATGAATATAAAGCAAATATAATGAATATAACCATAGTCTAATAACCATAAATAACCATATACCTGACCATTACTGATTGATAATCCGGAGGAGTCATTCAGGTACTGTTTGAATATGCTATCACACTTTTTTGCACACTGACGAAACTCGTATGCTGATTTTAACTTGTCCGCACAGTAGATACATAACTTAGATGGTAGAGAATCATTACTTTTTACCTACAAAAGTTATATAATCAAAATAGATATTTATATAGATAAATAATAAATTATACCAAATTTATCAAATAAATATAATGACAGTTTCAAGATATCAAGAACAACAAGTTACGTACATCAAAATATGAACAAAATGAATGAACAATTAATAAGATAAAAATGTAAATGTATGCATGTAAGAATGAAAAAAAGTTAAGTTAAAAAAAAAAAAATCTTCAAGATGTTGATTTGGCAAGAGTTTATATATCTATATTCTAAACAGTCATTACCTCCTTTACAATATGTATTATTCATGATATTATTTTAAACAGTCATAATCTCCGTGTTAAAGGATAAAACCTATAAAAGTTTAACGTCATAACATTTTGTGGAATCCGCGTGTGAAACCTGATAACAGGTCGTCCATATAAGGAGCTCCCCACTCTGAGAAGACTGCATAAGAGTGGAACGAAGCTTATCAGTGCCATTTTAAATGCTCCCATGAATCGTTACCTTATCTCGCGGTCACATCTCTTGCCAAACTTTCTCTCGTGGCACACACTCGCGCATAGCGTGTGGACGAGGATAGAGAGAGAGAGAGAGAGAGAGAGAGAGAGAGGAGAGGGACCGCACACAAGTGAATACCAAGCAAACGAATAAAAGGAAAGGAAAAGAAAGAGAGAGAGAGAGGGGGGGGGGAGAGAGCAAAAAAGAGAGTAACAGAACACTCACATATACATCTATATATATAAATAAATAAATATAAAAATAATATATATACATATCACGACGACGACGACGACGACGACGCGACGACACATAAAAACATATATAAAAGAAGAAGAAGAAGAAAAGTAAAGAGAGGAAGAAGGGTGATGGCGGATTTTAGGGACAAAGGGGGAAAGGAGATAGAGAAAGAAAGGGGAAGGGAAGAGGAGGAAAAGAAGAGAGGAAAGGAAAGAGGAGAATAGAAAAAGAGAGAATGAGAAGCGGATAAAACATTATACAAGTGTGTGAGGTCCACAGATGGTCGTGTTTAATTAATCACGGTATCAACAAAAGAATCGGATAGTAAGATTTGCCATAACTTACCTCAACATCGAGGCATGTTAATATCTTTTTGGCGAAATTTTGCTGTAAGCCTTCCCCCTCAAATATGGATGTTTTGACATCATGCGGGGATAAACAAAGGCGACACAGTTCGTAGATCTTGGGCGATATATTAATCATAATTGCGAACTCCGACTACACTGCACGCTACGTAAAAGACGAATCATCAAGGGTTAGACGCTTTCCTCGACTGACGACGAAGTATCTTTCTCCACTGCCACTACGCGTTTATCACGATAGGGAAGGACACAGATTCACTTATCACAGCCACCTACCGCTCCTGGTCATTGTCAGCAGCGGCATTACTATACCCATACACAGGGCATTACTATAACTGCATATAGATAGCCTACTACCAGATGCTAAAGGATATCATTTAGAATGCAACCTATATCTGCACTAAATTCATAGATATACAATAATGCCAAATTCAAGGAACAAAAAACCCCATATCGAATATTAGTCGAATATCGAACGATTGTTCAATATTCGTTCGTTCTTAGATTATAATTATTTCTACAATTATATCTTTACTAAAAATAACATCAATTTTACTTTAGTTATTAACTAGTTTTCATTCATTTATTTAACAAAAATAGTTACTTTTTGTTATAACCAAGCTACCGGTAGTCCCTTATTAATATTGTCCAATCACACGCTAGATCCGTACGCTAGATAATGGAAACTCTTCAATATCGATAAGTTCAATATCAGCGCTAAATGTGATAGGAAATCGAACTTTAAATCAATATGGCTACGTAATCGATAAATTTAAATGTTTCTAATGTCGCGCGATTCGATTAAAATCTAATAAAATAAGAAAATTAACAATTATATTATAACACAATATAATTTTTTTTAGCATACTTTTTAATATTTAAACTATTTATATATATATATATATATATATATATTATAGTAGTCATTAAAATCATTTTTCTTATTAAACTGAAACAACAAAAAACATATGAAAATATATGTTTCAGAATTAATGTGAATTTTGTTAATATAATTATTTGTATATATTTATAGCAGAATAATATTGTTTACAAAAGAATGTATATGTATTATGATGTAGATTTTGTTCATACTTTTATTTTCAAAAGAATATTTGTTAACATCTACTGTAAAACTGACCTTCAAAGTATGCTCAGAATAGGCTAGATTATGTGAAATTGTAATGCCATATAATATGATTCAGAATTTGTAGATAATAATCACACAACTAGGTGTAGAAAAGATTGATGAACTAAGAGTTATTTTAAGCATAATAATACATTTAGTGAATATAGTCTGATGCCTCATGTGCGACGCCATTTTACGCACTTCATAGCCATCTATATACAGTTATTCAATTCAACCAACTTCGATCTACCATCTTTAATACTGTTTGGTGTGCAGCGTGACCGGTTCTATTACTCTTTCAAAAGTTTATGTTCATATTTATGAATTTTGTGCCTTTATATTTTACTACAACATAAGCTTTATCATGAGTACAGATAGCATCGAAAAGTTGTATAAAAACTTTGGCATTTTAGCGGATGCCAAAGATAAGTTAGCTGAAGTAAGTATTTATTTGGTTATGATTAGTACTAATGTTTGTATGAGAATAAACTAATAAGCTTTTAACGATCATGGTACCAACCAAACAATTTTCTACACTTTCATTATATCTTATATATTTTGCAATATTTTCATCTTTTATAATGTTTAGTTCCTCTAGATTTGATTCCTTAAGCACAGAAGATTCATTCTGTATGTTTGTTCTCTTTTTCTAACAACTAATGTTTATGTTCAAAGTCCCTTATCGTTGTAACATCGTTGTAACATCGTTGTAACGCATTCTTCCACGCAACATGCATTTATATTATATTATTTTATATGTAGTACTTGTATATTGTACTGCTATTTCTTTTTTACAGCATGAAAAAGAATACTTAGAAATTTTAACCGCTGTAAAAGGATCGTCTAAAGAAAAGCGCTTGGCATCTCAATTTATTGCTAGGTTTTTCAAAAATTTTCCCAAGTTAGCCGATCAAGCGATAGATGCCCATTTAGACTTGTGCGAGGATGAAGATATGGCGGTAAGTCATTTGTAAGACTTTTTCATAAATGCAAACATTTGATAATTTGATGATTTCAATGTAATTATAAATATGATTGTAATACAGATTAGGAAGCAAGCTATCAAAGATTTGCCTACTTTGTGCAAGGATAATAAAGAGTACACTGCAAAAATAGCTGACATTTTAGCACAATTGTTACAAGCTCAAGATCCATCTGAATTAGCAGTTGTACATAATAGTGTTATGTCACTCTTGAAAAGTGATCCAAAAGGTGATTTTTTGAATTTGAATAATAATATTTTATCAATGTTTTATCATTTATTATGTATTCAATAATTTATCTTTCATGAAGGTACAATAAGTGGATTCTTTAGTCAAATTCTCAATGGAGATGACGGAACAAGGGAAAGGTGTATTAAATTTTTAGCGACAAAGTTGAGAGCAATAGGTCATGATATTATTACTAAAGAACCAGAAGATTTGTTAATTTCAGAGTGCAAAAAAGTCCTACAAGTAGGTTTTTTTTTTATATATATATATATATTTTCTACCATTTTATAATATATATATATATTTTTATTTTATATTATCGTTTTAATGACGATATCTTTTTAGGATGTAACAGCTGATGAATTTCATAGTATCATGGAAGTTCTTAGCTGGACTAGATTAGGTTCTACTATTTCTGGTCAACAAGAATTAATTGATATTACGGTAGAACAAGCTGAACTTTCTGTGCCATTTAAACACACAAATGTTGAGCAATGGAGCCGACTGATACAATGTATCAAACATGCTCTTCCATTCTTTAGTGTAAGATTTCATATTACATAGGAATACGAGTAATTTAAGTATTTCAAAATGGAATTGTAAATTTATATATGTCTGATTTTAAATTTAATAAGTATTTCATTTTTTCTTATGTTTTTATTTTTGTAGTCTCAAATTGATTCATCAAGATTTGTTTCATATATCTGTATTCAAGTTTTACCCCATTTATCATTAATTAATACACCCGATGGAAGGGATAGTCAGTTGGAATTGTTAAAACTTCTTGCAGAATTAACTGTATTTTGCGGAACAATCGAAAATCCAGAAGAAAAAGTACAACAATTATATAACACACTAATTGTATGTAAAATCCGTTTTTTTTTTTTTTTAATGCATTGATTCTTAGAAAAATTATGAATTTTACTTTCTAATTTCTTGTTTTTTTTTTCTTCTTTTTTTTTTCTCTCTCATTAGACATACATGCCTCTTCCACCAGCCACAGAGATAACGGATGTCCCAAAGTTACAATTCAGTCATGTGGAATGTTTAATGTATGCTTTTCACAAATTATGTAAACAAACACCTGAATTTTTGGTAAAAGATCCAGAACAACTTAAAGAATTTAGACTTAGGCTGCAATATTTTGCTCGGGGGATTCAAGGATATATTAAAAAATTACGCGAAGCAATTAGTGGCAAGTCTGAAGAAGAATTAAATACAAAAGAAAATCAATTGAAAGTAGTAGCACTGAAGACAACAAACAACATCAATACTTTAATTAAAGATCTATTTCATTCACCACCCAGTTTTAAGAGTGTGATACATCTTTCATGGAAAACAACAATGAACGATAAGAAGGTAATTATATTACAAACAAAAATTTAATCAAAATCTATAGTTCATGTTGTTTATAAATATATATTTATATGTTGAAATTGTTCTTTTTATCAGAGCGAAAAAAATTCTTCAAGTCAGAAGAGACATACTCCTATAACATTTGGAAATGATAGCAGTTCCAGTAAACGAAATAAAGAGGATAAAAGCAATAAAAGGGAAATATATACACCACCAAGTGGAAAATACAGTTCAAATATATCCTCCAATTATGGTATGTACTTTGATGAACTTAATAATAAACCCATAAATATGTCTATAACACATGATTATATGATATATTACTAGTAGTATTTAAATTATTTTTTTTCTTTTTTTTTGTTTTTTTTTTTTTTTTTTTTTTTATTTATTTAGGAAGCCGTGGTAGATTTAGAGGTAATAGGTCTGGAGGACGAGGAGGCTACAGGTCAAGAGGGCGTGGTACCTGGAGAAAAAGTTTTTATTAAATATCAGATATTATGAACTTAAAATAAGGGAGACATTTAAAATCTTAGAGAGTGGTACATTCAGACCTTAAAAATATATGTGTACAGAAAAGTATGTAGAAGTGTAATATCAACATCATTATGGTGTCAACAAATGTGACGGAACAAGTAAGACATTCTTCGTTCCTCAAATGTGTGAAGAGTGGTTATGTGAACGTCTTTATTTCAACATAATCTTATGGAAACAAACAAAGCAAAAAAATACAAATGATTTGTTTTCAAAATGCAGAACAAAATATGAATAATATTGCAATAATTATTAACAAAAATAGAAACATAACTTCATTCGATATCAAATATGATAGCCATAATAATTATTCATTTATGATTACTCTTGCTAACATCAAACAAAGTAGAAGTAAATACTTCGATTTGATAACGATCTGTATGTAAATGGGTATATAACGGAAGCTAACTTAAATCTGCACAGTGTATGTACACATAATGTGTGGCTATAAGAAAATTAGAGAAACTACTACATGTTCTGTGTAACACAAAAATGAAAAAACAAAAAAAAAAAAAAAGAAAAAAAAAAACATGAATATGAAGAGTTTAACTAAGAAGAAAGATATTTGTTTCTTATAGAGAGAACAACAAAAAATGTCAAGATACATTTTTCTATTGAAAATTCAAATAACATAATTATTATGCATGTGCATAATGACTAAAAAGCACAAGAAGAAATTAAGAAGTTCTATCAAATTGTAATATTCTCATCGAATCAAGAAAGTCATAGAATATTCGTGCAGTGTCAGCAGATATATTAGAAGAAAGAGAATATTACTCTTTCTGAAAAATATGTCATATCAAATTATTAGCAATCGTAACATCTCTGTCTTGTCTTAAGCAACTTTTGTATCTTGTGTCCTACCCTGTGAATTTATTTGTTGGCAGGAATTAAGATGCAGCTCATGTTCAGGAAAACAGCTGTTATTAAATGAAAGACAAACAAAATAAATAACAAAAAAATAAAAAAAAAAATAAAGAAAAACAACAAAAGACGTGATCAAATAAACAAAAGACGTGATTATTATTCTAATTCTATCTATATTAAGCTTCTCCAAACATATTAATAGTCTTATAATTGTAGTTTTTCTGTATTATTTCTTGAACATTTTTTTACTATTATTTGAACACTTTAGTTTGCTTTATATGTTGGAAAGTATACAGTTCCGAAAGTTTCTTTGATCATGTTCTTACTAAACTGATTTGAAATATTTTTTATTTTACAGAAGCTGGTACAAGAGTGGAAGCTAAAGAAGAAAAGAACTTTATGCAGAAATAACTATTTTACTTTACAGATTTCTTATGTGGACACGGTGAAGTTTCCAGAGATTTTTAATATTATAGATATGTTTTTCATTACAGGTGTTCTAAAGTTTTGTATGTATTGTATTGTACTTTGATTATAGCTGCTCATAAGGTGAGTTTTAGGTATTCCTCCTTCATTGTCCTTAATTGAATTCATTAATATTCATTTTTTGTAATTCTGCAATATAATCTTATTGATATAATAAATGATGTTATACTCTATACATGTATGTTGTTCTTTATATCCTTATATATATATTTATGTATATATATATATATAAGATTGAAGAGTATAAAAAAAAAGAATGTAAAGAGAATATAATAAACATTTATAAAAGGAAATATTTAATAGCTATGTATAAAGTAGCATTTTATATGAATAATATAATACAATTATTTTAAAAAATAACAACACTACATTTATATCCTAGAATAAATTATTTGACGCTATCATATCATCTATCGTCTTACACATAATACGATCACTTTGACTACATGTATCCATATTTTGTTGCTCAGAACCTAAGGTATCGATAGATTCCATTGCATCAATATTAATTGCAAGCTTGGAATCTAATTCTGAAGTATCCGGAAGCATTTGTAAGGCATGCTGTAGTATCTGTTGAACCTGAAATAAAATTGCTTGAAATAATTCAAGTTCAGAATATTATTTTACCATACATGTAATTTCTTTCCATTTGAATAATTATCTGTTACTTTTTCAAGATGTTTTTGAAATCTTAATGTTGTTTCTAATCGCTGTCTACGCTGTAATTCCATCATAACTCTTAAAGTTTCTCTTGCTTGATGTGGTCTGAACTCGTTTAAAAGATGATGAATATGTATGAATAGTAAACTTAAATCTTCTACCTAAAAAGTATATGAAATTATACAAAAATAAGAAAAAGATCAATCAAATATCAATGTAAATATAGAATTATAAATTTTTATAAATGCCATACTTTTTCGGCACGTCTTGGACTGTCAGGACTTTCCACTAATAAATCAATCAAATCTAAAAAGTTAACCAACAAAGAATGGTTAAGTTTTTTCAATTCACGTCGCCGATCGAAGTGTTGAGGATATAATCTTTTGATTCCTTGAGCTTCTAAGGGTCTGATGATACTATCATCGGCATTAAATACATTGCCAAACATGGAATAACTATCATGAACTGGAGGTGGAGGTTTAGGTGCCCTTCCACGATGAATATTTTCATCTGTATATAAATTGATGTATTGTAAAGGTGGTAAAGGCAATGAACTAACTTGCATTGCCTCTGGTGCCGTCATTTTACTTAAAATTATATCAACACAGTTCTTCCCAAAGAATATTATTTTTATAATGTAGTGTATTTATCTGCAATAATGTAACAATGAGAGAGAGAGAGAGAGAGAGGTTAGAATAAGATATAACTTTCATTTAATCTTATATACTTTATATTAGAAACATACCTGTTTGTTTTAGTCAAACAAAAAAACAAAAATGATAATTCGACAAATTGCATATACGTATATGTAATTTAATTAAACAATCATTATATTTTTAAATAAATTATTTTTGTTAAAAACAGATTAAAACACGGCGAGATCAGCATCATCACTTGAATGTATCGGCAGTTTCGAGTTTACAAAAAAGATCAACAGATATCCCTCTTGTTGAAATTATTATTTTATATTAATGTATAAAAACATTGAAAATATTATAGCAAAATTAAATAATATTAATATTCAAGAAATATTCGATAATGTATATTTATTAATGTTTCGATTTAATTAAGTTAATCAAAAGTAGTAATTTAAATTGAATATTGACTATGGTAGTATGCTATTTCCTCCAATCTCGCGAACGTTCCTCGATGTCGGATGCAGTGATGCCAGGACGTGAGATTTTCTCCCACGTGGGAGCCTTCATGCGCATGCGTTGCATAGATGCACCGCGACGGCGGTGTTTTCATGGACGTATCTATGTGCAACAGTGGGTACGCGTAAGGGTTCCTTCCCAGTCATTTCCTGCGTTTTTCGTTAAAGTAAAAGTAACACGCGTAATATTATATAATATATTGAATATTTAGTGTAAATATGTTATTTCGTTTAAAAATATTCTCTTCCTGTAATTTCTACCGTATTTCAATTGTCACGGGGATCTAACGATACCCCGTATTTGAGTGAAGTATATACGTTACTGAGGATTAGATAGTGCGCATGCGTGGAAAAATCTCACGTCCTGGCATCACTGGTCGGGTGGTCTCGGATTGACAGATTATAACAGTGTGCATGCGTTCGTCCACGTGAACTCTTTATTGCGTCTGGAGTATATTTGTGTGTGTTCATACCGGTCATGTTTTGACAGCTGCCAAAATAGGGTTAAATAGATGCAATAAAAAACATCATTAGTAGATAAGTATGTACTACTATTTGTTAATGTCTCAATTATTATTTATAAAAATAGTTCTCTATTATTATGATTTGAATAGTTAAACCTAATGTCAGTTATAATAGCGTTGCAATGATGCAAAATTGGCCACTAGCATTTTTCTTTGTGTACAATACAAGAACCATGTAGATTTATCGTATTAAAAATCTGCAATATTTCGCATATAAATAAATAATAATAAGCTTAATAATATAAAAATATCGAAATCTTATCGAATTATAATTTTGATATTTCTGAAGAAACATGGTTAGTTTATAAAAATGCATCGCTTTGAATTTGGCCGAATGTCATTTCAATTCAAGCAATGTATTTATATGTGTGTATAGATACATATATATATTATATATATGCATATATATATATATATATATATGTATATATACATATATATTTAGTGTATTTAAAATTCCTATCATGTATGGTTCGACTGCTAAGAAGTATAAGTGATATATGTATATATATATATATATATATATATATAAAGATATAAGTGAAATATATAAAGAAGGTTATTGAAAAAGTATAACTTTGAAATATTAGTTTATTCGTTTATAATATAGATATAGAACACGGTAACATATATAGTTGGAAAAACTAAATAATCATAGTCTTATATTTTTAGGATTAGGAGAGCCGCCGTAAACATCTGTATTTTTCAACACATAACTTGTCAGACAAGATCTAATTGCAGAAGAATCGAACTACAAAAATCTTGCCATGATTTCATTTTTATTTTATTAAAGATATTATTGCTATCTTAACGATGCAGACTGTAAGGTCCTCTTATAAACTACATTTCACTAAGTGTATGAAAACAGTTCTTTTCTCTTTACATACTTCCTTGTTAATGAAGAAATTAATATAATTAATATGACTTAATATTAATGTCATTAATTGAAGTTAACATTTGTTCTTTATAAGGTCTGTCAAGAATGGCAGGGAAAGATGCAAAGGTGGAGTCAAAATCAGCAGACGTGGTAAGGCAAGGATTTATGGTTAAACGTTCTCAAAACAAGAAACGTTTCACTCCTGTTAACTACAAACAACGTTGGTTTGTACTAACACGTCGTCATCTAGTTTATTACGATAGCGATAGTGAGGTAAGTAGAAAATAATCTGTTTAAATAATATGTAAAAAAACGCGCGCGCGTATCAATTTATAAATAAAAAAAAAATGTATTTTATTTGGATGAAAATGAAACATTGCAATAGTTAGTAAAGAAATTATTATTAATTAAAGAATTTCAGGAAATATTTATGATAATATTTAGAAATATTAAAGAAGTGAACTATTTGTTGTTGTTACAGCGGCGCAAAGAACGAGGTCGTATAGCGATTGAAACAGTTCATGTGGTAGAAACAGCAAATCTTGGTAATAATTCTGGATGTGGGAGTGGGAATGCAAAAATAGATACAACTGGTAATGACTCAGGTAGTAGCGGAGGTAATGTACCACCTGGACTACCATTCCAGATAGGTTATCGAGAAGCTGGACAAGAATATATTCTTTATCTTCTCGCTGCACGGGAACAAGATAGATCTGAATGGATACGTGCTATTCGTGCTGGTAAATATCATCTACTATGTATTTATCATATTATTAGGTACATATATTGTATTATATTATACTATGAGTGTTTAAAAAGCTACAAAATTACTAAGAACAATCTAATTCAATCAAATATGTTTCATTTGATCTGCTTCAGTATGCTGTGAAAATCCAAGTTTAAGCGATCGTTATCACGTGGGCTTGTGGAGCGGTAAACGTTGGTCTTGTTGCCGTTTGTTAACACGATCTGCGGAAGGTTGCGATACATGCAGTTCTTGGTCTTTGAATCTCGTGACAAACGCTCCAGCGTGTCCGCTACGAACAGTAACTTCTACTACAGGAAACGTCACTGCTTCGATTGTCATTCCACCAGCGGATTCAACTATTCAAACGACTAACGCTGAAACGAACAACAATCCAATCATTCAATCTCAAGCGTGTTCTACCTTTGGTATGTAAAGATTTTCTTTTATTTATTTTTTTTTACTAATGTCTAGTCAAATTGGTTGTTTTAAACGAGACAGTTATCTCTTATCTATTTAGTTTAAGAAGAAATACCATTTATCTGCTCTTTTTCTAATGTAAACATGCAATTTATTGCAATCTGTAGCATGGGGAGTTTATTTTGATATATTTTTGTATAATTCATTTCTTTCATAAGTAGAGTGCAAGTAATCAAATTTATTCTACACATCTATTCAATCTCTTAGAGATAAAAGGTGCAAGTCTCGTTTATCAAATGTAATTGTATTATCTTGGAAGATTTTTATTAACTATTCAAGTCAGTATCTTTTTGTTTTTTACATTTACATTATTTTCTTTTTATCAAAGACTTTTTAAATGTTCAGTCAACTTGTCACGGAATAAATACAATATATATATATATATATATGTATATATACGTTATAAGAGTGCAGCCATAGAAAAAAACGAAAGAAAACATATATTCAATAAAATGAAAAGAATCGAATAATAAGGATAGATATTGAAAAGATAAATGAGCTTATCGAATAAGCGAAGATCATCTATCGCGTTATTGTAATAATTCTTGTCGCGATTCGCAAAAGGTTCGGCAAAGGTGGTGGCTCCTATAAAGGTGAAAGTATGGCAGAAAAGGTGGGGACCGTCGACCATTTGTGTTATATGTACATGTACTTTCGAATCATTCGCGAGTATTAGCTGAGAGTATGCGATCGGAGGGAGCGTGTTTTTTCATATTTATCGGTATATTTCGGGCTATATATTTATTATATTTATTTATAATATATATTGAAAATGTTTCTTCATGTTGAAATATTAGTCTAGTGAAGTTGAGTACGTATTAAGTAACGGTGATCATAATAACGGGGGGTATGATGGTGATAAGTGTTCTAAAACATGTCGCGAACGCTGCCACCAACGCTGTTCACTCGGCTGCCGTTAATGCCATTGGACATAGCCTCACCAATGCGGGTACGTCCGAATTTCTATAAGCAAAGATTAGCCATTTTAACATTTGACGCTGATTTTATTCTTTAATAATCAATCATCACTCGGATGCTCAATAAGGTCAGCGCTTAATAAAATCGATTGACGATTAGTGCCAGAGCAGTGTGCGAGAGAAATCCCATTGAGAAATATATGTAATATACACCATAAGATGTTGTGTGTGCGTGTGCGTGCGTGTGTGTGTCTGTATATGTTCCCCCCGTCCGTCCGTCCGTCGGTCCGTCCGTCCGCGTGTGCACATGCATAAACACATAATACACACACATACACACATTTAAGCACTGTGATCAAACTTTCGCTTTTACGCTTTCTATTTGATCTTAAAGCTAGAAATCTAAAATAGAAAAGTATATGTCATCATTGTGATCGAAAATCTAGATGCATGTTCCGCAACAATATTTATCTCTATTTTTCTTTAATTACTTTCTACGTGTATTTACTTTACATTTAGACCGATCAAAAATATATTCTTTATACTCGTTTCACGATTAAAACTGTAATAACAATTTTCAACAAGATTTTGTTATTATATTTTGTAAATATATACTTGTGATTCGTTTTGTGCATCCGTTGCACCCACTGCACACAATGTTGGAATATTATCTATAGTAAGGTTTTTGTTTGTTTGTTTTTTTTTCTTTTGTTATTGTCAAATGTATATTGTATATATTTATCCTCATATTATATTTGTAAATATAAAGTATTATATATATTTGAAAGTAGTGATGATTTGTAGTCGTATTTGTAGTCGTATTTGTAGTCGAAGATGTTTCCTAGGAGGGCGTAGCAATAGGAAACGTAGGAGGAATAGGAGGACGAGTGCATCGAACGCGATCGGTAGCTGGCGCCGCCCTCATAATTAGTGCAAAAGACTGGAACGTTGACAATTTTGAAGACGATTATAAACGCTCGATTATGTTCGGTTACGTTATTAAACGAACCACGTGCTATTTATATTTTATTTCCCTTATTTCTCTTATTTCATTGCATTATAAAAACATATCGCGTTATTTTATTTATTATTTTTCCGATTAAACTATATTTGACATTACACATTTCACATGATATCTATATACGAGTACATAGAAATTTAATAATAATCTCAATATTATGAGGATTTTTTATTCATTTTTCTATTAATTTTTCTATTAATTTTTCTATTAATTTTTTGTTTTATGGGATACCGTTATATTTCCATGTCCTTTTTATCACATCATTCACTCAAAGTGTTTGCCATTGATTGGAATTCTTCTAGTTCAATGAATTACATACGTTAGATTTATCAGGTAAATGGAATAATCTTTAATATTTCTTTAAGTAGTTTTGTTTTTTATACATTAGATTTAGGACAATACTGTTGCTCTTTAGCCTTTTAGTGTACTGTAGTGATATTAGAAGAGAGTATTTGGTATAATATTTCTGTAGATTTTTATCATATCCTTTTTTTTCAAATCTAAAAAGAGCCTTTATAACGTTAACTAGATAACTTTAGCGTGCAATATTTAATTAAAGCACAGTAGATGATAACAATAAACAACAACAACGACAACAACAACAACAACAACAACTAATATTTCATAGACACTCCAAACTACTATTATTAAATATATATTTTCCGCGTATATATTATTATGTTAGTATCAATAATTGAGTACAGATAATTGCATGTATTTTGATATTCTCATGCATGCTGCAAACTTAGATCAAGAAAATTGCAAAAAAACATGAAATTCGGATATGAACAAAGGAACACATATACACTCCAAAGAACAAATGATGAATATTAAGATGCCAACTTCAACAGAAACGTTCCATTCGGCAGGATAAATAGCGCATAATGATCAAAGAATTGGTACACTGGTATGTATAATTCTATAAATGTCATTATTTCATCATTTTTGGATTATTTTGTGTTAGCAAGAATAATTCAAAGCCTACCGAGATTTTGATCAAATGAACTTTTTTTTTGTTTTTTTCAAACAGACAAAATATGTCCAATTTGAAGATATTAAGTTATTTATAACTGATTAACTATATTAAATAGGTTTTCTTACAAGGTATCCTATACTTTGTTGTTGTAGGGCTTCAATCATTTTCATGATGGTAATATTGTATATTTGATCAGTGGTCATCATGTATCGATTATGCTTTTACTTTACTGATGATTATCATCTAAATATATGGATAATTTCATTTGATTTCCTTCCACCAATAATGATTATTTTTCTTTCCAAGTACACGTATATTAATTATAAATTATTATTCTTGTTACAGGTACTCCTTCAACTCCAATAATGCCGGGTGGAACGCCTGGTACTCCATCTTCTAAAAATAAAGTACATTATTTTATTCTCTTTATTTTTATTCTCTTTGCATAATATTTGCAAAAGAAATAATAAAATAACACACACATGTGTCGTGTCTTTTAGGACAAAGTAGTTACTAGAGCAAAGGTTGTGGTGGCTTTGTATCCTTTTCGTGCAATAGAAGCTGGTGATCTTTCTCTTGAAAAGGTAATAATAGTAGATAATTGCAAGTATTGTATTTGAAATAATGTTCATTTAATTCCTTATAGGGTGCAGAATATGAGGTATTAGATGATTCTCAAGAACACTGGTGGAAGGTGAAAGATGAGCATGGGTAGGTAATTTTGTTAAACCTATATCAACGATTAAATCTATACTACGATAAATATAACTTATTCCAATTTTATTTTCAGATCAATTGGTTATATTCCTAGTAACTACGTGAAAGAAAAAGAACTCCTAGGATTGCAAAAATATGAGTGAGTATTTTTACTCATTGTTGTTGATTTTGAATTAATAGTCATCAACTTATATTTACATTTGCAATGCAGATGGTATGTAGGTGATATGTCAAGACAACGAGCTGAATCTTTACTGAAACAGGAAGAAAAGGAGGGATGTTTCGTCGTTCGTAATTCTTCAACGAAAGGTCTTTATACACTTTCACTTTATACCAAAATGTAAGCATTTATCTTAAGTCTAATTTATTGAATAACTTCATTCAAATAGACATTATTTTTCAATAATATATTCAATTGTATTTGTTTACAGTCCACTTCCACATGTTAAACACTATCATATAAAGCAAAGTACTCGAGGGGAGTTTTATCTCTCGGAAAAGCATTGTTGCAGTTCGATTCCTGATCTTGTTAATTATCATCGACATAATAGTGGAGGACTTGCGAGTCGATTAAAAACAAGTCCTTGTGATAGACCAGTTCCACCTACTGCCGGCCTTAGTCATGGTTAATAAAATACTCATCTCATTTTCATATTTCAGCATTTCAATGTGAATAATGATTCTTCAATTGATGATAACTTATGTATTCTTATTTTATAATTGCAGATAAATGGGAAATAGATCCAGCAGAACTACACTTATTAGATGAACTAGGCTCGGGTCAATTTGGAGTAGTACGAAGAGGAAAATGGCGTGGTTCCATCGACGTTGCTGTGAAAATGATGAAAGAAGGAACTATGTCTGAAGATGATTTTATAGAAGAAGCAAAAGTCATGACGTTAGTATTATTTTATATGCCATTTGTGGCAATATGTATTTCTATGTATTTCTTAGATTTGGATTGATTTGATTTTGTTATTTGTAGGAAGCTACAGCATCAAAATCTCGTTCAACTGTACGGTGTTTGCAGTAAAGACAGACCAATATATATTGTCACAGAGTATATGCGGCATGGATCTCTTCTCAACTACCTCCGTCGTCATGAAGCTACTTTAGGTGCAAACGTTGGTCTTTTGCTGGATATGTGCATACAGGTGAAATTATTATATAGCAGGTTTTCATGCTACATTATATATCATGTTAATAATATTTTTTGTTTTTTTTCTAGCATATTCAGAGATAACCATATGCAAAATGGAAAAATCTGATCGAATAAAAACTTTCCAAAATACTGGTTTCAGGTCTGTAAAGGAATGGCATATTTGGAGAGACATAACTATATCCACAGAGACCTAGCAGCACGCAATTGCTTAGTTGGATCTGAAAACGTAGTGAAAGTGGCTGATTTCGGTTTGGCAAGGTAATTTGTCATTTACAATTATTTTCTTTTTTTTTTTTTTTTTTTTTTTTTTTTTTAAATTAACGTCACATAAATGCTTGTACAAGCATATGATGAGCATTTATATGATCAATCTTTCCTTTAGATATGTTTTAGATGATGAGTATACCAGTAGCGGGGGTACTAAATTTCCAATTAAATGGGCACCGCCGGAAGTATTGAACTATACTCGATTCAGTTCAAAATCAGATGTCTGGGCGTACGGAGTACTGATGTGGGAAATTTTTACCTGTGGAAAAATGCCTTATGGTCGTCTCAAGAATACCGAAGTTGTCGACAGAGTTCAACGTGGAATTATATTAGAACGACCGAAAGCTTGCTTCAAAGAAGTTTATGAGGTTGATTATTATGTTTTTTTGCTTGCTTAGAAAAAAGTAATAAATATGAATGAAATAAATTTGGTATTATTTATTTTAGGTAATGCGGAAATGTTGGGCACACTGTCCAGAAGTTCGACCTTCTTTTCGTGTTCTTAAGGAACAGCTGATTAGCGTTTCTCAAGGGCTTCTCAATGATTGACTCAACCTTCTCCGGTGTATGCGCCTTTCTTCGCCCTCTGGACGATCAATACAATACATAAAGTCTCCATCGTCGTCATTGGAGCAATCAACTTCTGTTTTAGCATCCTCTAATTCATCATGCAATTCTGCAACATTACCTTCATCACATAAAACAACAACTCGTGCATCGGCCTCTTTGCCTTCTTCGGTCAACTTCCTTCATCTATCATCAAGCATATCTAGACCGGAAGAGGAAGAATCATCTTTACAAAGCACGACTCATCACTTGGCTAGTCAACCACCATCCGCAAGTTCATCTAACGTTTGTGACATTTGTAGTTCTTATGGACATCCGTGGATAGAACTTTGCAAGGCAATACGGGCTACTAAAGAGGAATAAACCTTTTATCTCGTTTATTTGTAATATAATGACTACATCGTTNAAAAAAAAAAAAAAAAAAAAAAAAAAAAAAAAAATGCTTATATACAGCAGGCTGCGCCGACCCCTGGTTTTTAGTCTCATTACAACGACATTAGAAGAGTACATTTCGAAGTAATTTGAGGAATAAATACAATAAATAATGAAAACAAGGAGTGCATATAAAGAAAGAAAGATGGGTTCAAAAAAAAAAAAAAAAAAGAAAAAAAGCTTCTTTACTAAAATATTGCTATTAAGACAAAAATTAGTTGTACGTTTGAAACACATCTTATATTACACAATAAATGTTTAAGATATAAGCGAGCTCTGGGCATATATAACCATTGATAATAATTTTTCTATTCTTTATTTTATTATTATTTTAGTATTGAACAATTAAGAAAGTGATATATTTTAGACTACGTAGTAATTCATTGATAGATATAATTCACGTTATCTAATAGAGATAAAATGGCCTCTCAATGTTAACGATATTCATTGTCATTCTTAAATCGATCTACTTTTACAATTTTGTTCCGCTCGTTTATGTCGCTATCATCATCCAATAGGATGGATAATTATTATTAGCTTTTCTTTTTTCAATTGTTCTTTCGAAACAATTTACAATAACAATTTTCACAATGTTTGCTAATATCTTTTTTTCGCTACACCATCATTTCTACGTCCAATAATAACGTCCATTTAATTGTTTAACGATTTTTTACTTTTTACATTATCAAATGATGCCGAATCATGAAAAATAATATACGAGTATACATAAGCATGAGTCGTCTCCGAGGATAAAAATATTTTCTTAAGTCATAACACATTTATTTGAAAAGAAAATGTTTTTATTATATCATACCTTCTTATACAGTTCGGGAGAGACTGAATGTGATATATTTTAAACGAATGAACTACCATGGTAGTATACACTGATGGACTGAGGCAGAATGACATATTGAAGCCAACTGGAAGCCAGTGGAAAATGCTGAAACAAAATAACATTTCTAGGGGATCCTGCCAATCTTCTTATAGCATGCGTACACTTAATTTATCTAGTATTAGCAATGTATTAAATAATAATAGAAAAGATATATATATATATATAAGAAAAGACGACGAAGAGAGAAGAGAAATTTCTCTTTGAAAATATCTCCTTAGATTTTATGTTAGGAAACAAATATATTGATAATTGATATTACCACACTTCATAATATAAAAAAAAAAAAAAAATATATATATATATATATAAATAAATAAAATATGTAGATTTTGAAAGTGATCAAAGTGATATCTATTATTTTGTCGAAAATAAATCGAGCATTTATAATAAAATGAATATATAAATATAATGTCAATCTTTAGAATTTCACATCACTTTCAAAATGATCAATTTGTATGCGGCATATTATAATAATATTTCTCATGTTCAATATAAGTTTGATTAACGCAATTATATCAATTGAATTATTATTCACGATAAAATACACATTTGGTTATTGTGTTAATGTATTGATTTTCTTTTTTTGATAGAGATATTGTGTTGTACGGCCATAACACATATACTATTATTTTCAAATACTTATTATTAGAATAAGTATATGTTAAATTGCAAAGAAAAGAAAAAAAAAAAGATACATATTTGAATAACAATAAAATGTTATATGTATTAGACAGAGACAAATCGATACAGAGAGCCAGCCAAATATAATAATGATAACAGGATTGATAAGACATTATATTCTTTTGTACACGTATTCGTCTTGAACGAACGCATGAGAAACGCATGAGAAACGCATGAGAAACGCATAAAAAACAAAATAAATAGCTTTCTGTATGAATCTGTTGTAAACTATTAAGAAATTTGAATGTATATACAACCTTTGCTTGAAGTTGAACAGGCTCACTCAATTCCTGAATCGATGCGATGACGACTTCTTACCATCACGAGTGTTCCATTGATGCGATTTTGATTGTGACCTTCTACGTTCCCTAGATCTAGAGTGACTTCTCCTTCTACTTCTAGAAACATAAGATCGCGATCTGTGACGATCTCGCGAACGAGAACGTGATCTATCTCTAGTTCTTGATGATGACTTTCTTTTCACCCTCAGACGAGATCTGCTACGCCTTATCGAACGAGATCGACTTCTTCTTTCTCTGGAATGCGAATGAGACTTCTTTTTTCCACTAGAACGCGATCGGGACCATTTTCTTGATCCAGACAATGACCTTGATCTTCGGCAGCTTCTAGATCTTGATCTCAATCGTTTTCGATGAGATCGTGATTTGGATCTACGCTTTCTACTGGACCTATAATTGCTCGATCTTGAACGTCGTCCCTTACGCGACTTCACTGATCTCGATCTCGAGGAACGTTTTCGCGTACGTTCCGAAGAACGTGATCTCGATTTCTTGCCCCTTGATTTACTTCTACTTTTAGTTTTTCGTTTCTTTTGATCGCTTCGATCACTTTTCTTACTTATCTTTTTATTCTTTTTAGTCGAAGCACGACTTGTATCAGAGCTTGTTGTATCAGAATTACTAGATTCAGAATTGACTGATCCAGCTGACGGTGTATCAGCTTTGACTACATCCGCAGAGACATTTACTTCTCCTTGACTTTGTTCTTCACTCGATAAACTTTCAGATGCTGCTCTTTGAATATTTACCGTTTCTTTCTCATCAACTAAAGTGTGATGTTGTTATGGAGTTATACTTGATAATGCAATTATATCTTTTAAGTTTATTATTTTCAATACATACCTGTATCTCTGCAGCTAGTATTACCAATATGATTTTCCTCTTGTGCATTGTATTGATCTTCGTTTTCCTCTTCTGCCGCAAGACGTGCTTCAATCTCCTTCTCTGTCTTTTTGAAGGCCTGCTGCCGACGTCTCAAAGTTTCCTATAAAACAATTCAAACAATAGATAGATAGATAGATAGATAGATAGAGTACAATTTCTCATTAGAGACGATTATTAACAATTAACCATTTCTATATACCATAAGTTCTTCGTCGCTGTCATTGTTTTGAAGTTGTTCTTGTTCGTTCTGTTCTTCCTCGGATTCGCTATTACTGTCACCGTAGATGCCCAGACCTATGACACACAAATATCTAGTTAAATCCATTTTAAAATTTTCACATTGATCCTCAAATGTGAAAAAAACATACGCTGAACCAATAAATTTGCTGCTGCTATTTCATTATTAAATGTCCTGAGAGACATCTTCATTTTGTTATCTGTCAGTAAATATTGAAATTGTGCAAAATTGCACAAACAGCAACTATTTAAAGACATTGTTTCTACAACCATCCTTAGGGAAACACAGCACGTGGAAGATTATAAATATATATATAACTTACCAAGTTTTCGAGTGATCTGAGCAAGAGGGGCCGTGTTGTTGAAGGATGCGACTGAGTGCTCTCCTGCAGGGGCTTACAATACACACGCATTTAGTAATCAATCGCTGAGAATCGCTAAGAATTGCGGATACCATTCCCTCCCCATCTCAAAAAAACATATGGCAAATTAGATTGCTCAGCGTTTTGTAAGTAGAGAGACAACTCTATTCCTCACATAGCTGCTAAAAAAAGCTTTTATTCTTATCTCATTAAACTATATCAAAACTGAGATTTCTGAGATTTGTCATTATTTTACAATATCTTAAGCTTACACGTATCAACTAATATGCATGTAATACACCTGTACATAATCGTATACGCGCACATTCTTTTTATGCACTTTAATAATAATAATAATCATCATCATCATCATCATCACCATCAAAATGATTCAAATCTCTATAAACTACAGCATGTTATTTTATTTAACAAAGTATAATACAAGAGAGGTATTTGTATTTAAATATTTGATCATGTATAACATGTTGTAGTTTATTAAGCTGAATTGATGAATCATTACTAGTAGTAGAAGAATAAAAAAAAGATATGAATTTGATATAAAATTAAATGTTCGTCAATTTCGAAGCTATATATGAAGCTATGTATTTAGTACGACCCCACCTGTCCAATTTTTATGTGGAAATAATCCCTGTTTATCGCGCATATATACAAAAGTACATTTCTATAGTATCTTTTTCTATAATATCTTTTTAATTTATTTATCTCTTTATGTACTTTCCATCATCTAATGGCATGAATGTATAACTAACAAAAACTCGTATCTTTGATACATAATTAATATATATATATATCGTCAGATAGAGTTTTCTATTTATTTAGTTTGTAATATGAGTTCTACACTTGATCGATCACATATTAGATCATCAACATATGGTTGCAATTGTTGTTGTCAATTCGTTGGAACACGATCAAATAAAATATATTTGATAACATATTGTTTGTCAAGAAAATATCGTTATTAAATCGTTATTACCTTCCGAATGAAATGGACAAAATTGTACGTATGGCGTTCATACTATTAAGTAAATATTCAGTATTATGTTTAAACTAATGGTAATAATGATTGTAATGAAGTAATATAGAAGAAGTAAAGGCTTTGTATACTCCTGGAAGAGAAAATCAGATGTCCTGCAACTGTCAAATAATTAAGCCTATGGATTAAAAAATGGTTGTTTAATCTTGTAAATATTGCATTATACAATGGGGTGGTCGATAGTGCTCTCCATGACATGGCACAAAATTTATGTAAATTAAATATTATATATTGGCGAGGAAAAATATGAAGAGTTTCGTTATGTTAGTGTTATCATTTGTATCTGGAGTACCTTTGGCACGTGCGCGATTCCAAACCTCTCTGCATACTCCAGCTATTTCTTCGTTTGTCACTTCCAAAAGAATTTCTGTTAGAGATCTTCGAACTTTCAACATCTATGGCACAAAATTAGCTGTAAATTCGTATATGACTCAAATAGTAAGTTTATGTCGAAATATATATTATGCTTCATTATTTACCACTTCCTGCAATATTTCCTCTTGCGATCGTTTAACAACAGTAACAGCCGTACTACTACTACAAACCGGTGGTGGACTATTGTCAACGGGGGGTATGTTTGGTTCAGGTGAATCAGCATCTCGAAAACGCGATTTTCTCGGTCGAAGTATAACATCTGGGGTTCGTTCGTAATTTTTTTTGCTGCTTATATTCTGTTCTGTCGAACTTGTCTCGAATTCTTGATCTGCTTCTTTTTCCGAATCTGAATCCTATTCGAGAGGAATAGTTTGAACTTCTTTATAACTAACTTCATTCATGTGTGTGTGTGTGTGTGTTGTTACACACAATTATTCGTATACTTCGTATACTTACAAATTTACTTTTGGCAGGATTTAGTACTAAACGAGCTTCATCTTCAGCTTTTTTACGCGCTTCTATTTCTTGTTTTCGTAAAATTTCTTGCCTCTCACGTTCCACTGCTTTTTGCTTTTCCCTTTCCATCTTTTCTAATCCTTCCCTAATCCATGCTGGCAATTGACGACGTTTAGCTGCATCTATGTGAGAGTATTACGTAGAGATTGGAATCATGTATTTGATGATTATCTCTTAAAAGAGATGCTCTTTTATCTTTTATTTTTACCAATAGTGGTAGTTGTATCTTCTTCTGGTGTTTTTTCCCTATTGTTTCTACATCTTACTGCATCAATAGTTCTCATGTGTGGTATTCTATTGGTATGTCGAATGCCTTTCATATAAAGTAATGGTTGAGAAGGCACAGCAGTTGAAGATTCGCCACCAGACCAAAAATTACCGACCTAAACATGCAAATAAGTTGTTTACAACTTAGTTGATCAAACAAATTCATATTATTCATATTTTCCGCTTTTCTCAAGATATTAACTTGTTGATTATATGGTTGTGATGGAGGTGCAGAATTGTAAGAATACAACGATGGTGTTACTGGAGGTGGTACATTAAATTCTGTAGTCGATATCGTTGGACCAGGTGGAATGATTGGTAATGTAGGTACCGCTGTTGGTTTTCCATCAGGACCTATACTAACTCCAGGAGGTGGAACGCCAGTCCATTCCCAAGTTCCAGTACTAGAATTAGATGTATTCCAATGTCCCCATTGACTCCATTGAGTCCAAGCATCTAATAATAATTCATTATTTGTATTGATTATTGTATTCAAGGAAATAATGAACATATGTTGTACTTTTTTACATTGTCTTAATATTTTATATCTACAAATTGATGCTATATTACCAGAACCACTGATTGTGGGAGCCGGTGGTGCTGGTGGGATATCATCTTCTTTGGTATCCATATCCATAGGTGCTTCACCGCTACTGTCATTTCCTGGACACAAGGAATCGATGGATGGTGGTGGCGGAGCAGGTGGAACAATCGTTTCCTTCATTTTTATCCATTGTTGAGCTAATGCAGCCCAATCAACTACGGTAACATCATTTATTATTTCATTACAATTTTGTTAGCAATTACAAAAGTGAGTCAAACTTGTACATAAACTTGAAAGAGCTTTCAGAGCTGTTCTTCCTTCATCTTTTTCAATGTTGTATATAATATACATTTATAGTTGATAGAAATTTGACAAAGAATGAAATGTCAGTAATAGCCTTAATCGTAATTCATTCGTTAGCCTACCTTGATCATTACTCATATTTTGATATGCGGAAGGATTCAATGCCCATTGCGTTGGATAATCTTTTCCTTCAAACATGTCGCCGCTCATTTTAAACCGAAATAATTAAAAATAGTTCTACTTTAGTAGTTATACACTAATCGTTGTAAAAAAAAATCAACACTTTAATATTGCTACATATGTATATATATATATATATATGTGTGTGTGTGTGTGTGTGTGTGTGACATACGGAAGTCGGGAGTGCGCGCGCGCGCACTCGACTTCTAAGTAGGCATTTTCGTTACATCACAATTATATGTAAAAATTGATTTTAATTTTTCAAGTTTCTTACTTTATCGATCAAATGTACTAATTATTTACAACACTAAAACTTAATAATACAAAGTACATTCCATGCGCGGAAATTATTTTTGATGATTATTCGGGGCAATAATTGGATTAAACAGAGTGCTAACAAAACATTGGTTATTATTGATAACAATTCAGAAAAGTCTGCAATTTTTTGAAAGCTTTATAAGACTACTGATGCCTTTTTTCCAAATTATCACAAGTATTAAAACGACTAATACGTATTTTACTAAAATACGGCCATAAGGCGTCTCAAACACTGCTACCAACTCTCGCAATTTAGATATACCTGCTCCAATTTGTCTACAATTATTCTAGTCAAAATCATTCTTACGAAACAATAAAAATTAATCAATCATTTTAATCAATGAAATCATACAATTAGATGAACTTAATTGAAGTTATTGGCTAAATTTGTAATTAATGATAAATCAAATCTAAACATTGAATAGAGACATTGTAAAACGCCATCTGGAATTTGGATAATTTATTGGATAATTTCAATTGGTGGAAACGAATCGACCAATCGGAGTAATTTTACAAAATAACAGTTTTAAATCTACATTTTGAACGATTACATTTTTATTAATAATTATTATCTACTCAAAATGTTTATTGTGTCATTTGTGTAAGTTTGTGCATTTGTTACAAGAGGTTATACAAATTATTCTGCTATATTTATATATTTTTCTAATTGATCCAACTTACTTAACTTTATTTATTGGTACATTTTTTATAGGTACAAGAAGCCAACACAAATTTGATACGGTGTAGATGATATATTCTTTTTTTTTTTTTTTTTTTCATTGCAATATTCAAACGAAATAATATAAACATTCATAAAATTGAATTATAGTCTTATCATTAACGTATTCTGTAAATACTATAGCTTACGAAATAAAAGATAACAATATAACTATGATAAAATTCATGTTGGAAGACGAATAAATTGATGCTATTTTGGTCTCATTATATTCACGTATCGTAAAGAAGTAAGTATAAGAGAAAAAAACAAAAGACAAAAATGAAAGACTCATTTAAACAATATAATTTTATCAAGTTATTATTTAAATAAAAATACGTAGAGTTAAAATTCATGGTATCTCGTATAGAGATTTGTCACTTTGTCTAGGAACTATATCAACAATATTGACTCTTCTCTTAATGTCTTTTCCATAGAAAGTAAAAACGAAGACAAGGTGTACCTTCATAATTAATACTAATACTAATACTTCATTTTCTTTGATTATACATAAAATATAATTATATCGTTGGATGCACAGCATCATCAAATTTTATACATATATATATATATATATATATATATATATATTTATACGATTCTACGTACTAAAAATAATTTTGCTTTTTCCATATATATATATATGGTATTCTTATTTGTTTTTATCTATTGACCTGCAATTTTACTTTTTCCTTTTTGTTTTGTGTTCACACATCTAAAAAAATATATGTGTATATCATATATCTCGGCGAAAAAATATTCGTCTACAAATTGTGGAATTAATGTTTCATAATTTCTAATTAGTTAGTCTAATTTCTACTTGAATAAAAATCTTTGGAGCATCGATAGTGACGCACATCTCATTACCACTATAACATTTGAATAGATTCATTCTCTCGATTGCAAGTAGGTACTTAACGTTCTTTTTTAACTCTAACACAATAAATAATTTGATGATAAAACATTTCTATAACAATTATGTAAACGATGTTATTTATCGTCGTCATTGAAATCTTCGCAAAAATAGGTTCTCTTGATATTCCCAGCTTAAAAGAATTGACATTTGTACTTTCGTTCCGTGTTTTAGAATTTGGCGTTCTGTCTTCTAAGATCATTTGGTATTATTGTTGTGAAAAAGGCTCCGATTGCTAAGGCGATGCATAAAATTATATTTGCCCATAAATCGCCGAGAAGTTTGATCAGATAGCGGTAGAGGATCGTGAAGAGTATACCAAATACCTAAAAAGGTTCATATTTTGTTATTTACATGATAAAATTGATACGAGGTCGACTTAATTGACGGCTTGATAAATGAACATAACAATTTATTGCAGGATGAAATAAAATTATTTGACACCTGTGTCACCGCGTTGAGCAATCCCGCAGACGTTCCTTCTGGTTCTGGATATGTTAATTCAGCAGCGAGTTCGAAACCAACCGGTAAATAACCAGTCATGAAAAATCTGAAAACAAAAATAAGTAATATTGGTATTTTATTGAATAATTTCTTGAATATTAAAAAAATGTCTATAAAAAGCTATACCCAAGTACAGCGGATGTGATATAAACAACGTATATTCGATCGATGTCTAGAGTAAAGGTGAAAATGATCATTCCCAAGAAGGAGCAGATATAAATTCCTAGTGTTGTTTCTCTGCGAATATGAAAATTGTCGTTGACAATATTTTATCGTTTTTTTTTTTTTTTTTTAACATTGCCACAAACATTTTGTAATATGGATACTCACTTATACTTATGCGTTTTATCTAACACGATACCACAGACAACGGAGCCTAACATTCCAGCACATACGATGGTCAAACCAACTCTACCAGCATCTTCCTCGTGTCCCTGTGCGAGGGACAAATAAAAATGATTTATTAGAAAAGATTTGCATGAAATTATAGAAAGTCGAAACTTACCGGGAAATATTCTAAAATGATTTGATTCAGAAGCGTACTGATAGCGTAGAATATTCCGACGTTTATTCCATAGCTCAATAAAAGCAACAGGTATCCTACGTTGGTGAGGAGTCTTTTAACGGATTGAATAAAATCTTCCGCAGATTCGTTATCCCTTTGTACTGCTTGAGCGGGACTGGGAGGAAGGGGTGGTTGGGCTTTAAAGACTGTGCAAGAAAATACAAATTGGTCAATATTTTTGAGCCTTTTGAAAGGCTTAAACAATCAAATTGAAATTGGAATAAATTCTTACAGAGAAGTATTAATACCAATACGAGTGATGTGATAGCAGCAACGATATAAAGCATAATCTGAAAACCGCGTGCGACTAGATCAGGATCATCACTGTTTGGTACTAATATAGGCGGAAATAGAAAACCAATGGCTATACCCAACTGCAAACATAATAATAAAATAGGATTCTTAAATTGTTTTTATGTAATAAACATTATATTAGAATCCTCTTAAAAAGGGTTCAAAGTTGATAGCACGAGATTTAAATGATCAGATGATTATGTGGGAAAGCTAACCGAACTATGCACCCACGCACGATTTCATTGTACGAAGGGGTTCGGACCCCAGCTTTGAATTATAATCGCACAGACGACACATCGTTTTTCGCACATAGATCATCCACGTATGTATATATATATAAATACTTACGCACTCACCCTGTTTGGATAAGTAGAAGGTATATCGTATGTATATTTATGCGAAAGTGTTTTATTACTACGTTGATTCACAAATTGCGTGCGGGATAGGAGATATTTGTATGAATTAATTACGATCGAATCCGTTTGATCGTTCAACGAGACGCTTCAAACTTCAAAGTAGACGTATACCACAGAGGTATACGTCGTATTCCCACTTGACCTCATTGAACAATTTTTTCCTACTTACTTACAAGAGATGAATTTCATTTCTTTACTTGCTCTACTCGTCTTATTATATATATATATATATCAGTACTATTAAGAAAGATTTTAATTATTTTATTCTCGGTCACCCATTTGAAATTTGTCTTTTTTCAAGAACAAAAGGAAAAGTTCGAATATTCTTCTCTTTGTACTTTAGATGATTAACGCGATTCGTGTCCGACTTCTCGTTATGTTTAATCGGTTTCCGGCTCTCTGAATGAGTATCATGATAGGCCTAAAAGAATAATGATCGTATCCCTTCCTTTAAATAACAATGATAGATCTTTCGAGGACCAGACTGTCCTCGTGTTATCTTCGTTTAATATGTCGTCACATAATATGACATCATATAAATTATTCGCTATCCTCTTTAATAAATTAGTATTTCCTTTTACTAGCGATGTTAAGAACGAAACGATAGACTTTGACTTTGACAAAAGACAATGCTGATACTTGATATTCGATATTGACGATATATCTGACAGATTCAGATAATATATTTCGTTAAATTCATTCGATGTTACTTACTCGAGTAGCTCGATAAAATTATTTTCAATTATTCAACTTTTTTTTAGGGATATTCTCGAATCTTGTTCGTAAATTTGTATATTTATCGTAGGAATGTTTATAGGAATAGGAATGTTTATATCGTGTTTCATTAAATCAATTGGCGAGAGTGGAAAAATTGACTGTTGATATTACATTTTTCCAATACTTTGTGCTATCACATATGTACATACATACATACGTTGATCATCTATCGTTATAAAAAGCAGTAACCATTATCGCGATTGACGTAAACTCTTTTTTAGATAGAAAAATAAACGATGCGATAAAACAATGAATTATTTGTTGAAGTCCCTTGATGATCTTGTAAGAAGTGTTGTAACTCGAAATGAAGACAAATGAAAAAAGTCAAATGTATGAATTACCTGATTTCCAAAAACGCCGATGCTACAGGCACTACTAACTTGATCAGGACCGAACCAAACGGCTGCTAATCGTGAAGGAACCGATAGAACAAAAGTTTGACTAATGGCAACAATTGTTTGACCAAGGAAAGCAGTCCAAAATAAGTTTGGCGAAACGCTAAAAACTTTGATCCATGAACCGATTGCCGTTCCAATTGCACCCGCTATAACAGCCACTCGTAAACCCTGCGAAATAAGATATTTTCATGAAAAGTTAATTGTAATTATTTCGAATGATATGATTATTTAAAGAAAGGATCGATTCATTTAGCGTTAACGTACTTATCACGCTGAGCGTTCATCGTATTATGAAACGAGGTCAATTAAATTCTCCGAGTGTTGCAACATCTCAAGCTTGAAAAATCTTACCGTCCGAATCGAATAATAGACTAGACAATTTTAATGGAATAAAAGAAAACATTCAATAATTTAGCTATACGGTACTGACTGAGAAGAGCTTTTTTATCTTTTCATAAGTCACATTTAAAAAGCAACTTCTCCTTTAATATTGAGCATCGGATTTTATAAACTATTACTATTCTGAATTTCGTTGATATGTAATGTTCTTAGTTGAAGTAAAGTTCTTAATTGAAGCTACAGTAATCGTATGTATAAGTACCGTTGACGAGATACGAATATTTTTTTCTTTTTCTTGTTAACACAGTTTCTCTTAACACAGCGATCGATCGAAAGGCGCGTTACTTACAAATTTGTCGAGAAGATAACTGGCTGGAAATATGAACGGTATGTACGCTATCATAAATATCATACTCGTCAAATCCACTAGAACACTCGTAACTTTGTAATATCGTTCGACAATGTTCGCTATGATACTGTATTGAATCCATTGCATCGCGTTGCTGGCACTGTATATTACGAAAATCATCAAGATTAGCCATCTTCTCGTGTAGATTTTCGTCTCTATAATCTGGAATAATGAAAGAAGAAAAAAAAACACACACACACACATAAGAATTTTTAGTGTAAATAACATTGATCGTGTGATATTCGTTTTTGTTGGCTTTTTGTTGTCAAGTAATCTGAACATTTTGGTCAATTTGTCGAGTTCAACAACAGTGTTCAACGTAAAAAGTGGCAAAAATTCGTGATTACGAATGGATGATGGGAATGAAGATCTTTTAGAGAAAAAAAATTGCTTGCTGAAATAAATAAGTTCATCTATCTGAATGAATGAAACATTATTTATATATTAGGTGAGGAAAAAAAAATGTTCTGGCATGAGACGCATTGTAAATATTGTTATAAACGATCATCGATCATTAATTTATCCGCATGCAATTGCATCTTCACCTGTGTTGGTTGTACACCACCTTCGACGGCTTTGACGTAATCCGGAGACATTTTTACCATTACGATCAAACCCTTGTATTCGATTTGTGTCGTATGAATCAAGAACAAATTCTTAATAATCGTAAATCAATCAATTCCTTTTTCTCCCCGGTCTTCTTTAACTTCCACTCGTAGTTCCTAAAATGTCAAAGTTCTCGTTGTGAAAAAAAAAACAGAAAAAATCAAGAAAATATCTTGCCAAGGAAGAAGACAAACTGTCAGGCTATTCCAAATTCTTGACAACTCGTTAGCGTGGACACTTAATTAATAACAAATGACTTCTCGAGTCATTGTTGTTCACGGAACCGATCGATAATTTTTCTAACTCTCGACGTTGCACGAAAAGAAACGATTTTATTTTTAGAAGAAAGAAACAAGGGAAAAAAGCTAACTCGTCAACGAGCTACATACACCACGAATTTAAAACTACCTCTAGAAATGTTCATTAATATAAATAATAGGTGTGTGGACAAATACTTGGAACATTTAATTGCCTTAGAAACGCGTATTATTCATAAATGTTGCATTCGAATATGCGTGGTAGGGAACGTGGGAGATCGAGAAAAAAATCGATCGTGTTAATCTTCGTTAATAAGTCGGGAAAAAATGTCAAAGCTATTACATTTAACCGCACCCCTTTTTCCCAATGAAATGTTTACTCATCAAGAGTAAATGATCCGGACTTCTACTTTGGCCAATCGATTATATTCGCAAATGGAACAATATATGTAATCTGTCATCATATGTCTTGTTCGAATTCGCAAATGTAAGATTCGTCGTAGAAGAAGAAAAACTTTGCGAAGGTCTTTAAGGTCAAGGATTAAAACAAAAATAAAAACGTCGGAACAATGTCGATGACAATTAATAGTGCATAAGGATTGTTCATTAATAATGCTTACCCCGCAGTTCGCGATGCTAACAATAAGTAAAGAATGACCACCACCGCCGATATTAAACACAACCACTCACTCGATTCTTCCTTCTTTTTTTTCTTTTTTTTTTTTCTTGTTGTTGTTTTTCACCACGTCACTAATGATCGATCGATTTCATTGATCTATATCGTTGCTTCGATCATGTCAAAGAACAAATCTCTTCTAAATCACAATCTATTTGATTTATCATGACTCTTTCTTTCTCTAAAATGAAATGACGAACGGGGGAACAGGTAAACCATCCTATTCGTATCAGTTAACAGCGTCCACGTGGTTAACGGAGTCACGTTCGCAGAAACACAAAGCGTTTTTTCTTTTCTCACTCGCGCGTATTCACCACCGTGGAGAACTTGAGAGAAATTATTGGAAGGGGAGTAAATGCGCCAAGAGATCGTCGACCAATGGCTTTTGACTTAAGATAACTTTATCCTATTTCGAAATTTCTAACTAAGGAGGAAGAATCGAGCGAGATCGTAAAAGGTAGAATTTCTCTTGTTGATGTTTTTCTTTGAAATTTCCGATACCTTTAATCTTTTATTTAGTTGTCGTTTAATGTGCGAATAAAAGAAATGAAGACAAAATATAAATAATATTGAAATTGTCAGATATATCGAGTTTGAGGATAGCTAGCTTTCCCTTTTAACCCGATGCTATCGATCAGCCCCGTTGTTCGCGAAAATCGTGGTAAGAGGAGTAGGACGCGAAGGGAGGGTTACTTTGCTTGCTTGCTTTCTTTCTTCTTCTTCTTCTTCTTCTTCTTTACCACACTGGAGATTCCCCCAAACAAACAATTATTTATCTAAATATTGTATTTCCCTGTTATTTCCAAATTCTTATAGGCTGAAATGTTTCCGCATGTTTTTCTTTGCTCGTTCAAAAATGTCTGAATGTGCAAAGGGATAAATTATTAGGAGAAAAATATCTACAAGTAGAGAGAAAAAAAAAATACCAAAATGAGAAAGAAAAAGGAAAAGGAAAAAATAGAAAGGAAGAAAGGAAGGAAGGAAGGAAGGAAGGAAGGAAGGAAGAAAGGAAGGAAAGAGGAAAAAAGAAAGAAAGAGAGCACAGGCAAAAATAGGAGCGCGTCCACCGAAGGTTGGACATAAACTAAAGCAAATCGTTTGTGAAAAGATTGAGTCGTTTATGCTCGCGTGTTCATACACCGGACTCCTCTCCCTCGCGAATCCGAACACGTAGTGTATGTTCCCTCGTCGTGCTGTAGAACTACACTGCACTTTCATCGTCCATGTGCTTACACATATAATTCATCTGTACGTATACACTAATACATCGAAATGTATACACTTACACTTGGTTTTACAGCGCACGCGCTTACAAATCTGCGCAGAGCTAGTGAATAATCCCGCGCGGCACCGTTCGACAAGGGTGGAGAGGTTTTACTGTCTACTAAGGTTCAAACCAACATCAAAAATGAAGAAAATAAATACGAAGAGCCAGGGGTGAAGATGAGAATACGACCAACAACTTTTCTTTCTTTTTTTTTTTCCTTTTCTCTCAACAGAAGACGAACGTACCTTTATTCCAGATATTACTAGGTACCCCACTTGATTACCTTCAATATATTATCTGTTGCACTCGACATTGCGATAAGATGGAGATAAGTGGAAAAATGTTAAGCTTCGAATCGTCTAATTTCACATTGCGATGATTGTCGGTCGCACTAATTATTTATTCGATAATCAGTTGAACAATTTTCTCCCTATATTTATCTATAAACTATGAAAATAATAATGAAGATTTTGACGACAGAGATAATCAATCTCTTTTAAAAAGATTCCCTGTTTTATTAATCATTTGTGTCATTTCATTGGCTAATAATAATATGTTTGAAATAATAGAAAATCTTTATATGACAGTAGATCATCCCATAAATCGTTTGGTACACAATATCACGTTCGGATCAGTCACTGATATGATGTCCATATAATACGTAAGAGATAAGTATGATCTTCCAACGTAAAAAAAAAAAAAAAAAAAAAAAAAAAAAAAA